ATGTATAAGTCAAGTGTCTAACAAAGTATGATCAACAGCGGAACAACTTAACAAAATATGGCCTTCAAAAATTGACGAAAAATCAGATTTTGCTGTATTTCGTGCGAACTCAATGATTCGATGCAGAATTCGAACATGATCCGCAAAGTGCCGACAACTTTTAACAGTAATTTTGAATAGTACCAATGGTGAAAAGTAATATATACAAAAGTGGTAGGGAACAAAGCGGGACTTTATGATTTATGGGGCTCCAATTACAGGTCAAAATCGAGATTTTCTGAAATTTTATGCGTACTCGATATATCGAGGTCGAATTCGAATATGTTGCTTTATATGCCGACACATTTTGACAACGATTTCGATCACATGCATAAGTCAAGTGTCTAACACCAAAGTATGATCAACAGCGGAACAAAACTTAACAAAATATGGCCCTTCAAAAATTGACAAAAAATTAGATTTTGCTGATTTTCGTGCGAACTCAATGATTCGATGCCGAATTCGAATATGATCCGCAAGGTGCCGACAACTTTTAACAGTAATATTGGATAGTACCAATAGTGAAAAGTATTATATATAAAAGTTGAAGGGAACAAAGCGGGAATTTATGATTTATGGGGCTCCAAATACAGGCCAAAAACGAGATTTTCCGAAATTTGAGGCGTACTCGATATATCGAGGCCGAATTGGAATATGTTGCTCAATATGCCGACAACTTTTGACAACGATTTCGATCACATGCATAAGTCAAGTGTCTAACACCAAAGTATGATCAACAGCGGAACAAAACTTAACAAAATATGGCCCTTCAAAAATTGACGAAAAATTAGATTTTGCTGATTTTCGTGCGAACTCAATGATTCGATGCCGAATTCGAATATGATCCGCAAAGTGCCGACAACTTTTAACAGTAATTTTGAATAGTACCAATAGTGAAAAGTATCATATATAAAAGTTGAAGGGAACAAAGCGGGACTTTATGATTTATGGGGCTCCAAATACAGGCCAAAAACTAGATTTTCCGAAATTTGAGGCGTACTCGATATATCGAGGCCGAATTCGAATATGTTTCTTAATATGCCGACAGCTTTTGACAACGATTTCGATCACATGTATAAGTCAAGTGTCTAACACCAAAGTATGATCAACAGCGGAACAAAACTTAACAAAATATGGCCCTTCAAAAATTGACAAAAAATCAGATTTTGCTGTATTTCGTGCGAACTCAATGATTCGATGCCGAATTCGAATATGATCCGCAAAGTGTCGACAACTTTTAACAGTAGTTTTGAATAGTAACAATAGTGAAAAGTATTATATATAAAAGTTGAAGGGAACAAAGCGGGACTTTATGATTTATGGGGCTCCAAATACAGGCCATAAACGAGATTTTCTGAAATTTTATGCGTACTCGATATATCGAGGCCGAATTCGAATATGTTGCTTTATATGCCGACAACTTTTGACAACGATTTCAATCACATGTATAAGTCAAGTGTATAACACCAAAGTATGATCAACAGCGGAACAAAACTTAACAAAATATGGCCCTTCAAAAATTGACGAAAATTCAAATTTTGCTGTATATCGTGCGAACTCAATGATTCGATGCCGAATTCGAATATGATCCGCAGAGTGCCGACAACTTTTAACAGTAATTTTAAATAGAACCAATAGTGAAAAGTATTATATACAAAAGTTGAAGGGAACAAAGCTGGACTTTATGATTTATGGGGCTCCAAATACAGGCCAAAAATGAGATTTTCTGAAATTTGAGGCGTACTCGAATCATTGAGTTCGCACGAAATACAGCAAAATCTTATTTTTCGTCAATTTTTGAAGGGCCATATTTTGTTAAGTTTTGTTCCGCTGTTGATCATACTTTGGTGTTGGACACTTTACTTATACATGTGATCGAAATTGTTGTCAAAAGTTGTCGGAATATAAAGCAACATATTCGAATTCGGCCTCGATTTATCGAGTACGCACAAAATTTCAGAAAATCTCGTTTTTGGCCTGTATTTGGAGCCCCATAAATCATAAAGTCCCGCTTTGTTCCCTACAACTTTTATATATAATACTTTTCACCATTGCTACTATTCAAAATTACTGTTAAAAATTGTCGGCACTTTGCGGATCATATTCGAATTCGGCATCGAATCATTGAGTTCTCACGAATTACAGCAAAATCTGATTTTTCGTCAATTTTTGAAGGGCCATATTTTGTTAAGTTATGTTCTGCTGTTGATCATACTTTGGTGGTAGACACTTGACTTATACATGTGATCGAAATCGTTGTCAAAAGTTGTCGGCATATCAAGCAACATATTCGAATTCGGCCTCGATATATCGAGTACGCATAAAATTTCAGAAAATCTCGTTTTTGGCCTGTATTTGGAGCCCCATAAATCATAAAGTCCAGCTTTGTTCCCTTCAACTTTTATATATAATACTTTTCACTATTGCTACTATTCAAAATTACTGTTAAAAGTTGTCGGCACTTTGCGGATCATATTCGAATTCGGCATCGAATCATTGAGTTCGCACAAAATACAGCAAAATCTGATTTTTCGTCAATTTTTGAAGGGCCATATTTTGTTAAGTTTTGTTCCGCTGTTGATCATACTTTGGTGTTAGACACTTGACTTATACATGTGATCGAAATTGTTGTCAAAAGTTGTCGGCATATAAAGCAACATATTCGAATTCGGCCTCGATATATCGAGTACGCATAAAATTTCAGAAAATCTCTTTTTTGGTCTGTATTTGGAGCCCCATAAATCATAAAGTCCAGCTTTGTTCCCTTCAACTTTTATATATAATACTTTTCACTATTGGTACTATTCAAAACTACTGTTAAAAGTTGTCGGCACTTTGCGGATCATGTTCGAATTCGGCATCGAATCATTGAGTTCGCACGAAATACAGCAAAATCTGATTTTTCGTCAATTTTTGAAGAACCATATTTTGTTAAGTTATGTTCCGCTGTTGATCATACTTTGATGGTAGACACTTGACTTATACATGTGATCGAAATCGTTGTCAAAAGTTGTTGGCATACAAAGCAACATATTCGAATTCGGCCTCGATATATCGAGTACGCCTCAAATTTCGGAAAATCTCGTTTTTGGCCTGTATTTGGAGCCCCATAAATCATAAAGTCCCGCTTTGTTCCCTACAACTTTTATATATAATACTTTTCACTATTGGTACTATTCAAAACTACTGTTGAAAGCTGTCGGCACTTTGCGGATCATATTCGAATTCGGCATCGAATCATTGAGTTCACACGAAATACAGCAAAATCTGATTTTTCGTCAATTTTTGAAGGGCCATATTTTGTTAAGTTTTGTTCCGCTGTTGATCATACTTTGGTGTTAGACACTTGACTTATACATGTGATCGAAATCGTTGTCAAAAGTTGTCGGCATATCAAGCAACATATTCGAATTCCGCCTCGATATATCGAGTACGCCTCAAATTTCAGAAAATCTCGTTTTTGGCCTGTATTTAGAGCCCCATAAATCATAAAGTCCAGCTTTGTTCCCTTCAACTTTTGTATATATTACTTTTCACTATTGGTACTATTCAAAATCACTGTTAAAAGTTGTCGGCACTTTGCGGATCATATTCGAATTCGGCATCGAATCATTGAGTTCGCTCGAAATACAGCAAAATCTTTTTTTTCGTCAATTTTTGAAGGGCCATATTTTGTTAAGTTTTGTTCCGCTGTTGATCATACTTTGGTGTTAGACACTTGACTTATACATGTGATCGAAATTGTTGTCAAAAGTTGTCGGCATATCAAGCAACATATTCGAATTCGGCCTCGATAAATCGAGTACGCCTCAAATTTCAGAAAATCTCGTTTTTGGCCTGTATTTGGAGCCCCATAAATCATAAAGTCCAGCTTTGTTCCCTTCAACTTTTATATATAATACTTATCACTATTGGTACTATTCAAAATTACTGTTAAAAGTTGTCGGCACTTTGTGGATCATATTCGAATTCGGCATCGAATCATTGAGTTCGCACGAAAATCAGCAAAATCTGATTTTTCGTCAATTTTTGAAGGGCCATATTTTGTTAAGTTTTGTTTCGCTGTTAATCATACTTTGGTGTTAGATACTTGATTTGTACATGTGATCGAAATCGTTGTCAAAAGTTGTCGGCATATAAAGCAACATATTCGAATTCGGCCTCGATATACCGAGTACGCATAAAATTTCAGAAAATCTTGTTTTTCGCCTGTATTTGAAACCCCATAAATCATAAAGTCCGCTTTGTTCCCTTCAACTTTTATATATAATACTTATCACTATTGGTACTATTCAAAATTACTGTTAAAAATTTTCGGAACTTTGCGGATCATATTCGCATTTGGTATCGAACCCTAGAGTTTGCATGTAACATTGAAAAAAATATTTTCCGATATTTTTGTGTTCTCATCAAATGTAGCCTATTTTTATTTTGTATTTTTTTTCATTCTGCAATTATATTCTAATACGTTTTAGTTTTTCTGTTTTATGTGATATACAGTTATGTATGTTGTAATTACCACTACCAGCTAAATGTGCTTAAACTTATATTTTGGTCTGAGTTGTTTCCTTCGGAACATATTATTCCAAATAGGATCCATTTATCCGTTATAAATATTGTAATAAGAGATTATTTTCCGCATGGGAACCGGTTGAAAACTGCAGAATATTTTTCCGCTGAAATTCCGCTGAATTCACAGTGGTTCAAATTTGCAGCGATCAGCCGATTAATTTTATATGAAATTCCGGATTTATTAATTTTCTCGACTCGTGTCACCACCATTTACTACAATGTTTATGGTTCTCTACTGCCACCAACGGGACTGTGTTTACTGTTGGCATGGAAACATCCACGCTTCATCGAACACGTTGAGTTTTGTTTTTGCTCTTTCGTTCGGCTATTCAGCATATTTTTCAATAGTTTATGGTGTTTAAAATTACGAGGAAATAGTAAGAAATCGGAGAAATGTCTTTAAAGCCAGTAAGATTGCCTCCCATCGAACCGGAGGCTGGAACAACACTTCACAGAGACCAGGGTCCTTCCTATAAACTTAGCGGAGTCAGTTCCAGGGTAAAATTTTCTTTAATACCGTACCCTAATATATGTTAACATTATTTTTACCAAATAGAATATAGATATATATCTAACGGGTTTTCTGTTTTGAACATGCTATTTTAGTGTTACCAGGTTGCTCTATTTGGTGAGTGAAGCAGGTCTAACCCACCTCTTCACCAGTCTGGATTTCATGGCCTTTTTGAACGAGAAATCGGGCGTGCAATCAGAAATTCCCGCGTGCAAATAAGCATTCCTGGCGTGCAATTATAGCTCACGACGTGCAAAACAACTGCACTCGCGTGCAACTGACTTTGACATCAGATACCTCTCAATACATCCGCGTAAAATTACCGGTATCGGATAAAAAATACGTTAAATCAGAGAAAAAATGGACGTTTGACCTTTGACCCCAAACATTATTTCTACAGTTTGTCGCTAATTTTGAGAGTGTTTGTGCGACTTTGGATACCGGTACTGTTCAGTACATCCGCGTAAAATTATTGGATAAAAAATACGTTGAACCAGAGCAAAATGGACATACTTTGTCATTAATTTTGGTAGTGTTTTTACGTAGAATTAATGGATAAAAAATACGTCAAATTAGAGCAAAATGGACGTTTGACCTTTGACTCCAAACATTATTTTCATACTTTGTCACTAATTTTGGGAGTGTTTGAGCAACTTTAGATACCGGTACTGTTCAGTACATTCGTGTAAAATTATTGTATGAAAAATACGCTGAATCAGAGCCGTACTTGGCCATTGGTGCGGAGGCGATCTTTTCGTCCATAACTATTCTCACGGGATTCCTATTTCCTATCATTCAACACGATATGAACCTTTCCCCAAACATCGACTTCCTTGTTTACTTCGTGACATTGGCCAATCAGCAAGATGCAAAAAAGGACGTAACAATGAGAGGAATTTTTCGCGGGTCAAAGGTTGGGGAAAGGTCCATGGTCTTTTTGCTTCGCAATATTTCGATCAGACCAAATCTTGCAGGCTGGTATTTGTCGACAATTGTGGAGTTATAATATTTTGGCATCTTTATATTACTGGATTATTGATTTTAAAACCATTTAAACCGATTTACATTGGTGAGCAATTGCAAATTTTCGGCGTGCAAAATTGATTTCGCTCGCGTGCATTTTTGCGGAGCGCTAGCGCCCTCGGGCGTGCACCTGCCATGGAATCCAGTCTGGCCTCTTCATACATCCAACTTGGCAATTCTGATTGGGCAATTTGGCATTACTGCATTAGGTGACTCCAATTATAATCAGCTCGACGATATCTTTTGTGGAATACTTTTTTATCCACAGGATAATACTCCTGTTGACTAATTCGGTATCAAATTTGGCAATCCTCATAAAATTATTACTTTGGTGTGGCAAAAGAATTTATTAATTTTTTTTTCATTTGTTTGTATATTTTTCTTTTTACTGAGTAGTTTAATTTATTTTTTTATTGCTTTTTAAACTTCCGACCTTAACATGTCGCGATGTTTGTATGTGCGTGCGTGCCTTAATTAGTTTTTTTTACCTTTTGGGTGAGCGAACACGTACTACTTCTTTCATCAATACCTTTCCATCTGAAGTCTGTACGCTTCAAACCTTACTTGAGGTTTTGTTTGCTTTCCCGATTCTATAATCAGTTACTTTAATTTTTTTTTTTTTTATCTATTCTTTTCTTGTGTATTGCTGATTAGTGAGTCGAAATAAACTTATACTTATATTGTAGCTATGAAACAATCTGGCAAGCACAAATTTTCAGTTTACCTTCATGTTTTTGTGATCCTTTTTACTTATATTTATTTTATACCATGTTTACTCACGTCTTTCTCTCTGAGCCAAAGCCGTGTACGAGCAGACATAGATAACTAACTATATAATCATAGAAACAGATACTGAAATATGAGCTAGTCAATGTCACATATCTGATTAATGACTTTGAAATAACTTTGAGACTTCCTTCATTTCAGCATCAACTTCCCCCACAATCAGTCCTCAGACCAGGTATTGATACACAATCAGGCGAACTGGATTCATGGCCGGCGTATGCGAGTCGAAGTATTACAGATATTGGTGCAATTGGCCGGGGAGGAAAAGGCCCAAAAAAGGTTAGACATGTTTTATAAACAATATTTTAAGTTTTGATGACTTCTTCAAACATAGGGAATTCGGGTATATTTTTCCAAACAATACTTATTTACGTGCTTCAAACAAGGCTTATACAAGCATCCATAGATATCTAACAATGTGTAAGAAGCTACTATTTTTGAAAAAAGCGAAATCTTTTAGATTCGACTGTTGCCCAATTGATCATACCGAGTGTGAGATGGTAGGCATTTGTGGCGGGACTGGAATTGTCCCATTTTTTATTGTTTTGTATTTTATTTATAGTTTGTGTCTAGTTATTGGATATGCATTGGTGGGTGGAGTCTGAGCTTTAATTCGTCCGTCAATTAGATTCAGTTACTCGACTCCAACCACCACTGCATATGTGAACTGTGCTGCGGATTCTCAGTGTCAGCCAGTGTCTCTGTTCTAAGAGTAAGCGTTGTATTTTGTCGATCTTATTTAATCTGCTTTAAGCGTGGATTTCACACAATTAACTATTACACACTATTCAATAAAGTATCTTCGTTTGCATCGTGAACTTCGAACCTATTTGTGTGCAGCACACGGGATCTTCTGAACTAATTATTACAGTATTTCTAGACTGTATTAGTGGCGAGCACCGTTATTCCGGTAAAGTCGTACTGTTGCACATGAAATTGAACCCTGAATTTTTGAGCTGCAATACCAACTTATTTAAGTTCGGGGCACAGCGAGGAATTTTCAAAGGGGGGGTTCTGACATTTCTAACTTCCAATGTAGGCTGTAATACCTAGCGGGGGTCTTAAAAGCGTTTCAAGCTACGAAAATTTTCTATGTATGATACAGAATTTTTTTTTTAAATCTTAAAAGAGGTGGGGGGGTGGTTCCGCCCCTCAACTTTGAGACTACAAAAATTTCCTTCATTTCAGCATCAACTTCCCGCTCAATATTTTTTTATATCTTAAAAGAGGTGGGGAGTTGGTTAAACCCCCCAAATTATTGAGATGATTTGAAATTCTCATAACTCAATTACCGAGTGTCTTCTAAAAGGCTTGATGTGCATATATATTATTCTATCTTTTTTATTACAGCAAAGCGTCATCCCAAAGCCTAAATTCTTGGAAGCTTTAGAGAACTATGTTGAACGTGAAATAATAACACTCAACTGTCAAGACCCCAAACCAAGCGAACTTCGATTACAAGCTTATCGGGAAGTGTTTGAATATTTGATCGGAGATTTCAAAACCTACAGACCTCTCTTGTCACAAGTGAGCTATAAAGATTGATATTATGAATTAGAGTAAGGAATATGACAACCAGCTTGTGTAACAGGAACTTGAGGCTATTCTTATGTTCATGTTTGGTTATTTTGGGGTTTCCCATACTGCTATATGATCATGAGATGGACTAGGGAGCATGCTTGGGCGCTCCAGAAGTATGTATACCAATATGGAGGTAACTGATTTTGTTCGTCTACTTTACATCAAGTTGTGTGAGGGGACTGAAACTTAAGGGCAGGGGTATATTCATTTGGCTAACACAGACAGTCCCCAAACTCGGAATAGAAGTAAAATACGGAAAATCGGAATAAAATTATGGCCTAACCCTAGCTTGGTACACATACTACTGGAGTACCCATGCTTAGCTGGTTATGTCTTCCTCCATCATCAAGTTCATCCAACTGAAACATATAACCAGCTAACTGCAGTGTATATTTAAAAAATGAAACAAGCATGCAAATTATAAGAGGTAACTGAATAGCCTATCAGAGTTTATCCAGCGGCATAATAGCTAGCATGACCAGCTTCACTATTCGAATATCTACAACCCATTGTGGTTATCGATGATGTCATAGCTTTTGATCAACATCTGGTAGTAATTCATCAACACAACACTAACCATCTCAATACCTTGCATAGATCGTTATACAGATAAGATTTCATAATTCCTTTCCCTATAACACAATTACCTTTTTTTCTCAGATCAAAAATGAATATGAAAAAATGTTGAGTCATTACCGAGAGAAGATTCGTGAACTTGAACCGTTGAAATCAATGTTAATAACAGTATCGGAACAATGCGATCAAAAGATTTTAAGGATAAGAGAAGAGGTGGGTTGAGTTGCACTGTATCTGTCGAAAGCAGCCACAATATTTGTAAGAACTGAAATTAGTGTTTATAAAACCCTTACAACATTGTTCTCATTCATGGTCTGGGGTTTCTCTTCCGCAGACTCTCAAGGCTTGTTGCTTGTCTGCTTTTTAATGGGAAAACATAATTTATTTTTAATGGATTTTCATATTGCAAATAGTAGCAAGTGAAGGCGATTGCTAGTGGCTCCCAGACAGACATTCTGTGACTCCTTTGGCGGGGCTTCAGTTTATAAAACCTAGCCTTTGGACCTGTATACATCCAGTTTGCACAAAATCAGAAGTGAACACTTGTTTTTTATCCTCATTACTCTTGGAAAAAAATCAACCCGGGCCGGGTGAAGCTTCTCCCCTAATAAATCATTTTTTCGTAGCTATGTTTGTTATAATAATTGGACATTTGTCTGAAAATGTCTTTGGGCTTGAAAACACTCTGTTTACAGCTTATTATTTGCCTTGTTTGTCTTGAATGAATATCCTCATTTTAATTTCTTTATTTTATTTTAAATATTTTGTTTTCCTACATTACCAGGAAAATCATGAAATACTTGGACTTCGTAGAAAAGTGAAAGAACTTCTGAATGAATTAGGGCAAGGAAGAATACGAGAGCAAGGATTACAGGCTCAGATACTGAAACTACAGGAAGAAATGGCGAAAGAATATAAAAGGTTGGAATAAGATAGGTTTTTATATTTATTCATGGAAGCAGAAAAGTGTTTAATCGTATGGCTAACCACAGCCTCTCGTTTGGTTTTCAGTTTACGTCGAGTATTGAAAAATTCATCAGTTAATTATCAAGATGCAAGATTTCTCGGCGGCTCTCTATAATAGGGCGTTTCATCTATCAAACACTTCATATTTATTCACGGAGCAAAAAAATCATACTTTGACCCTTTTTCGTCTTACCAGTCTATGCCGGGTAAAGTAATAATTTACCAATTAATCGTCCCCGATACTTGTATTCTGGATTGTTTCATTCCGAAGAAAAGGCTATTCAGGGTTTTGCAAACTGGGACTGCGGACCCCTGGGGGTTCGTGATGACTTCATAGGGGGTCTGCAAGGGGGATGAAAAGAGCCTGAAACATATACAAACAGATCATAATCTTATTGCATTGCCGTTAGCCAGCCAGTGTTTAACTTCAGTATGTATTGATTCAGACTTTCTTGAGTTTTAATTTGTCAAAGGAAACATTATCCTTCCTCGTTGATTAGGCACAGAAATTGATAAGGCACAGGATGGGGGTCCGTCAAAAATAAGGGGGTTAAAAATACGGGGGTTCGCGGCCCAAAAAGTTTGAGAAACCTTGGGCTATATCATACGTTCTCAAAGTGCTCCATGTAAAGCCCCTGTGCTTTGTAAGAGGAACCTTGAGATTTGTAAGTTATACATTTACTTATTAAAATACTGAATAATACAAAGCAGCAAATACATCCAAGTCATTAAAAAAGTTTTTTTTAGTTTACTCAGAGAAATCAATCAGTAAATAAAAAATTGTTTTTTTTTGTTCTGTTTGTGGGGCTCCATAAATAATAGTCAACCTTTTCACTGGCTTCGTAGCAACAAAAGTTACAGAACAATTCCTCTCTATAGGATAACCCCTGAAAGAAATGCAATATGAAGCTGTTTCCCCCTATTCTCTAATGAATTCCTGTTCTCTCCTCAGATACACAGATAAATATCCCCCTATTCTCTAATGAAAGTCCCCCTTTTCTCTAATGAAAATCCCCCTATTCTCTAATGAATGTCCCCCTTTTCTCTAACATATTCCTGTTTTCTCCCCTTAGATACAGAGATGAATGTGACATGAGAAAGCTTCTTATATCTGATATGAACGATTTACGTCACCAGTACGAAGACATGAAGAGAATGGCTGGCCAAGGAGCAATGGATGATGAGGATGATCCTGTCAGGTTGAAGATTGCTTTGAAGGTGAGGAGGGAGGGGTTGCGGGATGCTCGTTTAGTTTATTTGACACAAAGTGGACCTATGGATCGTTTTGTTATTGTGTTGTTGGGGTTGGTCTTGTTGTCAGAATTTTTTTCCTCTTCTTGTTGTGATGATTCTGTCAGATTGCTTTGAAGGTAGGAAAGGAGGGCATATTAGTTGCTTTTTGTCGTCTCTGTGTCCATATATTTGAGCATCACTCTCTTGTTTTAGTTAATATGTTCAAAATTATTCAAGTTTTTGGACACAAACCAAATTATTTATATTGTACATAGGTAATTCTTGATTTCAGAGAGGGTATTTTGGTTGCTTGCTTGGTTTATTGTAAACGAAGTAGAATTATGGATTGTTCTGTTATCATGTTGTTTTTGTTGATCATGTGGTTAGTATTCTTTTTCTTTGATCTCCTTATTACAGTAAATCAGTTTCACATTTATTCTCTGAAAAAGAAAGATTCTTGCACTTTCATAACTGGCTGCTTTCTTAAGCCTCATTCCTAAGAAAAGCGAAAAATATCTCATAAAAAGGGCGTGTACCTGCCTTGTAGTGTATTGAATCAGGGAACCCAACTATCTATAACACGCCTGCATTAGTTCCCTCTATGGAGTTCCCTCTAGACCAGACACGGGCAAAGTACGGCCCGCGGGCCAAATCCACCCACTAGGTAATTCAATCTGGCCCGCTTGATGCTGCCACAACCAAACTGAAATGTTTTAGCTAAAAATAGCTCATAGAATTTGTTGAGATTGCGGTTAAATTTAGTTTTGGCACAAGGCTTATTGTTTTCCATCTGTTCTTTGTATTACTATAAATATTATTCATAAAATGTAACTTTTTACTCCTAAAGTGAAAATATGAATTGTCACTCTTTACCACTGGTTCTCAACCACTGGGCCATGGCCCACTGCTGGGCCACAGAACGAGTTGGAGTTGGGCCACAGACCTATCAATAATTGCTAGTTTTATTTATGTCACAATAGTTAGTTTTGATTGTAGCAGCAATCAATTACGATGCTGTTTTCTGCTACTGAGTGGTAATTTCCATTCTAGATATAAATGTTAAAGTGTCCATTTTCGCAGAAAGATCTTGATTTTTCTTGTAGTTTTCCCCTTGCAATAAAAAGTTAATGGACCACGAAAATTTTTGGGCAACCAAAAATGGGCCAAGAAAGAAAAAGGTTGAGAACCACTGCTCTATACAATTTGTCCAGATTTTCCACACCTAATCAGTTTTTAGGCACTTTGGTATCACTGCCAAGAGTTCAACAAATTTCTTTGAATCTATTATTGTAGAATTTTCTCGCTGTATTGATTTTAGCTGACTTAGTGGCTATTTGTGTTTGGCATCCTTATCAGCTGAGCCTACAATCTACCAGTAATATTCTCACATTTAATAGGATTTGACAATGCGCTTGCCGTTTATCCTTTAGCTTATCCTGGAGCCTTTTTTCTTTTACAGGTAGCACGAGAGAATTTGGGTACTCAAGCCGCTGAATTAAATCGAATCAAGGCAGATTACGGAGATGTGATTCCTCGGCGAGATTTCCTTGCATTGGAAACAAATTTCACGGAAATGAATGAAAAATACGAGACTTTCCAACAAGATTTCTCAAAGCTTAAATCAGAGCATGATACCTTGTTGGATGTGCACCAACAGGTGGGTCGTATATGTTAGTTGGTTGTATATGCAAGTAGGTTGTATGTGCAAGTTGGTTGTATGTGCAAGTTGATTGTATGTGCAAGTTGATTGTGTGTGCAAGTTGGTTGTATGTGCAAGTTGGTTGTATCTGCAACTTGGTTGTATGTGCAAGTTGGTTGCATGTGCAAGTTGATTGTATGTGCAAGTTGATTGTGTGTGCAAGTTGGTTGTATGTGCAAGTTGGTTGTATGTGCAAGTTGCTTGTATGTGAAAGTTGGTTGTATATGCAAGTAGGTTGTATGTGCAAGTTGATTGTATGTACAAGTTGGTTGTATGTGGAAGTTGGTTGTATGTGGAAGTTGGTTGTATATGAAATTAGGTTGTATATGCGAATAGGTTGTATGTGCAAGTTGATTGTATGTGCAAGTTGGTTGTCTGTGCAAGTTGGTTGTATGTGAAAGTTGGTTGTATATGCAAGTAGGCTGTATGGGCAAGTTGATTGTATGTGCAAGTTGCTTGTATGTGCCAGTAGGTTGTATATGCAAGTTGGTTGTATATGAAAGTTGGTTGTATATGCAACTTGGTTTTATATGCAAGTTGGGAAGTGGTTACTGTCAGTTAACTTTCTATAATATATTTGCGAAATAACTGACAATTACGATATATTTTCTAACTTTTTTCTGAAGGATAGCAAAGATGATAAAACGGCTCATTGATGGTTCATTTGTTGTGCTTAATGTTATTAGAATTAAATTAAGATTTTCATATTTATCCCGGGGGGAAGGGAAGACGACAAGACGATTTAATTGTATAGAAAGCCCTAGACTTTTGTGCGGTTACCAATTTATGTCAGGCATGGATCACAGCTATTTGTTAGAGCTCGATGGTAGTTGACCGGGGCCTATGGGAACCAAACTGTGACGAAAAGGGATCCAGTGATTTTTTATGCACACAAAAAGTCTTCAAGGTGCCATCAAATTTTATTTATTTGGCATCTGGTTTTAGCCCGAAATCTCAACTTGTGACCTGGTAAGCTATCAAAATTGATTGCATTCTTGATAATGTGGTTTGGAAGAAGTGCCAGGTTTTAGATTCTAGTCCCGAAATTGAGAATTCAAATTTATATATTTTCAGGTTATAGATCAAAGAGATGAATATTATACAGAAGCAGAAACATTGAGAAGAAGCGCGACCCCGAGACCGCAGTGGAAAAAATGCGCTGAGATTGTTCCCGGTGAGAATAAAGAATTTTCTCGGCAGGATACATGTTAACTTTAATAAACTGTAACAATACTATTTGCTTCAAAATAGAAGGACCGAATGGCCACTCCCGTAGCCTATGTACCTGGTTAGGGTTAGGCCATAATATTCTTCCGATTTTCCTTATTTCAGTTCTATTACGAGTTCGGGACTGTCTGTGTTAGCCAAGCGAATACCCCCCCTGCCCATAGGTTTCAGTCCGTTTACACAACTTGATGTAAAGTGGGCGACGAAATTAGTTACCTCCATATTGGTAATCACACTTCTGGAACCGCCGTTTGATTGACATAAAATAGATTCAGAACATAATCAAAATCCCATATTTGAAAAAATTATTTTTGGCCATCCCTGTCCAGAATAAATATACAAAATTCGGACCTCCAGAAGTATGGGCACCAAGATGGCGCACAACCTTAACATATTATGCGTACCAGATTAGGGTTCAGGTTGTGCGCCATCTTTGTGCACATACTTTGGGAGCGCCTAACCTGCAATTCTTTTTCCTTTATCCAGGTGGTCAAGAGCGTTGGTACGATTTATATCACGGCAAACGCAGTGCTGAAATCCTCGATTCTCTTGTCAGTGAACTGAAAGCTGGTCACGATAAAGGACCTGAAACATTCGAAGGAGAAGGCGTGGGAGAAGAAGTTCCAAAGTCTGATTCATAACATAAATTTTACTTATCATTGATTTTTTCTATATTTTATGGTATGCTATGCTGCCATCCTTTTAAACCTTCTTTATTGATGCAGAATTATTTATCCCAGTCAGAATTGTTAATTTATTTTGAACTCGACCATGGTACAAATAAAATACAGTACGCCAGACAAACAAATGAGACAGAAATCCAGGAAGTACATATTGTCTTAAAATATAAGTTATAGCTTGTTATATGTCTTATATATGCAATTGAGAGAATATATAACAAATCTATATAGTAGTGCTATTAGAGTAGGTCAATCAAGATGAGAGATGACATTTATTTCAGGGATCAGTAATTTTAGTTTATCATTTTTAATTTTCTTTTTAAATCATATCAGTATTGTCTACTTCACATGTCAATATCTCTTTGATGAATCCTTCTACGCATCAAATTTCGCTTACAAATTTCATACTACACAGTGATAGCTTGATATGCAGTGCTGGTATTTGTATTATATATGCAACTGAGAACATTTTGTAACAAGAATATTGAGAGTGGTATTTGTGTAGTTTTTTGTGCAAAAATCCAAGCTTATTTGAAAGATGATACTTTTGGAAGCTCAGTTTTTCTGTTTTACTTTTTGTATCTGCAGTTCATACAACTTATTCAGATCTTACTATATTCCATGCTGGCATATATTCTTTTATACCTTACACTTGCAGATTTATTTAACAGATCAGGTTAGCTATTATTATATGGTTAAATGCTGTCAGTGCTGTAATATTTATTCTATGTGCAATCGAAAATGTTTGTTATAAGGATATACACATAAAGTTCTCTTTGAAAAAAAAATAGGAAGACAGTGAAGAGATGCAGTTTTACTGTATATTAGTGAGTTGCATGAAACATATATTAATAAATAAGTTTACAGACGCTGGCTGGAAAGAGTGAATATTTATGTAGGGGATTGCAGAGATGCATCATTACTTATACACAGTGATTTATGTGATACAATGTTGTAGGTGAATACTATTAATTTAATTGGAATACTGGTATATAGAAAAATTCTAAGAGAATATGCAGAATGAAGGATATGCATGAAGGTAGGACATCTTTGTCAGAAGAAAAAGCAGGTGGGTTTTCGATTGATTTGCTTCATATTAGCTGAGGTTTACCTGACATATTCTTAGAAGTACAGTATCCATGTTAGCTTTCTAGAACTGAGATATGGGTATGAGTGGTTAAGCTATTTGCATCACTTTCTCTAGTATGAATGACTCAAGTAGAGCTGAACCAAGCTCTGAGTTTGGTATTTTTGCTAGTATTAAAGCAGTTAGTATTTGAATTTTTCGCCTAGAATTCCATGCTACAGGTTTTGAAGTTACAGAAAGTTACCAGCACGCTTGAGAGCTATCTCAAAATAAATGGGGGGTGTCAAAAATTTTGATGCTGACTGCAATTCAATATCTTTGGAATAACAAAATTTTAAATTCTCACAATTTAGTGTCTAGAAACATTTATAGTTGCAAATGAAAATTTCAACTCTCTCAATCTTTGAATAGTTTAGTTAGCTCTGCCTCTAATCCAGTATAAAGAAATAAGTCTATGTCTATGGCTTTTCTTCAAATCTATTGTACACAACTTTTTTCAATCTGTTAAAATTTCAGAAGTCTTCTGCTAATCTATTCAAATTAATATAATTTATTCCTATATTCACAGATACCTTCAGTTTGAAGGAACTATTCGCAATCGAATGTTATCAAAAGCTGAAGTTGCAAATCTTCTGAAACTTATCTGGAGTTCGAAAACGGAAAGTGATCGTCTGAAAGGGGCTCGCCAAGACATGAAAGAATTTCTGCTCGATTATTTTAGGGTAAGCCTTGGAAATTCTTTAAACAGTTGTGTATAAATATTGAAATATTTTTGATACTTTTCCAAAAGAAAATGAGCATAAGATCGATATGATTGTGATCTGCATCCCCAACCAACCAAAATCTTTAAATATTTAAGAAATATGTCATTGTTTTCATCAAAAAAAAATATTTACAAAAATGTTCATTATGGAATACAGTATGAAAATATAAACATTAAGATTGAAAATTATTCTTAATGGATTTCATTTTACATACTATATTATGTTAATTGTAACAAATTTTTTTTACCATTTCACTGTCAGATATTTATTATTTACTAAACTTAATGCTAGGATGAATATCGGAATATTTCCTTCTTTAAAAAATTGAAGTATAATAAATAGAGCTTTTATGAAAAGAAAAATTATAGGTTGATTTTCTATGAAATGAATATTTTATGGAAGAAATTTTTCTTCTTGAAGCTGTTCGAGGGAGTTTTTGGGAGGAACTTTTCAGGCACCATTAGTTAGATTATTTATATTTAAATGAAACTTGCAAATTTCCAGCAAAAATACAACGACCCAGAAATGGTAGCAGAGTGGGGATATTCATTGAAACAAGCTTTGATCAACTTTGAGAATGAACCTCATGTTAAACTGTTTGCCGATGTTTTGAATGGTAAAGGTAGGTGATGTGTTTTATGATGCATTTTTACTCAGTACGAGGCTGAAGATGAGCAGGATCTAAAACACCCACCCAACTGAAATCAAGCGCAGTGATTCGGAAGTATGTTTTAATAAAAAACACATTGGAATTGCTTTGATGAAACGTAAATACCAGAAATGAAGAAAAGTAAATATCCCAAATAAGGCGGGCAAGATCAAATCTAACAAATATTTTCATTTTCAATTAGCTTCACGCCCCCTCAAAAAATTGTCTATGCATTGATTTGACAAACCGTGTTAAATTTAGCAGTTTGTACCATGGCTCACTGTAAAACAGGCCCATAGGCATTGCTCTATGCTTATGCTATAGAAAATGTAGATGGTTATTGTGACATCACTGTTTGGTTTTAGCTTATTTTACTTAATACCACCACATGACCAAACTAAAAAGTCCGATGAAAGAAGCTCTAAAGTTTCATGAAAAATATATATATTGATCTGGGGTCACACTGGACACTTGAAAGTTGTGTTTGGGGTCGTCCTGAAAAAAGCTTGGGAACCCCTGGTTAAGAGTTGTACAGACCCTTGCTTGGAGTGGAAGGTGAGATACTTCTCACAAAAAATTTAATTGTAGAAATCATTTACAATCTGAAATTGTAGACTACACTAGACCCAACTGTACACAAGCACATAATTGTATCATGCAAGAAGCCATGCGAGTCGGCTCAAAAACTTGTGCAGATGGCTTTTCAATTTTGTGGTTCATGTTGCATGTTTTAAAATTCCCTTCTCAATTTTCTTCTTGCTTGCCCTATTCTGTACACAATAAAGTTTGAAAAGTGCTTTATCAGCTTCCCTAAATATGTTATAACCCAATGATTGTTCAGGTTCCGAAGATATTTACTACCGAGAGATGGACGTGATCAAAACATTGATGGTTTCATTGGATGAACTTGATAATGAGAAAGCCGGTAAGTTTACTCGAAGTTTTCTTGTTTTGAGTTAAACCGTAAATTTTGTTGCAAACATTCACGCAAAGTTGTGATTTTAAACACTTAGTGGGGCTGTATTCAGATTAATTTAGTCTCACTCGTTTTTCCAGGACTTGTTCTTATCATGTCAGTTTTTGCTGCAAATCCTCAGAAATCGTTTAAAAAGGGTTAGATATTAATATTACACTCACTTGATATCATCAGTACCCACTTTTAAGTAAAGAATTGGTGAAGTGCCTAGACAAACAATGGGTACTCCTGAAGTAAGCGCACCAAGATGTCGCACAACCTGAACCATAACCTGGTACACAACCTGAGTTCAGGTTGTGCGCCATCTTGGTACACATACTTCAGGAGGTCAAAAAATTGAACATTTCAAATGAATAGGATGGAAATTCATGTTTATGCCAGGGAAAGAAAGCCAGATAAGATAAGAAACTTAATCATGTGCCAAATCACGGCCTCTTGTCTGGTTACCAACCCATGTCAGATGTAGAATATTTGGACCTCCTGAAGTATGCGCACCAAGATGGCTCACAACCTAAACTCAGGTTGTGAATCAGGTTAGGGTTCAGGTTATGCAACATCTTGGTGCACATACTTCAGGAGTACCAAATATTTATTCAGGTATTGATTCCATATGCTTGAACCTGATGATAGAGGAAGCTCTAACTGACCAACGATTACCTAAGCACCCTCTGATAACGAGAAGTCCTGCAACTATTTCACACAGAATTAGGATAGGTGTAGGGGTGTAGCCAGAAATTTTCAAAGAGCAGGGGGGAGGGTCCTAAATTTCTAATTGCCAATTTAGACCAACAGGAGGCTGCAAAAAGGTTGTTTTCAAGTCTCGAAGGTCGAGAATAAAAAACGTGTTTCAAGCTACCAAAATTTGCCAGAAAAATTTCTTTTTTACATTTCAAAAAGAAGGGGGGTTTCAAAATGAAACTCCTTCCCCCTGGCTATGTTCTTGGATAGGTGTTCCGTTTAAAACGAGTTTAACATTATGCCGATGATTCTGGCTGGTTTTATGTTCAAATTCTTCTTCCAGGTAGTCTAAATCTCGATCAGTTTGGAGCAGCGATCAAGAAAGCGTTCCCATTAAAGATGGATCCAGAAATTGAAGCTTTAGTATCTGCAGCACAGGCTGAACTGGAAATGGTTTCTGATACGACGACGACTATTGTTTATCGGGTATTTGTCTTGTTTATTTTTTGTATTCGATGTATAGGATTTACATATTTATCGTCAGGGAGAAGAAGGAAATAAGACGGCTCATATGACGAACCACGGCCTCTCATCTAGTTACTGTCCATGTTGAGTATGGGATTAGTTAGGCAGGTATTTGTTTTTGAAAGCATGAACTTAATGGTAGAGGAAGCCGTATTACATAAACCACTCTACGGCAGAGAGGAGTCCAGCAATCCTCTCACACATAACTATCCCCGCATGGGATTCGAACCTGCGAATCCACACAGGGTATTCAGAAGTGCAGTGGCGAGTGTATTCCCAATGCTTAGCATGATGCGCCACATGTTTATATGCTTTTAATTCTCAACAAGGCTCTGTTAAGTAAAGAAGTGCTATTGTTTGATAGTAGAATGGTATTTTCATATTCATCATTTCATAGGGGGAGGAGAAAGGTGATGAGACAACTTAATCATATGGCGAACCACCCTATTGTCCAAGTACCAGTTCATTTCGGATATGGGAATAGTTAACGAGGTTACTTGTTTTGAATGCATGGACATATTTATACGACTTCCACTTCAAACTGTCATTAGCCATCATTAGATAGGGGTCTGCTATAGTTTGAAAGGGGCTGAATCATTTCAGTTCTGCATGGCCTACCAAATTTATTACACCATGCGTGAGGTGATGGGATTTGGTATTTGAACCTGAGTTGTGTAAATTATGACGCCATTACAGTTAAGTATAATGCCTTGACTATTCGACCTTTGCACCCACACACCGCGCTTACTCCACAATCCAGACCAATTCATCTGCAATGATTTTTTGAATTTAATAACTGTTCCAATTTGAACTGAAGTGATAACTTGATGCGAGGCTGTGGTTCAAGATTCGACTGAGCCATGTTGCGTGTCCTTCTTTTCTGAAATAAATAGGAAAACCTACAATTTTTAAAGTGAACACTCTTATTTTTTCAGGCATTATTCACAGAAGATGAAGAGGGGAACACTGGTCCTTTCCTTACTTTGTTGAGACAGCAAGAAAGAGATGAGAGGGACGCCTATGTGGATGAGATATTCAAACAATTGGAAGGAAAAGATGAGGTGGGTGTGGTGTGGGCGGCACCATGATTTGATCGAATGGATCAAGTAAAACTTTACATAATTTAGAATCCCTTTTTTTACTGAAAAATTGATTTCCAACCAGTTTAAGATATGAAAAATGTGGGTATCTTAATGCTTTCCCAGCTAATATAGATAGGTTCGCAACTTCTTTGAAATGTTTCAAATTTGTTTGGAATTTGTCATCTTTAAATCCTAATATTATTCTAGAATACAGTTACTTATGTGGGCGAGATTACTTTAGGGTAAATGTGCATTGTCTTAGGAAGAAAGGGTAGTTTAATGGTATGTTGAAACTTTTCATGTTAGTTTGCTCAAAGTAACATATGACAAAAGTGGAAATAGCACCAAATTCCAAATTCGAAAGAAATAACTAATACACAAATAGTTACATATTGGTTTACCTGTTACATAAATATCAGGTAATAGCATTTAGCACACAAGACTTGAAACTCAACCCAAAATCGAAGACAACATCGCGAATATCTCATTTTATGTATTGCTTCCAGCTTTTTCCCATACACTCATTTGAAGCAAATACCTATGCTAAAGACTCTTGTGGGATTGTCCTTTTTACACAAGTTCCCTCGCATAGTTTATGCCTGCTAAAATTTTACTTTAATTTAAAGGTCCCAATGCAAGAAATGAAGGAGACATTAATGATGCTAGATCCCCAGATCACTTCACCAATCATGCAGAAGTATCTCAGCATTGCTTACTCTTGCACTCCAGAGCTTACAGAACAAGCTGAACCCGCCGCCTTGGACGCAGTTATTGATAGAATGAAAAAGGGGGGAATTTATAGAGTGGGAACACCATTGTAAAATGGGAACACTGAATTTTTATGGGTAGAAACTATATAGTGGATTGGCCCATGGATTGTTAATTTTTCAGAATTTTGTGGTTGATATTCTAAAAAACATGCTGATTTATCTGTCCAATCAAATTTAGACACATTTTTAACAGAGAAAATTTCAACGAAAAAATGTATGTTCATTGCAAAAATGGAAGGGAGAAAAATAATATTTGGCTGTTGGGTGCTCAATTTTTCATGTAAATCATTCCAAATTTGCTTCAATTTGACATGTATTCTAATTTTCAATTCATAATGTAAAACTGGTCTTTTCAGATCAGAATATTGTGTACAATTTTGTTCTACTCTATGTTAAGTAAATTTATTTTAATACTATAACTAATACAACACTGGATTTCACCATGGCTGTTAATTAATGTTTGTGCACTTCATACTCTGCTTTTATTTGATTTTTGTAAATTCGCTAAAGCAGTTAAGCATTATATGATTGATTGAGGTTGTTGACAAACTCATCCCAAGCGGTAATGCAAATTTCCCCATTCAAGAAAGAATCAGTTTACAAAAAAGAAAAACTCGGTTCTTCTCTGTTGTCATTTTGCTTATCATGGAGGTCAGGTGGCCTAAGCAGTGATACAGAAATTTTCTATTTTAAATATCATATCATGTTTTTTGTAATAAATTTTACTACTGTGAAAGGTATTATTTCCTTTATCTGTAAGTCAATGACCAGGGCTACTCAACTATTTTCACCAAAGGTCGTTTACAAAACTTTAAAATTACTGGGGTCCGGACATTACAGAAAATTTATTTCATTAAATGAACGAAACGTCAAATGCAATATTAAATTTATTACAAGAGCAATGATGAATGGCTCTCAAACATGGACACGAATATCACACATTGGTGGTACCAGTATGACAAACTGTATAGTTTGTATTGTATCAGAATCATCTGAAAAATGAACAAGCAGTCGTGGTCCAAATTTTATGGTCGAAAGGTCCGGATTCGGATCGCAGTTACTGGTATAGGCAGTCAGTTTAATTTTCGTTTGACTCTAAACTTCTCACAAAATTATTCTTTAGATTAATTGCCAAGTTAGACAGACCGTAACAGCTAGCAGGTACGGCCGGATGTCGGAAAAAGCGGGTTTGCGAGTCTTTCGCGTCCCATTTAAACCTGGCTGTGTATGTCCTGATTATCCAATCCATTTTAGACAAACAAAAACTATTTTCAGCTCAACATAAATGATTTTATTTTATCTGATTAAGTTTGAATTATTATTGCACAATATACAAACAGTAGCATTATTTACAAACAATGATTTTAATGATTAGATGACAACATGAAGAGTGCAAATACATGATCAGTATAATAATAATAGGTATAATCACACATGGGTCACGCTTAAATGGCAGATTTTATCTTTGGGGCATGCATGGGGATAGCATAAAGCATCTACTATAGTTGGGAATTTAAGGCCAGTTAAGGTCACAAACACCCATTTCAAGGTTATATACGCTCACCAGAAGGTCCTTCAAGGTCACAAACATCCACCTAATGAGCATACAAGGTCACAAGCACACCCTTGAAGGTCAAATAATGGATCATATAATACAATGTAAAAGCAATCTAATTACTATGTTTATGCTGGTTATATTTAAGGCTCTCAATATCTGAATACTAATCTAGAATTGCAGGCATCGCAATTAAATTTACAAATTTATTTTGATTTTGATTGAACTAAAAGAATTTTACATAATTAAATAGACTTAAATCATATTGCTTGAATCACTCTAAATACGTTTTCCTAAGAGCTTTATACAACAAGAAGAAGAAAAAGGAAAGATGAAAGCTAGAATACATGGGGTAAGAGAAGGACAATATTACCATACATCAGGGTTGGCCAACAAGTTACCGTAGATTACATTATCAAATCAACAAATTAAATGAAACATAAAAAAATACATTACAAATTTTTGTGGCGATTTCATCATGAATGCCCCAACAAAGAGTCAAGCTTATTAGCAGCAGTGGAATTTTTCATTGACTGTGTATAGTTATCTGCATATCCAGTACTCATTCGTTTTGGTGTGTGACCTCATGACTATAACATAACTATTTTAGTCGAAAGCAGATTGACAGGCACCCTGCCATATATGCATCGACACAGATGGATTTCTAAAGAATCATAGTATGATGTCTTCTTATTGGAGTTTGTTAAGAGTAAGACAATACAGTAAATAATACTGATTTTATAACACATAGCAGGACTCTATTAGATTCAGTATACATGCACACAGAAATCAGTAAATGAGAATAATATTCAATGCAAAAGGGTAACAACAATAGAATTGAAGGGTTTGTTCGGATACACATAGTTACCGGTACTCCAGAAGTTTTCGTACCAAGATGACGCACAACCCTAACCTGGTACACATATTATGTTCAGGTTGTGCGCCATCTTGGTGCGAATACTTCAGGAGCACCTAGTTATCCAGCTAGCAATAAGACAAGAAGAATTCCTATATGCTTCCCTCTCCGCCAGAATATGTGTGAACTATTATTTATTCACCATGCGATAACTACTTACACAGTAACTGGTACATAAGAAGATACTATTGTTGAAAAATTGTCATTTTTCAGATTAGGGTTATAGCAGTGATGCCAAAACAGAGAATGTGCATCTCCCATAAAACAGGGGTGGGCAAATCATGGCCGCGATCGGGATTTGGCCCATTGAAGTGCTTCATCTGGCTCATTTGTGTCTGCTGAAATTATGAGTACAGTTTTTATGGATATCAATTTCTGATGAAAATAAAGTCTTAATGCCCCGGATTGTAACATCGTACAAACGGTAGCCTAGCTGTTGTATATAAATTTAATTTCATTCATAGTTTTTAATATTAAGTTTTGTGACTCCGGCCCAGTAACCAAGTCTATTGTCTGTAACTGGCCCACTCAGAGAAGTAACCTCCCACCCCTGTCCTAGATTCAGGAAATTGGTGTTTATCCACCATGCGATAAATACTAACATACAAAAAGCATTATTCTACAAAAAAATTATCTTAAAGTAAATAATGGAAGATTCACCATGACATACTATTGCAAAAAATATCAAACTGCAAAACAAAATATACTAATACTGCATTACTAACATATTAACAATTATCAAAGAGGTGTTTCACTCTTAACAAGGTTCTTTGCAAGCAAACATTGTTATGTAAGGAGTAACAAGTCGGGTGCAGAGCCAGAAATTTTCAAAAGAGGGAGATTTCTGATTGACAAGTTAGACCGCAACAGCTAGCGGGCTGTGAGTTTTCAAGTCTTGAGCAGGGCGTAGCCAGGGGGGTGGTTTTGCAGGTCGAACCCCCCCCCCTTTTTGAAATGTAAAAAAAAATAAAATCATTTTTCTGTATCATAGATAGCAATTTTTCGTGGCTTGAAATGCTTTTTAGACCCACAAGACGAATAAAAACACGCGTATTCCAGCGTTCGATCGGACGCGCTAGCTGTTTTGATCTAACTAGGCAAAAATTTTTTTTTACCCCCTTTCCTTTTTGAAATGTAAAAAAAATAAAATCATTTTTCTGTATCATAGATAGCAATTTTCCATAGCTTGAAATGCTTTTTTAGACCCACAAGACGAATAAAAACACGCAAATTCCAGCGTTCCATTGGACGCGTTAGCTGTTTTGATCTAACTTGGCAAAAAAAAATTTCAGAACCCCCTCTTTTGAAAATTATCGGCTACGCCCCTGGTCTTGAGGGTCTAAAAAGAGTGTCAAGCTACGAAAAATCGCTATGTATGATCCAGAAATGGGTGCTCCCAAAGTATGCGAACCAAGATGGCGGACATCGGAACGTAACATGGGTAACAGGTTAGGGTTAGGCAAAAATTTTTTTCCAATTTTCCCTGTTTTAGTCCTATTATCAGTTCGAAGACTAGCCAAGAGCCTCTCGTAGTATTTATACCTAAAATTATGGCCTAACCCTAACCTAGTACACATTTCACATTCCGATGTCCGCCATCTTGGTTCGCATACTTCGGGAGCCCCCAAAAAAGTGCCTTTTTTACATTTCCGACCCCCATACGCCTTTGATACCAGTTTGATACTTATGTAAGTATCATTCTTATGGGTTCAGTTATATTATTTTTAACATGTGTGGATAATTGAGAGAATATGAGCTTGCACGATACTCGAAATCTTCACCGTGGATTCTCGAAATCACGGTTCCAGAATCTAACAAATACAGAATGTTCTGCGATAAATTTTCAATTGAAAATTAAAGTCAGGAAAAGGTTCAATATAAATGTACGTATTTCGAATAGATTCGGAAAATAAATTTCTGATATATAGAAAATAATGAAGGATTATTCGTCCAACCCTGGTAATTGAGTTTAATAATATAGCTTATGAATATCTAAAACTAAAGTTATTTGAATACTTGAAAAAATACTGTGAATTAACGAATACTATAACTAGTGTAGATTACCGAGGTCAGAGGATACTGTGTGTAAAGGGTTAATAAAATGTGATTATTTGGGAAACCCCATGTGTGATCGGGGGTTAATAATATTTAATCTTTGTTGACGTCTGCGTTGTTCTGTTACTTGATCTTGGAGATCCTGAAAGAAGAAAAAGGTCAGAGGTCATTTTTGAATAATCCAGGAAGAGGATCTTAATTAGTAGAAAAAGGTCAGAGGTCATTTTTGTATAATCCAGGAAGAAGATCTTAACTGGCAGGTAAAAGGCCAGAGGTCATTTTTGTATAATCCAGGAAGAGGTTCCTAATTAGTAGAAAAGGGTCAGAGGTCATTTTTGTATAATCCAGGAAGAGGATCCTAATTAGTAGAAAAGGGTCAGAGGTCATTTTTGTATAATCCAGGAAGAGGATTTTAATTAGTAGAAAAGGGTCTGAGGTCATTTTTGTAAGTCTGATTTTTTCGCTACACTATTCATGAGGATCTAAGTCAGGTAGATATAATACTTCGGCACAAGGAAATACTAATCATATCCAGCGGAATTCATGCTATATCAGGGTTAGGATCGATATGATACTTTAGAACAGTGGTCCTTAAACGGTATTTACATTTCTTTATTGTTTAGATATTGCAATTTCATCCATGTATTTTCGATTAATTTTTTGAATAAAACATACTTTCGTCTTCTACCTATTGTTTTAAGCTTAATGTTAGCTAGCTAGGATAGAGTGCAAATATGAGGTGAGAGTCGAACAACTAGGAAAAATGCAGGGCACGTTGAGCATGAGATTTCTTAAGCCCCCTTGACAACCTTTAACAAGACCGTGATCATAAAATTCATTTACCTGTAATTGCTTCGACAGTTGCGAAACGAGAGCAGTTGTATTTTCGAGTTGTTGGCATAATGATCTCACGTCACTGTTCTCATCAGCTTCATCCCCTGCTTTCAAAGACATTGCTTGCATTCGTGGAAACCATTCCAGCATATTGTCCTGGAATATAGAGAACAATATAATGTCAGAGAGAGAGTGGAATGGACCGCCCGCAAGAACCGATACCGGAGGCAGTACATATAATTAGGATACAGGTATATCGAATTGTTACAAAGATACACACGCTTAAACTGTGATAATGACGTAACAGTAAAACGTAAAAAGAAAAAAACAAAGTGTAAAACTATTTCACTTAACATATTCGATCGTTATGCAGGTCGTAATTAGCCCAAAGGCAGCGGTTTGGGAACCACTTGTCTAAATTCACTCTGAACAAAGCCATAAACAAGCAAATCTAACAATTATTCAAAATTTAATTTATGAATAAAAACCATATAAAATCAGTTCATACCATAACTTGGTTGAAGACATAACTTTCTGGCCCAGTAAACTCTGTTTGATCCTTCACTTTGACAAGTACAATGAAGTACAGGTAATGCCACATATTGTGTTCTTCTTTAACATGGGTTTCGAATGAGACTGTCTTGTTGTCAAAGGACTTTCTTTCAAGACCTAGGAACAAGAATTGGATTGTGAATGGATTCTTCCAGAATCGAGTCAATGTATCTAACAAAAATAACTGGCTACCTATTCCAACCGACATAGAACGAAACATGTAGAAACCCGCCAAGTAAAAAAAAAGTGGATTTATCGGCTTTTCCTCCCGGAAAATTTGAAAACCCTATTATATCCTAAAACTTGTTCTATACCCAGAATATACTAGAATATGCGTTAGTAAACCTGAAGGATGCAACTGTGGATACTTTGCCACTGACTACCCCTGCTTAGGGATCATTGGTTTGAAACCTCTAGGGCAGGGGTTCTTAACCTGGGGTTCGCGAACCCCCAGGGGTTCATGAGAATATTTCCAGGGGTATCCGGATGACAGTCGAGTTTTTGTATGTTGCTGTTTTTTAATATCCTTCATTACTACCATGGGAAAATGCGTGCCCATTGAAACTAGATGCCAATTAAAACGTAGATATTCCCTGATCTTGCATTGTTGTGATTATGACGCCAACAATGTGAAATTCAAGGTTTTGCGTACAAACTGTGAAATCTCTAAAGACAGAAGTTAATATGCTTATTGTAACTTGGGAGAGATTTTAAGAATCCTTTAGTGTGGCAGACGACAAGGGCAATAATATCAACAAGACGATTCAATTTAGTTACATAAGGTCAATAAATTGGTGTTGCAACAAATTGCTAGTCAATATATCAGTATACCACAACTTTGTTCGGTGTCAGATTACCGGGGGTTCACGTTGATTGTTTCGTGACTTGGGGGGTACTTGACAGAAAAAAGGTTGAGAACCCCTGCTTTAGGGGATAAGTATGTGTATAAGTATGTGAGGGTTGGCGGACTCCTTTTTTTACTTTTAGATAAAGAATTGAGATGCTACTTTAAACAAACTTGTATAAATCTTCTGGCATTTCTAAAATATAATACAGCTTACAATACAACAACGAATGCTTTGAACTATTCTATCCCCACTCTTCAAGCTTTAGCTAAGAGCATGGATCTTTTCATAAATGAAGTGCACTACCCTGAGCAGACAAACAGGCAAAGTCTAGCTCACCGCAAAAGAAACAAGTATTCTTCAGCACATAGGTTCTCGAAGTACTGCATACGAATCCCCAAATATTCATGAGAGAAACCTAGCAGCTGCTAATGCTAACTTTTAAAAAAATTTCAAATACAATTTAGAAAATACAACCGAGTCATTAAATGAAGTAATTTTAGTTTACTCAGGAACATTTATTAGTAGGTAACAATGTTTTTTTTTTGTTGTTTCTATTGTATAAATTTATTGTTGAGGTCCGTAAATAATAGTCACCCTCTTCACGAGCCCCATAACCCCAAAAGTCTGAGAGCCCCTGCTTTAGCACATCATTCTTCTGCTGTTTCTCCGATCTCAAATTTCCAAGTTTTTAAAATTTCGTATAATGGTAATCTACATATTCACTCATACTAGCATTTGAACCTGCGTCCCCCAAACAATTCTAACCATAACTCACCACAAACAAAACAAGTATTCTTTAGCACATCGTCCTTTTGTTGTTTCTCCGATCTCAAGTCAGCAAACGTGTCAATGATGACGCCAAATATAAGGTTTAAGACTATGATAATCAGAATGAAGAAGAATAACAAGTCGTATAAAACTCTGCCCATGAATAGGATCCCTTCCTGTAAAAATAAAGTGTAAACGTGTTTAAACGCCAAGCGTCTTGAAAACTATTTCTAATCGATTCGAATTGAGAACATCGTCACTGCTCGGAATGAAATGCGTGACTTAACACTGTATAAAAAAAACTTGGAAATACAATGTCAACTTATACTATAAACCAGGAGTGTGCAACCTGCGAGCCTGCAAAAAAAATTGTGCGCCCGCGGAGGAGTGCCAATTTTTAATGGTTTGCGTCCCACGAAATAAGCGTTTAATTTAGTTCAATCTGGAACGTGCAAGTATTCCCTTTGCGTCGCAAAGCCTATACCAAAGTCCAATTTATTATCTATGCAGATGGCGTCACAACGTCACCAAACAGTTGCTTGTGCGAAGCGCGAGCAATTCAGCATGTCATAAGATCAATTGCCAAAATATATGTGCCCGCCACTACAAGAAAGCCTATGTTGAATAAAAGTGAGGCCTGCGGTTCCACCCAGTTATTTCTATCTGGCTCTTCTGTATTAAAGGCTGCACACCCCTGCTATAAACATTTAAAAAGTTGGAAGGGCATAATAAAAAAAAAGAATGCTATGATTTTTTATATTACTAAGCCATCTCATGAACTATTCCTCTACCCCAGACCAAATAATATTCTTCCATACTTACATCTTTTGAAGGTTTCCTCAGTATATCTCCTATACCTCCTCCGTTCCTTAGGCCTTCATTTAAAGTTGTTATGATGCACATAAACAGGGTTTCACAGTGGTTTTCTACTATATCACCATCTTCATCGGCTGTGTGCTGAGGGTTAATAACTGTCGCGTTGGTTTGGTTACCGGTACCATTGGCTGTCGGTCCCCACAGATTTGGAAAAGAAGCTTGAGCACCTGAAGTAGGAAATGTATGGGATTATTTATAAAAGTTTCATTTCAAAAGTAACCAATCGAAAGTTGAGTCCCGGTCACTCTGAATAGGATAAAAATTACATTTAAAAGGTGACCAATCAGATTGGAACTCTGGTCACACCTCCACCCAACACAGACTAACAATTTAAAAAATTTACATTCGAATAAGGACCAATCAAATAGGAGTCCCGGACACTCAGAAAAAAAATGTGTGAAACTTGACAAATCATGTCAAAAAGACTGGCGGGTGCATTTGTTTGGTTACCTATTCCATTGCCAGTCGACAATTGCCCCCATAGATTTGGAAATAAAGCCTATGCACCTGAAGCAGGAAACTGTATGGGATTATTAAAAAAAGTTTTATTCAAAAAGTGACCAATCAGATTGGAGCCCTGGTAAGTCTGAGTAAGAAATTACTCTGGTCACACCTCCACCCAACACAGAAGAACAACCTAAAGTGACCAATCAAATCAGAGTCCTGGACACAATAAAAAAAAAATGCGTGAAACTTGACAAATCATGTCAAAAAGTTTTCATTTAAATAGTAATCAATGGATTGAAGCCCAGGGCAGGCCGCGAATATCTTTTCACTTCTGATTTTGGCCACCAGTCGACCACCTTTGGGAACCACTGCTATGTAATATTCTATCCACTTACTATTAGTACAATTTTCATCATCCTGTTCGCAAACTTGTGAAGGCTTATTGAACATTTCTTTCGATTCTCCAACTTTACGTGCAATGTTGTCGTAACGAGACAGCTCTTGTTTTATATTCACTTGGGCGACAAAATCATCTTTCAGGAAGAGGAATCCAACAATACTGTTATAAAAAAAATAGGGTTACGTTCAGGGTTGCCAGATTTACCATTGAAACCAGAAAAATGCATTGGCATTCTCAACATACAATTAATATGAGGCGCTCCAGAAGTGTTTGTGTCCCAATATGGAGGTAAACTATTTTTGTTCGCCTACTTTACATCAAATTGTGTAAATGGACTAAAACCTATGGTCCCTGGCTAAAACAGACAGTTTTCAAACTCTTAATAGAATTAAAATAAGGAAAATCGAAACAAAATTATAGCCTAATCCTAACCTGGTACACACACTATGGGAGTAGTTAATAGGATTGGATTTACAGATTTATCCTGTGAGAGAGTGAAGCCGATAAGGCGACTTAATCATATGGCAAACCTCGTCCAGTTATCAGTCCATAACTGACCAGTAATTAGTGTAAGTATTTATGAACATGAGTTTTACAGTTGCCGAAAATTTGAAGTCCCGGTAAGGAATTCCATAAACACAACTCCTTTAATACTATCGCCATATTGTCTAAATCCTTTTTTAAGTGATGATATAAAATGAGTAAGTGATGACAAATATAAGCCTAATTAACTTCATGTAACATAATAACTGCTTGAATGAAGCCTCCTTCAGAGCTTAACCTTTCCATAGAGAAGATAACACAGTTACCTGAACATGTAAACCAATATGAGAGCCAGCATTGCAGTAAGGAGAATCGATCTTCCATTTCTGGTCACGCTTCGTATCACATTCAGCAAAGTTTCTTCTCCGTAGATCAAATCGAAGAGCTGAAAGAATAATGCAGGGTAAAAACATTTGCCACTACAAAGAGTGCCAAAATATTGTGCATTGAACTGCATGGCGCCTCTTTCTGTTTGCTTCCTATTTTGAATTTGTGTCCATTGCCACAAGGATGCTTGACTAAATAGTATTACAGTAATAAATAAGAATAACAAAACCTATTTTCATGAAATAGCAGATTCGCTGTTTAATTAGATGTAACAAAAGCTCATGAATAAACTTGCTATTTCGTGGAAAGAGATTATTTTATTCTTATTTATGCTTCTAATACTATGTCGCTCAAGCATCCTTGTGGCAAATAACATGTACGAATCCGAAATAGGAAGTGAACAAGGACTTGCAGTCCAGTTCAGAATACCTTATCTAGTCTAGTACCTTCTGCATGAGAATTACATAAAAGGATGCTTGAAATAAATGGGATATTTGCTGTTTGATTAAGGTATAATTTGTTTTGTCTGATAAGTTTTGACTATGATCAAAAGCTTACTAATATACTATTTCGTGAAATAAGATTATATTATTAGTAATTAAATTTTTTTTACAAAATTGTCCAACTTAACTTTACAAAACATAATTTTATAACAACTTACCAATACACTGTAAAACAGTTCATCGACCAGCAGACCAGAGAAACAGAACATGATGTGAGCGATGTGTAACAGGAATTCAGCATCACACAGTATCGGCATGATTCCTTTTTCTTTAGTGAATATTCCCTTGTTTCCAACGTAACTCACGAGGTAGACAAGTCTATTACCAACCTGTGTGAAATAATGTAAATTTTTTATATTTAAATTTTTTTCAAAGTTCAATTTCTTTGATCGTAATAGGATTATTCTTTTGAATTTGTTCGCTAATTTTTGAACATGCGTAAAATAAATGATGGATATTGATTTTAAATAAGTAGCTTATTAAAAAATCCACCAATGGCAATCGACAGTTTTCTATAAATTTTATACATTTAAGATTCATGAGAGCAGTCATAATTAAATGAGCCTTTCCAGTATGTTCACTTATTGGCATACTTGGTCGCCTCATATAGCTGGCAATTTTTCCGGTTCTAGATAGTGGGATTGTTAACGTGCCTTTTCTGAATTAATGGAACATACAATGATGATGATGGGGATTATATTGGATGGTGATGTGTAATGTGATGAACTTTATTGTATTCTTGTTTTAACACATATTAAAAAAAATAGATGTATATAATGATTGATAAAACAAATAAATAAAAACTGATAATGAAATCAGTAAACCATTTTCGTTTGTATGAATAAGATTCAAATTTGAATATGACTGGAATATTTTCACATGATTTAGAAACAACAAATTATATCAATGTCTGAATGTTACATGCGGGTGAAACGTGCCTTGAATAAATAGGGAGGCTGTTCCACTCTGATCTCTACTCAAACACTTAACATTCAGCACCCCCAGTATGAGCAAAGCTTCGTGCTTACACTCAGAATTGAAGACGAGGCAAATTCAAACTATTTCTTATAATTTTAATTTGATTCCAATCTATCCCTTTACACCACTCCCTCTCCCGACCAAACAGTTAGAAAAAAACAAACACTTACATTCAGCACCCCCAGAATAAGCAGAGCATTCTGGACTCCGATAGAGAAGATAGTTTTCATCATGACAGACAGAGCGAGGCATCGAACAGCAAACGGATTTGTGACCGCAGCCAGAGAAATCAACATTATAGGCCAGAGAATAAGAGACAACTGGTCGTTGAGAACTAGAATAAATATTGTATAACATATTATTGTTTGGCATTAGATCTGCTTAAAAATGGTACAAATTATATATTCAGTTGCTCGTGGGCTCGATGGCATAGTAGTTAAAGCTTTAGACCAAAGGTGTGCAACCTGCGGGCCAAATGCGGCCCACAGGAAAAAAGGGTGCAGCCCGCGAAACGAGTTTTTAATTTAGTTTAATCTGATATGCGCAAGAAATTCCAATTCTTTTGCGCTGCGAAGACTGTACCTGAGCTTGTGCGAAGTGAACATCGCATGTCATAAGACCAATAGCCAACCCGTGGATTCATTCAGGTATTTGTATCTGGACCTCCTGTAGTGAAGGTCACACATTTCTGCTTCGCAATCCTCTAATTGAAAGTGTTAGTTTAGCAGGTATTCAAATTCCATGCCCACCACCTCAAAGATGGCTTAGCTGTACGACTACCAACAGTGTAAGATTAACCTTGTCAGTGTCATGATTTACAGCATATTACATGCCCCCACCTCGCCCAGGGTGTAATAAATTTGGTTGACAATGCCAGAATGCCTCTTCTGAATGTGAAAAAAGATATGAGTGAGGCTAAATGTCATGCCAAAGAAAATTGCAACATAGAGCCCTGTTGAGAGTAAAGGTATAGATTTAAAAAACTTACATTTATAAGTCTCAATCATGAAAGGATAGAAGAGTCCGACAAGTAGGTTGATAATAATGATGAGATTGAATGAAACCGTGCTCCATAATGATATGTGACGACTAAACCAGTGCAGCGTCTTGTACTCTGAAGAAGGTTAAAAATAATTTGACGATTATTCAGAGAAAAATGGGTGTTTTTACCCAAAAATGAGTCTTTTTGCTCAAAAACGAGTTACTTTTGGGTGAATACTTGTGACCTTGCTTTGAGAAAATTCTCTATCTTTTCAGTCTGGATTCAAAAATTCGTGAGAATGACTCTACAAATGGGCCCAGGGAATATCGACTCCAATAGGTTGCAAGCCATACCTCTCAGCTTTTTCTGCCACACCATCTCCCTGTACATGTCTTCTACTTTGCCAAAGAATCCTCCAACCTTGCTTCCCTGATCATCCCGCTCTGTGCTTGTTACCACCCTAATGAAGAGAAAGATGGTTATAAATCCTAATAGAGAAAAAAATAATTGAAACAAAAAGAGCATTGAACCAAATTATGCGGGAGTTAATGCACCAGGGCTGGCCAAAACCGAATATTTTACTATACCGAATACATTTTGGGAAAATAGTTAAGAATATGATATATCGAATACTTTTTAAACAGGGGGCACTATCATGTGGGAAATTACATGACATTTCATACAACAAACAAGCCTTTTACAGACGGTTTCATAACATGGAAACTATTTCCCTCACCTTCTCTTCGTCTCATCTGTAAGATAACTGCAAACATGAGGAACTGGGAAAACGATTTGTTCCATCGTGCGATCAGCTCGAACAATCTGAAAGAGGTAAAGTACAAAAAAGTTAAGTAATACCACGGCCAGTGTGACATGTGTGGTCTTCGACAGTGGTTCTCAGCGTTTTTTAGCTTGCGGATTGGACAATTATATAAGGAAATTCGAATGTATTCAAATATCCGATTCGTTCTGGACATCTCTGCTTCCAACTAATCCAAATTTAACAAGTTTTATAGCAGTACTCTCGGCATTCGAGAAGTTTGTGTACCAATATGTTATTTTATGTAAAGAACCGATACCCGGGAAATCGGTGAAATTACTAAACTAAGGAAAGGGGAATATAAGAAAAGGGTAATAACAGCTTGCTAATACTAATGCTCGTGGACCAAACCTCACTCATGACATGACGTAAAATAATCTTATGACTCAATAAAATATGAAAGTGCATTTGCTCTGGTACACATACTACAGGAGGTGTCATCCTCTCACCTCAATTTGAGCTGTATGTTCCTGGTAATACCGTAATGCTTCAGTCCCAGATGGCGTACTCTCAGGTCTCAGTGCTTCTGCTAATTGTTTGTTATGTCTGGCTAACTGGTGAGCAAGAATGTAAATGTTGTGCCCGACTGCTCGTGGAGAGCCATCACCGGTTAGGTCCATCTAATGAAAGCAGTAATGAGATTTTTTCATTTATTCACGACGGCAGAGGACTGTTTAAGATGATTTAATCACAATGATCCCAGATCGTGTGCGCGATATCCTAGGGTAGGGCTACTTAACTATTTTTACTCTAAAGATCCGTATACAAAACTTTTAAAATTCTGGGGATCCGGTCTTTGCAACCCTGCAATTCTTTGACCATCAAGTGATTATTCCCTAATCAAGATAGCGTTATTCGCATTGTTTATTATGGCGTTACAGTTATTTTCATACATAGTCAGATGCAAATATGAGTAAATGATAAATTAATCTTTAAAAATATAAAAGTCATTTATTAAAAGTAAACATACACACATCCAGGGTAGGGCCAATGATACAAAATAAAGAATCAGCTGCAGTCTAAATCAATGCTTGAAAGGTCCAGATTCGGAATGCCGTCTGCCAGTTGAGTAGCTCTGGCCTAGGACTATGAAGCGTTAAACTTAACGATGTTGGCATTGCTGATTACATATCTTGGATAAAAATCATCTAGGGCAGTGGTGCACAACTCAAATGAGGGTACGTGCCAAATTTTTCAAAATAATCTTGTCGCGTACCACGCACAATTGTGGTATTGTAAATTAACTCCTTAAAACAAACAAATTCCAATAACAATACATGATAACGGATATCTATTTATTGAAACAAATTATTGTCCTGAAAAAAACTGCTGTTTTTGATATAAACGTGATATTTTAATGTATATCATAAATATTTCTTTATTTTACAAAACCGTTTGCGTGCCACGTTTGAGCGTTTGGCGTGCCAAATTTGGCACGCGTGCCTCGTGTTGTGCACCCCTGATCTAGGGCATTATTATCTGGGTAGGCAATGACAAACTAAGGACCAGAATCCCTTCTAAAACAGTAGCTCCTTGAATATCAGTGAATAGAACTTTATTTGAACCAGAAGGTGTGAATAAGTGTCGTATAAGCAGTGCATTGGTTTTAGAATAGGACATAGAATGACAATGACAAACTGCCTACCTGAGTATTCCTAGGTAGAAGCCCGCCACTCATGGCCTCCTCTTCAGCAAGTCGTTGTCCCTGTGAAAAATAAAATATTAAGAGATATGTATTGTATAATATAATCATACAGAATTTTCACTTAGAACATTTAAAATCTTGATGCATTGCATCAGAGAGATCCATATAGGATAGAATCATTCAGATTTAGTATAGACAAAATAGCAAACTTAAATAACTCCATATCTTGGCAGTTAGTGTCTTGCTTAAAATTAGCATCATCGTTCAGATTGCTGACATACAACTGATTAGCTTGCATGAAATCCTAGGTTTGAAACCCATGAGTGAAACATATGTGAAAAAAAGACTCTTCCATTTGTAACCGCTGGCCTCCCTCGCTCTACTACCCATTTTCATGGCACAATTAACAGTACTCCCGTAGTGTGTGTACCAGGTTAGGGTTAAGGCATAATTTTCTTCTGATTTCCCTTTTTTTAGTTCTATTACGAGTTTGGATACTGTGTGTGTTAGCCAAGTAAATATACCCCTGCCCATATTCCCTTTACACAAGTTGATGTAAAGTAGGCGAACGAAATTAGTTACGTCCATATTAGTACATACTCTTCTGAAGTGCCCAGTTAACTAGTCAACTCTTCTTATACCCAACATAGACAGGTAAGCAGATAAGAGGCTTCATTGCACCATATAATTAGAGATCCTTATCATCTCTCCCCCACCCATAACTCCCCTATAAGTCAAGTCTTTCAGTTTTCCTTCATCCGAGAAAATACAAAAAACCATATCCATTTTCACTCACCTTGGTATAAGCTTGCTCAATAACGGCAACAAGTTGTTTTGAATTGATGTTTCGAAGAATTCTCTCAGCGTTTTCAGAATCATGACGACTTTCCATGATTGCAAGAAGAAGTTTGCTTGCATTGTTCTGCGTTAAAATTAAAAAAAATAATGCCAAAATGGTGTTTGGTGTGTTGGGTATAACTTTATTGGGGCTAATTACAACAGATTTTATTGCTTTTCATCACAAAATAGTGGCCCAACTAATAGGCCTAAATAATTTTTACTTTTGGACACCAGCAGACAACACAACAGCAATCGTGGATTGAAAATATTGCAATTTTCACAAAGCAGTAAAAGTGAAAACGTTGAAAGTGCTAAGAGCTATTATTTATAGAATACTGATCTCCGTAAATATAAACACAAAGTTTGAAGAAAATTTGCTTGAAGCAAAGTCAAGCGCACCAGCGCAGACCAGAAGACTATTGATTTTGGATGAATTATATCGCATAATTAGCGAGTTATTGATTAATTAGTGATGGGACACACGGTGTCGCTATTGAGTCAGAGCGAAGGATACATGCCGATAGATCGCTAAGTCGGCGGTCTCTGATCGCTATCGCGTGTTTACCTTTAATTGCATTACAAGATCCATTCTATGTTTTCCGAGAGGATTTATATCGTTCGATATCAGAGCAATGATAATGTCAATTCCATTTGATTCATGGCTTGCTATGGCATTCTGCAAAATAAAGGTATTTACTGTTAGTAGTATATTGGGGTAGACAATTATTTAATACAAGCCAGTTCCTCAACTTTAAATGTACTGATAGAAAGGTTACATGCAAGCGGTAATGCTTGATTCATGGCTTGTGTTATGAGAATCATGTTCAGATATTCATGTTGCAGTGTTCAACAATTTGGAATCCTTTGTTTATATTCTAGTAACTATTGTTGTTACTATAAATCGGGAGAAAGTTTCAATTGTTATTACCATAAAATCGAGCAAAATTTTTTGGATACCCTGTATATATATACATATACAGCAATTTTCCTGTCCATCGTTTTAATTGAATTTATCTGCATTGATATTCGAAACGTTTGCTGCCTTGTATCGATTGCTTTTAACTAATCACTATAAATAATCCTTGCGATACATGGAAACCACTAAACATACCTGGTTATCGTGGCAAGGACCTTGACAATACTCAGTGAGACTTTCCAATGTCTGGTTGATGAGATCAACATTGTTTTCATTGATATAAAGACCAACAAGACCCAGACCACCGGTTGTGCTGCCACAGATGCAATCAAGAAACTTCAAAGTATCGCAAACTAAATTGTAGTTTGTTTTGTTGTTTTGACATCGAAGATAATTCTGAAACGGGATTCGGATTGAAATAAATTATATCAAAAGGTTTTTTATAATCTCTGGTTAGTTAGGCCTTCTACACAACAGAAGCTCATGCCTATGAAACAAATTAACTGCTTAAAAATTCCAGAGTTTCCCAAACCGCTGTGACCGCAGGGGGCACATATCAAATTTTAGGGTTCGCAAAGAATACACCAATTTGACAAAAGGTACCATATCTATTGTGCTTTTTTACACTTTTGGTTCAAAACACAATTATTAAAACATAAATCTCACAATTTTGAGAGAATGCATTGGATCAGAGAAGCGGCGCGCTTGAATAACAATGCCGACTTCACAGAGGTCACATAAAATTTTAATATATTGGAAATTTTCGGTCCTAGACTTCAACTACTCCAATGCTAGTGAAATGCCAATCCCCAAGTACAGTATTGGGTGCTTCCGGAGTATGTGCACCAAGATGCCGCACAACCTGATAACCTTATCCTGGTACCCATACTATGTTCAGGTTGTGCGCCATCTTGGTGCACGTACATGGGGAGCACCCAGTATGGGATTCTCCCTGAACAAACCTGCAAATGTGCGTTGTGATTCTCGCAGAGAAGTTGAACAAATCTAAGTATCGGTTTCATTATACTGACAGCAGGACTGAGTGTTCGTTCATCATCTCGTCTATCCATTTCACCTAGAATTTGAGAATGTAAAATTGAAAAAGCACTCTAAGGGCAGAGACAACCAAAATTAGTTGAAAATGCCTCCAAATAATTTCTAAAAACTGTAAGAACGCCTCATATTTAAAAATTTAAACTCAATAAATACTAATTCGAGATATATTCTATATTTGAAAATATTATCTTTGAATGTTTTTGAAATAGTAGCTTAGTTATTACTTATCGATTTTAATCGGTAAGTATGTTGATAGGTATTTGTCTGTCTGTTTGTCTGTTAGATGCACGCGACATCTCACGAAAGCGAGATTGAATCTGGTCCAGATTTTGCATGTGCATTCATCATATGTCGGACCAGAAGCCTATTGATTTTGGGTGAATTATGTCGTTTAATTAGCGAGTTATTAATTAATTAGTGATGGAACACAAGGTGTCACTATGGGGTAAGAGCGCCGTTTGGGGAGGATCCCCTAACTTTCAATCGATAAGTCTTCGATCTCTGACTGATATTCTCGTTTGATTCTTGGGTGATGTTTATATATATTCTTTTAGAATAGGATAGGATTTACATAGCCATTAAGGCTGCTAAATTAGTTGGTAAACCACAGCCTCCTGTCCGGTTACCAGACAATGACAGGTATGGGATTAGTTAGTCAGTTATTTTTTTTCATATGCATGGACTTGGGGGAAACTGACTTGAGGTTATGTGAACCACTCTATGACAGCGAGAAGTCCAGCAATCCCCTCGCACATAATTATTCCCGCATGGGATTCGAACTTGCGAACCCACACATAGTAATCAGAGGCACGATGTCGAGCAGATTCCTAACGGTTAGCACGATGCGCCACACCGCCAAGCCAACGGTAGATACCATGTTATGCGACTCTCCTCACTATCTTACCTGCTAGTGCATTATGGCCATCAGTAAATCCATCTGAAGTTGTGTGAGGCCGTCGAACAGTTTCTATAGCTTTTTGTATCTGCATTGTTGCATCTGATAACTCTGATTCCATTTCACCAGATAACTATAAAGAATTTTTTGAGAAAATCAGTACTTGAAAATCTTGGTTTAAAAATGAAATATTTGAAAATTTGAGAAAAATTCCCATTTTTGTGTGATGAAAATGTATTTGTGAAACACACACAATTAAAAATAAAATTCATTCCTTTTGCCCAACACCAAAACAGACTACTTCAAGAAACTTGATCGTTATGGCTCAGATTGCAATAAAACTCAGCAAATTCATGGAAAGAAAACAAAGCTTGTCCTTTTTTATTTCAATTTGGCTTCAATCTGTTCTAGTATTCAGGTCCTCTAAACATTTCACGAACCTCCTGAAGTATGCGCACCAAGATGGCGCACGCCCTGAACTCAGGTTGTGTACCAGGTTAGGATTCAGGTTATGCGACATCTTGGTGCGCATACTTCAGGAGCACTCATTTTACCAGACTATAACTGCATGCTAATAGCTCCAAACACCCACAGTAAAAATGATAAAAGTTGGAAGCACTACTGAAATCCTAAGATCTATCAAATTTACATAGAATTATGGTGATTGCAACAGAGCTTCAACCTGTCCAGAAACCACCTTACCTGTCTGTAACTGTCAGAAATTCCAGCACCTGATGTAAACGGTGAAACAGGGGAAAAGTTGGGGAACGTTGGTTCTGAGACACGAGTTAGTAGCTCACCTACAGATATAAAGAATATGAGTGAAAATTTTTGAAGATGAGAACAATAATTTTGACTGTAAGTATAGAGTTTCAATGATCTACGATAATTTAACCATAGCAGTATTGCTATTTTAAGTTAAAGCTTGAATCAAGGATTTACTATTAAAACTTTAATCATTCATAGAATACAATTTCACGGTTATCCCATTGGTCGAACCACGAACCACGCCCCTCATCATGTTACCAGTCCATGTTAGGTATGGGATTAGTTAGCCTGATATTTAATTCAGATACATGGACTTTGATGGATGATGGATGCAGCTGTAACTGACCAGCAGACAAACCGGGGAAGTTGAATGGGTGACGAGATTTCCAGCAATCCCCTCACACCTCTTCACATTTTCTTTCACATAAATAAAACCTGCACATGGTAACCAGAGGCATGGGCGTAGCCAGAATTTTCAATGAGGGGAGGTCTGAAATTTCCAATTGTCAGGTTAGGCCAGAGGCTGGGAGTCTTGAGTCTAAAAGGCGTTTCAAGCTACGAAAAATCGATATGTATGATACAGAAAAATGCTTTTTTTTTACATTTCAAAATTGGGGGGGGTCCCTCTAATCAGAGTTACAATGGTGTGTTACTCATGATTAAGCACAATGAGTGGACTGTTGAACCCCTCTTTGGTATACAAAAGCCTCATATCAGCAAAATTATTTACCAGTATTGACAGTGGAAGAATTCTTCAGTTCTTGTTGAGCAATTTCCATCTTCTCATGGAAAACTTTAAAAAATGTCTCCGAGTTGTTTTCATTATGAAGCTCAGAAAAGAAGGACATCTGGAATAGAAAATTGAAAGTTAAACCGTGAACCTATAATAACAGGTACTTTGAATCTAATTCAAAGCATATTGACCAAAAATCAGAAAAATATTGACTAGGATAGGATTTGAATAATTATCTCTGGGGAGAAGAAAGTCGATAAGTCGGCTTAAACCTATGGAAAACCACGGCCTCTCGTATGATTATCAATCCATGTCGGGTATGGGATTAGTTAGCCAGTTATTTGTTTCAGATGCATGGACTTGATGGTGGAGGAAGCTGTACGCGACTAGCGGTTACGTGTTCCACCCTACGGCAACAAGGAGTCCAGCAATCCTACCGCACATAAAAATCTCAACATGATTCGAACCTGTGAACCAACACAGGGTAATCAGGGGTGGCAAGTGTAATACTAATGCTTAGCACGATGCGTCACATCGCTGAGCTTTAAATGCCCAGGTTCACGAACATCAATCTTCATTGCATCTGGAACAATGAAATTCATAATCGACCAGGATACATGAACCACCCTACGGCAGCGAAGAGTCTGGCACTTCTCACGTACATAACCATCCTCATATGGGATTCAAACCGCTCATGCCAATCTACATTGAGTAAAAAGAAATCAGTCTGAAAAAGGTCCATTTAATTTTCATCGGACAATTTCAATAACTTATTCTTAGTTCTACTAATTGGGTATTACTCCATTTAGCAATAACTTGACCAAAATAATACATTACCTGATTGACGTGGTTCCCTCCCTCCAGCAAAGCAATACCAAGCAGAACGCTCTCATGGAAGACAATCTCACTGTAATTTCCAACTATCAGGTTGATAACAAGATCTGTGGCTCCCTCTTTGTTTAGATACCATTGCACTTCTTCCAATGAAAGTTCAGTGCGACGAAACGGACTAAAAGAAAGAGAATAAGGATTGCAGATTTTTGGGCGTTCCTATAGTATGTGCACCAAGATGGAGCACAACCTGATAACCCTAACCTGGTACACATACTATGTTCAGGTTGTGCGCCAATACTATGGGAGCATCGATTTTTGTGATGAGCAAGGCTGTAGACAAGCAAACCATAAACCTTTGCATAGACTGAAGGGGTAAAAACAGCTTATAAAAACATGAAAATTTCGCAAAGCGTAGGATATAACTAAGCCACCCAACATGTTACTACACATAGACAATCCATCACCTCAACCATGGCATACTAGGGTGCATAACTAAGCTGCTTGTCCAAAGCATTGTTTTAAATCAGGGGTCGGCAACCTTTTGTTGCTCGCGGGCCAAAATTAAGGGTTGCAAGTCATTGGTGAAAACCGAACGGATGATACTTTTTATAATAAAAATCAAGCTGTAATACATTGCATAGCATCTCAAAAAATTCGATTTGAATATTTTCGGCCCCATTGAACTCTTTGCACTTAGCATAAACTTTTCTGCGTTTTGTTGCCATTTGTCTAATTATGATTAAATTATAGGCTAATTAAATGAGTAATTGTGAATTTTATACTTGTTAGATTATAATAAAATTTAGTCTACACACGTCTCGAAATAAATTCTGTTACGTAAAGAATTTAATCGTCAAAACAGCTGTTTTGTTACTATAATTTAGTAAAGCGTCGTGGGCCGGATAATATTACTCCGTGGGCCGCAGGTTGCCGACCCCTGTTTTAAATGAACAAGTGAAGAAATCTCAATAGAAAGATACGAAAATCACACTAAACAACAACACAAACCTTCCTGAAGTGTTCCCATTGTCTTTTTGAGCAAGTTCCCTTAGATGTTGATAGCTTGAGCCGTAGTATCGAGAAAGAAGAATTTGACGCAGTGCTTCACCCTGTAGAAAAATTAAAAAAAAATATGATACAGCAAAAATAGAATAATACTTGTGAAAATGCAAAACCACCAAGTGGTCTTCTATGTGCCTTTACGCAGTGGACTTGCATTGAGCAAATTCTATTGAAACAAGTCGGTAGGCGCCCAGGATCTTCGCTGATAGTTGAGGCCTGCACCCAAGCCACTTATTGCCATCTATAGAAACCTGAAGATCTTTAACGGTGGCGCGATGAACTAAGTGAGCGGGTTGTTAAAAAGTCCGATTCATTTTGAGCGCTGCACGTTTTGAAGACATTCTCACGTGACTGATATGGGGTGACTAAAAATTGAAAAGAATAATGTTCACTAAAATCCCTAAGGCCTCTCCAGTTTATGGGGTATCGAGACCAATGACGACTTATTGACAAGAGTATTTTCCCATGCGGAAGTTAGCGTTCTTGGAATTTTAATTTTCAACTTGGTTAATGAGTAAACGACGATAAGTTGTGAAAAAAAAAGAAATTTCTCACTGAATGCCACATTATTCGTCATTGCCATGGAAACGAAACCCCCATCCGGACTTTCTATGAAACGTACAATACTAGGGTAACATGATAGCCCACGTGAAAAATTCCATCCCGATTGGTCCAGTCATTTAGACGATACGTCTGAACAGACAGACAGATACACAGACAGACAGAACGACTGATAATAAGGGTCTCCTAGAGCGGAGACCAAAAAAAAAGTATGTTGCTCTAAGCACAAGCCCCATCGTTCTCTCCCTTATACATATTCGGTGAACGTGTATTACAGTCCAGAATCTGAGATGTAAATTAATGATCAAAATCAATTCTAAACTACTTATTATTTAAAATTTCTACTCACTCTCCTATGATCATCCACATTCGCACCTCGAGAATGGAAATCTTGTTCCTGAATTCAAGATAAAAGGATGATCACCTCCATAAATTGTAACTTAGCGGCAGACATTGTTAATGTCCAAATTATAATATAAAGAAATATGGAAAGGAAAACTAGCAGTGGTATATGAATTGAACAAAGCCTGGAAAAGAGTGACCCAAAAATAACAGAACCCACAAATTTACCAATTACTTCTATGAAAATGAGGAAAATATATTCAACTTTGAATTTCTGTTTTTGTAGGATTGAACCAAAAATTTCAGTACCATAGAATACTTTGCGCAAAAGTTATATTCACTCTAGAATATGTTCCGGATAATCTGGGTTCGTGATTTTTGGGTCTCACTGTTTATAAAAAATTGGCACCAATATGGTGCACAACCTGAACTCAGGTTGTGTACCAGGTTAGGATTCAGGTTATGCGACAGCTTGGTGCACATACGTCAGGAGTACCAAAAATTATTTATTTACAAAACTATACAGGCAGCCCCTAATTGTGTATGGAATTGTAAGCAACATATAAAGGCTTATTTGTAATAAGGTTAATGCTATAAGCTGTCACATGCCCATGCCATAACTGGAGTTTTAAGATTAGACAGAGAGTCAGACAAATAAGGACCTAAAATAACATAAGATAATTGGATTGAATAGATTTAGGATAAAGTAGGAAATATCCCAGAATATTATAATCAGTAAAATGAGAATAGTCGTAGCGTAAAAAGCAGTGGTAGGATTCAGGGGATTCACACGAGTTGAATCTTGTAATAATGGGCGAACCCATTCTTGTTTTGTTTCAGTCGGAATGCTTCTCAGAAATTAGGGAATATGCTCTTAAAATTTAGAATCCCATCACTGCCTAACAGTTATATTTGAAAAGAAAACAGTTGGCAGAATATCTTACTAAGCATGCTGACAGCAGGATATTAGCAGCAAACACCACTCATGCCAGTTAATGTACATAATAGAGCATGCTGTAATCAATAGTAATACATAAAAAAGATATTTATTAAAACTAATAAAAATCTAAAACAAAACAGTATACAACACTGTTAATTTGAAACTGTTTGCATATTCCAATCTGGGAATTAACAGAAGTAATACAGTTTTGAAGCACAACCATTCGCTGTTGTTAGTCAAGAGAAAATGGAAGAAGTACAGCTAGATAGATGCGAGCCCAAAATAAATTCAAATTTATTGAATCATACAAAACAGAAAAATTTTAACCAGAAATATTAGGAACTATTCACAGCTAGCGCAAAATAGATCAGAAAGTTGAAAGTAAACTAGATGCAAGCAAAGAAGCAAGTAATATAATTTAAAAATAACTACAAGTTCATTGCAATCACACAATACAGAAAAGTTAAGGATATAAATATATATAAAAGCCTGATTGAAAATTCATGGAAGTAATATAGTCAGTGGTCGGCCATACACTGTAAATAGAAGAGTTCATATAGAGATAGAAGAGTTAACTAGCTGCAAGCAAAAGAGTAAGAAAGACTCAAAATAAAGGACAAAGCTTTTTAGTCACAAAAAAGAAACTAATGATGCAGAAAATTTCATATTGTTTGAATTTTTGCCAGGTTACAATTCTAAGGGATACAGTTAGTAAAGATTTATTGATTCTTTGTTACAGAGAGCCATGGCCCACTACTGGGCAACAGGAATACTTTCAGGTGGGCCCAAAACCTATCAAAATTCCTTAAATTAATAATAAATTCAATTTTACTAGAATTAAATTCTGATTGTAGTGGCAATGAATGACGAAGCTGTTTTAGGCTATATAGAGTGTTTTTCATTCTAATTACTAAATTGTAAGTGTCTATCTTTGCAGAAATAGTTTTTTGCTTTTTTGTAGTTTTTCCCCTGCATAAAAAATTTAATGGGCAGCAGAATTTTTATGCAATTAAAATGGACCATGTAAGAGAAAAGGTTGAGAACCACCGGTCTAGAGGAAAGAGACAGCTGCAAGAAAAAAAGTAGGAGCGGTCTAAAACTAAACACAAAATTCTTGAACAAACTCAGAACAGTAAATTATAGATGCCAAACAATTAGGCTATAATTCACAGAGTTAATGATCGGATCTCCAGTAGTATGCGCACCAAGATGGCGCACAACCTAAGCATAGTATGCGTGTACCGGATTCAGGTTGTGTGACATCTTGGTGCGCATACTTCAGGTGCACATGATGATCATACATTGTTATTGAAGAGTTAGTCAAGAGTTAGCTAAGAAAGAAGACAGTCAACTAGCTGCAAGCAAAGTAAATTAACATAAAGACAAAATAACCTCTTCCCAAATCCTGTCATTGTAAACGTTCACATTCTGCGGGAAAAATTAAAAAAAAAATATTTTGTTAATTTTATCATATTTTTGTTTGTAGATCATACAGACGAGACCTGACATGGCCAAGTATATCCCACGGGGCAAATCCGGCCCGTTGGGTAATTCTATCTGGCCTGCCTGATGTTGCCACTACCAAACTAAAATCGAATTTTGATGCTTCAGCTAAAATAGATCAAGGAATTTGTTTAGATTGTAGTTAAATTCAGTTTTAGCACAAGGCGTATTGTTTTCCACCTTTGGTTTGTAACACTAAAAATATTGTTCATAAAATGTAACTTTTTACATCACACTTACATGGCATGCCAGTCTCTGAGTGGGCAAAATTTTTGGCCCCTGGTTCAAAAACCTTGCCGATCCCTGGGCTAGACACTTCCAATTTTTTTGGCAAGAGCATTGAATTTTATAACTCTTAAAATGTGGTTTTTCAACAGTTCAGATGATAAAAATGAAGCAAGTTGTGGTCTTTGCTACAAATGATTGTCAGTTGACTTGTTTGGAAACTTGCACAAAGCAGAGCAAACCAGGAAAATCTGGTTTAAAGCAGTTCTCCACATAGCAACCCACTCCATGCAGTTATGTTTCGAAACATGTTTAAATTATTCCAAAACACAGAATTAATTAAAATCGAATCGTTGCAAATTATTAGGCAGGAGAAGTTCCAAAGAGTAAAGTTGATATCCGCTGATGTATTGCAGAATTCGAATAATTAATCAGGTATGTAGTGTCATGTTTGGGATGTTTTTATCAAAATCGGAGTCGTGATTCCTAATTCTACAAACTCAGAAATCAGAATTTTCAATTCTTTAAAGGCAGGTGTCGGTATTTCAGATTTTTAAGAGTTGAATTCAAATTTTACAACAGAATTACAAGAAGCAATCAGTTAGCTAAGTTCTCAACAAACAATTGAGGAATTTAAATTTAAAATTTAATTAGAACAATTTAAATTTTTTTCTCAGTGATCGGATTTGAAGTCAAAATTCTTTCGAGAGAGAGGAGTTGTTTTAAATGGCTCACAGTTTGAAGTACAATGTAATATTTTCGACCCCGCAGTCTAACAATAACTAAATACTTTTTTAACAAATTTCGATATGAGTAACTATAGAAGAAACATACAGAGAAGAATCTCAGAATGCCTAACTATGAAATTATTGCAGCCAACACCAAAAGCGCAAAATACTTGAAATTTAACAACGATATTTGCTTGAAGCTGAAACCCAAGAGTACTCATTTTGCAGTTCAAAAAGTAAGCATTTGTTAAAAATAATTTCAATACTGTTTCAATTGAATTCAATATTAATTCAAAACAGAATATTATATTTTATGATATAATGACATATATTCTGTCGAATAACAGTCAAAGTATAAAAAAATAGTTTTAAATAATAACGGTCAGTTAGTTAGCCGTCTTAACCGTTATAAAATCGATTAACCAAATAACGGGTTACCCATTCCCAGCTCTAGTAACTACCATGGGTGAATTTTAAAAAGCAAACCTACCTTGTCTGCAAAGCTGATATGAACTGTCATCATTTCTCTCAAAGTTTGTAAAACTTTAATGCAGAGTTTTTCTTCTCGATCTTCGAGCAGTTTCTCAGTGTGTTGGATCAATCTAAATCAGATTCTTATTAGTTATGAAGGAAAGGTTTATTGTTGGTGAATCACTGCTACTTGGCTTATACATAGGGTTACCATCTTTTTGTGACTTCAAATCCGGACGCCTCGAAAGCCATGAATGACCCCTTAGCTGTGATTATATAACTTCACATTTTCCGATTTTACTACATAGGCCTACATTCCTACATTTAAAGCTGTCTCGGCTGTCTTTATTGACGATATTGTTATCGAAATTTCATGCGCATAGTCTCTGTCAAAATATCGGGTTCAGTTCGAAAAAAAAAAGGAATTGACGTTAACGATACCGGTACAAATAATTCGAATTTAGACTAATTAGTATTGGTTTTACATGCAATACGTCTGCCATCAATGGGAATCAGCGGGAAACGAACGCATTCATTCACCTTCAGTAAGTAGGCCAGCGCTGCGCTACACAGAAACAACAGTAACGAGAACATGTTTGTGTATTATGCTGGAAAAGTGGGACTTTTGGCTGACTTATCGGGACGGCGGGACAAAACGCTGAAAAGCGGACGTATGGTAAGCCTACTTATACATGGCTTGAGTTGTGGTCTCCCAAAAAGGAATTTTACCTTTTTGGGGGAGGATGAAAGGATGGATAAAGTTGGTTGTTTGTGAATCGATTTTTTGCTCGTGCGATAGCAAAATGGTTAAAAGCGTTAGACTTAATGCTTTTATTCTCAAATTCTCTTTTTGCAACATCTTAATGGCCTTGACCTGCGATATGTTATGAAGCTTCATGCACTTCAATATCTTTCTCCGCATTTGGCCAGTCAATTACCGGTTAATATTGCTAAGCCATAGCATTATACAAGTCTATATGGTAATTGGAAACCTAGGATATCACATAAAATTATCACAAAAAACTCACTTCGATATAAATCCTCCATTTTCACATTGTTTTCTTGCATCAGTTTCCATTGGAAACAACAACTCAGGCCGATGTAGAATGTCAACTAAAACAGACAACTCTGCCTGCACTAGAGGGCGCAATTGATCTTCCAAAACTGCGACAATATCTTGTAATCCTTCAATGATTTCTCGACAACTCTGAAAGTTTGAAAATTGAATAAAAATTTTACAATATTTGAAACGTGCATTTGAATATAGCGATCTAAATTTAAGCACATACACTCATAAAACACATACATCTGCACATAAATCCTTGATCAATCAAACATAATTCATTATCATTCACACTACAAAAACTCTTGCATTTCTGTACAGCACACAAACTTTCAAAACCTACACACGATCACATCTTGGAATTCCTGCAATTCACATAAACATCCATCCACATACAAGTAAAAACCACACTCACCACATGCAATCTTAATAATATATATATATAAATATATATCAATGTGACGCGAAAGTTTACCAAACACACCTGAATTTTTGTGTGACACACAAACTATATGTGACATGATCACCTAGACACAATCACAGCTCTGAATTTCTGCACTACACATAAACATGCAATACATACACATGTGGCACATATGCTTACCACATCTTAATATTAAATACATAGCAATGTGACACATAAGTTCACCACACAACGATGATCCCTGTGTGACACACAAACACACCTTTTACATCTCTATGCTACACAATGTTATGCCATACTCTGACAAACAATCCTAATATAAAATTACATAAAACAATATCGCAGCGCAGGAAACCCAAACACATTAATTATTTCACCATATACACTCCCACTTCCAATAATCAAGAAAAGCACTTCACAGAGAATCAAAACACTGTACAGAACACTATGTAATATACAAAATAAAAACTGAACAATATTACAAAATGGTTTGGAAAATAACAGAAAAATAGTCTGAATGTTAAATGTTTATCCTGAGGAGAGAAAAAGAATAAAACGGCAATGGCCAGTGGCGTAGCCAGGGGGGTGGTTTTGCGAGTCGAACATTTTGAAAAGTAAAAAAAAATATCATTTTTCTGTATCATGGATAGCAATTTTCCATAGCATGAAATGCTTTTTAGACCCCAAGACTAATAAAAACACGCGTATTCCAGAGTTCGATCGGACACGCTAGCTGTTTTGATCTAACTTGGCAAAAAATTTTTTTAACCCCCCCCCCCCCTTTTGAAAATTTCTGGCTACGCCCCTGGTAATGGCAAACTTTGAATTATTGTCCATCAACCAAAACATCTTCAGTATGAGGACTCCCTCAAGACTCGCAAAAACACATGTTTTCTTGCCTCCACCCTTATCCGCTGGCTGTTTCGATCTAACTTGGCAATTAGAAATTTCAGAACCCACCCTCTTTGAACATTCCTAGCTACACCCCTGTAGGGGAGCCAAAAAGGCCTTGATAAACCAAGCAGGGTACTCTTGAAGTATGCGCACCCAGATGTCGCATAACCTGAACCCTAACCTGGTATACAACCTGAGTTCAGTTTGTGCGCCATCTTGGTGCGCATACTTCAGGAGGTCCCCAAGCAGTAATGTAAACCCCCCCCTGCGGTAGTGAGAAGTTGAGTAAACTTACAAATAAAGAGAAATGAACATGCTTTTTGAAAAAAAGTCTAAACGAGTCTGGAGGCTTTTGCGTCCTGCAATTGAACAATCATACTAACTTTCTAGATGGACTTGAATGGAAGGCTATACTGCAACCGACCAGCAGTTACGCGAACCTCCGTGCTAGAAATCTAGAACAGTGGTTCCTAAACTGGGGGCAATTTGACCATTTTAGGGGGGGGGGGGGGGTTATTCAGACGTTCACAGTCTCAATTCTTTTTCTAACTTTCGTTCTTTTCGCTGGTCTATGATAAAGCTGGTTGTGCATTGTTTGCATCTAGTTAGTGAGCAATAATAAAAAGGTTTGGAACTACCGCTCTACAAAATAACTACCCATATAGTATTTAAACCTGACTTCAAAATTTCAAGGAGGAAAAGAGTTGTTTGCAATTATCCTATGAATGTGCCATTATATCAGATATGATTCCAAAAAATAGATATAAAATATCTCATAATAAATAAAAAAGAAAAATCAGCAGCTCTCAGGAAATCTTCAAACCTGGCTAGCTGCCGATAGGGAGTCTCGTCTTGCAAGCTGTCTTCTACTGAGGAATCTTCTCATTGCCTTGTGAACGTTTGATGCACGAGAGCTTTTTCCTGGTCTTAGATCTGATGGTACAGCCATGCCTGTGTGTGATGCTGGAATATGAGGTTTTTTAAATATAGAGCGATATTGATTGAAAAGAGATAAACAGGTCGCAAGACTTTCCATCCTATATATATTATAGGATAGGATTTACAAAATCACCCATGGGGGGTTCTGGGTGTAATCGAAAAAATTTGAAAATGTAATTCACGAAAATTAAAGTATACACAGTTTTTCTGTGAATAGTATTGAAAAACCAGATTTCTAGAATAGATAGTCGGGCACTTCTGTAGTGTGTGTACCAGGTTAAGGTTAGGCCATAATTTATTTCAGATTTTTCCTATTTTAGTTCTATTACGAGTTCTGGGACTGTCTGTGTTAAGTGTATATACCCAGTGGTGAAATTCAGCCGGTTCGCACCGGTTCTATAGAACCGTCTCACAGTATTTTATGAGATCAGCGAACCGGTTAGCATTAATTAAAAATAATCAATTTATTAACAGAACCGGCTGAAAAATAGGACTTTTGTGATAGAACCGGAATCCCACCACTGGTTTTTCCTGCCCATAGGTTTCAGTCCCTTTACACAACTTGATGTAAAGTAGGCGAACAAAATTAGTTACCTCCATATTGGTACACACACTTCTGGAGCGCCGATAGCTGGATATTTACATCTTACTATGGGCAGTCATTTATATATCCATAAGGGCAATACTTAATATCTTGTTACTGCTTTTCATAACTTTAACACTTTGATGGATGGAAAGGCTTGCATCTCATAAAAATGTGGCAACATCATTTTACAAATTCAAAAAATACAATTGTCAGTGTCTGAATTACAGAATAAATAGTGCACAATATAATCAAGTCAGTTTCCAATGAAAACTACAGAATTAAAAAACTCAATTAGCTTCTAACCAATTACATAACCAAAATAATTTTTATTTAAATAATTTTAATTACACAATTAAATAGAGGAGAATATGGTTAATTCGGTCAATTTCGATTGCAGATTATAGAATTAAAAATTGCAGCAAATTACATGGATATGTGTCTGTCTATCACATGAAAATTAATATAAAGTTGAATCAGGAAACATTGTTGGATGAGAACAATGTTGGATCCAATATATGGATGTACCACGGGAATCAGAATAGTATTTTATTCAGATTCAGCTGTTTTTGGTCTCCAGATATCTGGCCTGGAAATATGAAAACTATTTTTCAATATCATATTACATCGTCACCCTAAACGAGGCCCTAATAAAGCAGACAATGATTTGGGTGCTGCTACTATTTTTAAAAGGACTGAAACCTTCCCGTTCCTGATTCAACACATTATTTGAAGTCAGAAAAGTATAGGTTACTTTACTGTCCGACACTTATTTAACAACTTTTTTAATATAATATGCTCGAAGGACATATATGATATATCAGAATCGAAGATGACTCATCCCTGAGCAGAGCCACTGGTGACCAATGTAATATCATGAGCGACTGAAGCTATATAGAAATGCAGTAGTGCTTAAATTTTGGACGGCAGACTCTAATCAGTTCGGTTTAACATGATCAGAAAAATAATTATGAGGTACCGCCTACCAATTTATCACAATCTGACAAAGTGCTGGGCATTCTGTTTAATGCCTAGCAGCCATTGATATGTGATGTTAGTATTTCAACATTGTGGTTCATTATTTAGCATATAATTAAATATAAATGAATTATCAAGTTTTGTTTCAAAACTTGCTTTTCGACATTGCAATATAAAATTATAAAACTATACATTTTTTATTCCTACAAGCATACAAAATTATTCCGAAAAAGAGATCACCAACATAGATTGAAATACAAGAAATAAGTGCAGAATACTAGGAATGTACATCTATATAGTTCGGTGTTAAAGAATCTTCTTTTTAATTCTTCAAATTTTGAATTATTTTGGGACCTCCAGAAGTATGCGCACCAAGATGGCGCACAACCTGAACATAATATGTGTGTACCAGTTAGGATTCAGGTTGTGCGACATCTTGGTGCACATACTTCTGGAGCACCTTATTTTGGATATTTTCATGTCAAAATTAAATACTGCAGAGCTGTATATGTGCAGGGAAAATAAACTAATAATTTGAGAGGTTTTTAATCTTGATTTTGCTAAATAAGGGCAAATCTGACAATAATAACACCATTCAGTAATTTTAAATTTTAAAAATACATGTCAAGTATTACTAATGTTAACTTGATACTTTTTGAATGATCGAAAGAAATGTCTTCCCAAATTTCGTGTACTAAAAAAGAAAATGCTTCTTCAAAATTTCGTAAATATTGTACAGTTAATTTTGGACTTAAATTAATTCAGCTGATCTTCATCACAAATTCGAATTGAGTGAGCAACTTAATCTCAATTCATCATCAAATCATTTGCATAAATTCAGAGTTTATCCAATTTCCCCATCATATTGGCAATAATACATTTCCGAAGGAACATAGAAGAAAATTATTATGACACCAAACCATCCATAGATGGACATTCCTAGACTATAGTAAGAAGAACTACTCACTACAGCATGCAGGAAAATTAATTTCAGCTATTATTAAAGCAAGCATACTAAAAGCAATAAATATTGCAATTGCATAAAGAAAGAATCTACACTGTCAATAAAAAAAATATATATGGTGCATCCAAGCAGAGGGCTGTCACAATGGTTTAGGCCAGGGGTGTGCAACCTTTTAATACGGGATGATCAGATACAAATAATTGAGTGAAACAACAGAACACACCTTTATTTAACATAGGCTTCTTTCGGACAGTTACAGGGCATTGTAACGTCATATGCATAAATAATAAATTGGACTCGGGTATGGGCTTTCCACCGCGAAGGAATTGGAATTATTCGCACATACCAGATTGCACTTGTTTTGCGAACGCACACAATTAAAAAGTTTCCACAGGTGGCACAATTTTTTCATGTGGGCCACATTTGGCCTTCGGGCCGCAGGATGCGCACCCCTGGTTTAGATTCATTTCATTTTTAGGTTAATATATTTTTCTCGTAGCTTTTTTTTTATAAACTTCAGCTTCCACAAGCACTATAATCTGACAATGTAGGTAGATACCTTGTCAAGGAATACCGGATTGGATTAGATTAAGCTCCCAAAAAAATCACTGTGACAGCAGATCTGCGTGTAGAATGCACCATAAACAAAATTATTTCGATCGCAACGAGTAAAAATCAGAGCATCAAAAAAATTGTGAAAAAGGTGAATTCATTTTTTTTTTTTACAGAATATAGTACATCTTGGTTATAAAGCAAGGTGCACAATGTGTATTAATTACTAGCAAAAGTCAATTTAACAGGAAGAGAAAAAGTGTACATTACAGTTTAATGGTGAGAGGTATGTATATAACTCCTGTATGGCTTTATCATTCATATTGCTTATAGTATCACTCAGACATACTGAAGTATAGGGTGTCCATGAAGTCTTGGAATTTTTTTAATCCATACCATATTGTTTGGCCCTCACAGATGTATTAAATGAAGCAAAAATACTTGAAGAATTATTGATAAAAAACAACAAACCTGGTTAAGATATATTGGGAACTGACTTCATAACAAAATTCAGATTGTAAAGAGACTTTATGGACACCCTGTATATTCGGACACCCAAGGACGTATTTCAGCATCGGATGAAAGAAGCATACCAAACCATTCCTTTCAATTTATCAAGTTCATTCAAATACTGCAATTCAATCATTTCAGACATTCATTCATTTCTCTGTCAGTCATCCAATTCATCCATACATTTCATTTCTCCCATTTCAATCAACTCACTTTGGTTCATACAATTCCACTCTATTCTCTTTCACTCCAAAATTAAACAGTTCAGCACATTTGAAAACAATCAAAACATAATAATCACAGAACATTCACACACAAACCAAATTCAATAGACTGGAGTTTTTAAACCCTATATGCATTTGAAATCAACTGAGTATGATAAAAAAAAATTTAGAGGTCAAAAATCAGCATGTCGGAAATTTCCAAAAAAGATTTAGATTACCAAATAACTTTTTATTGAAACATTACTGGAAAAATTGATAAAAACTATTTGCAAAAAGAATAACATCACAAATTTGGTAAGAATTTAGACAAAAAGATTTTTTGTTCAAAGTATAAATTTGATGAACAAATTTTTTTTTCAGAGTTAGGTAAAACTAGGAAAATTAAGGAAAAAATCGTTTTGTTGAAAGGTTTCAAACAGCCATACTTAATCCCACTCACTCTCAAACAAATCAATACCCTTTCACACAAGCAGATCATTATAATTCCCAAACAATCAACCAAGACAAATTCTTAGACTGGGGTTTCGAAACCTTCATATTATGCAAAAAATTGAAATTGAAAAACATTGAAAGGTACCCCATGCCTAATCCCAGTCAATCACAAATTCAAAATAAACACCTGGCTATGTGGGTTCACAGATTCACGTTTAGTTACAGTTCTTCGAAATCTATGGATGAAATCCATCAGCGTAGGTTTGACTCCAACCGAAGTGATTATTTTTTCTAAGTCACTTGGAATTGCTACATCCCGTTGCTTTGCTATATTGAGGATAATATATTGGTTAAAACACAGGTACTTAAAGTGTTCCATACGGAGCACCATGGCTGCATAACAGAAACATAGGGGCTCCGCAAGCTATTCGTTTATTTATTAAAATACTGACTTGGCTTGGTAACTGTCCATTGAAGCAATAAATACATCCAAGTAATTAAATAAAGTAATTTTAATCTCTCTGAAACATTAATTGGCAAGTAATTGGCAATGTGTGCAAATAATATTCAGAATTTTTAACGATGAAAGAAAAAGATTTTGCTCAGTAGAAGGCTCCGCACAATCATTGCCTTGACGGAATCCAGAATTGTTCTAGTTTGATGGTATGTAAATATATTTTAGAAAATTGTGAGACATTTTAAATGTTCGTTTTGACGGTAGGAAGAATACAGTTGTTAAAATTAGGTCTTTTTCTGCACAATAATCTGAATATGTATCACAATACAAACACACCAAAATACAAAGTATATTGGTCACAAGGTTGCGAGACACTTCGAGCATTTGCTCTAAAAACCCTCTATGTTAAAAGCGATTTTTTTGCAATGAACTTGTGATATTCCTGGTACAGAACAGCTCAATTAATTTTTATGCTCCTGAGCTTGGAGTCTCATAGTTGATAGACTGATAATATCACACACTCAGTGTGTGCAGTGACATACTTTGATGGAAACATGTTTTGTATAAACATGGTTTGTGGAAACAGCCACTTAGACTTAATAGCCCTTGACATCCGATTGATTTTAGTTTGACAAGATGACTACTTTGTATACTCTTTGTGAGTTGGAAGTTTTGATAATGGAAGTATGTGTAATGAATAATGTTCTAAATTAAATCAACTTGTTTCTCTATCTTATATTTAGTCATTGTTGGGAATATAATCAGAAGTCAAAAGGTTTGCAAAGGTATTTTTTCTTATATTGGAACAAAACTTAAAAATGATATGTAAAAGCATTCACATGAAATGACACCCATGAGGTTACAACACTCTTTTATAACACTCCAAACAAGGCTTTGTACGTGCAGCCACTTATAAACTCATTTCACACAACACACACACATATACACAAGCAAACGATGACTCACAATAGGTTTGGGTTCAAATTAAAAAACTTGGAAATTAAATTAGAAAAAGTGAGCAATTTGATTGAACATTTCATGCTGAAAATAACATGCCATGCAATGTAAAGTACATACTAGGAAAACAAAGTATTAGTGCAGTTAAATGAATAAAAACTATAGCTTATATAAAAACTGGAAAAGCACATATAGAAGACGAGTAAATAAACATTATATAAATCCAATTTTAGTTATATATAATAGGTTCTGGTGGAAATATATTTAAGATTTCGAAGATTGGCATACTTTTGTGAAGTGGGATTCATGAAATACTACAGGTTAGGATAGAATAAAACTTTAGGAATCGGTAACAGTAAGTATAGAAATTGGTATACGAGGAAGTCTCTCGAGACGAACCGTTCTAACAAATCGTCCTAACCCAATTATTGTGCATTTCAAAAGTTCCATCTTTAGGAGTTGCTCAAATCAAAGTCACATGCACTTACTCAGAAGTGAAAGAGACTCATTTATGAGCAATCCTTGAAACGTAGAAACCAAATACAGTATATAGAATCATGATGTTGCGTGATATGGTAGTAGGAAAATAATAATGTGCTTTCCCAGTTCTTATTAATATTATTAGTAAAACAAAAGCATGCTGACCCATGATATTAACACTCTGTAGCAATATAATCTGGTTTTGCAATTCTTGAGGAATTCTGATCCGCCATGCTTTAGCTGATGGTGAGAAAAATAAGATGAGAACATGGAATTGGACCTGACATGGGCAATCTACAACTCGCAAGCCAAATTGGGTAATTTAATCTGACCCGCCTGATGCTGCCACAACCAACCGATAAGACAGCTTAATCATATGGTGAACCACGACGTCTTATCCTGTTACCAGTCCATGTCGGGTATGAGATTAGTTACCGGTAGTCATTTATTTGTTTTATTGGATTATAAAGACCAAATAGGCTGTAGTGAGAGAACAATTTTAAAGCAAAACTACTTTTTGCACTTAAAATGAAGTTATCCTGGAGTTGGGGGATAGAGTCAAGCGCATATTTTTTGAATCCATCAGATTGAGTTTGTTTGCAAATGGCTGGAAATCAAGTCGAATGGAAGTTTTGTAAGGACTCACAGGCGTATAAAGTTATGAACAAATCATAGAAAAACACAAAGATGGTGGTTAATGAAAAGCTGAAAACAAAATAATTCAAGAAAGTGCTACAACTGGACAACTGTTGCAGACAAAATTTGGGTAATTGAGATGATAAAATAAAATAGGGATGTAATTTTTTCTAGTCGAGTCATATAGTCACGCACTTAGTAGGGACATAATACCAGTACTTTGCCGTAGCAATCGTAGGATGAAATGCTGAGTTAATGCAAGTTTAGCATCTCAGAGTCGATTGAAAGATGCAATATGTGTTAGTATTTTCGCTATTTTTGGTCAAATAAAAAATATTAACGATATGACCATTGTGTCTTCTGAAAGTGATAATTGAGCTTTTGGTAATTAGATTTAGCGGAAACAGTATAAATGGGTTTGGGAACCATTGCTCTAACACATCATAACCAAAATAATTTTTACAGCAAGTAAATACATATACAAAGAAATTGCTCAATTTCCAAATTTTGTGAGTAGTTGTCTGTTAGGTTAAAACACAGCAAATCCATGCAAAATCTAAAATATCATGTATTCATGATATTTGCGTCACACTCTAGCACACCTAGTGATAGAACTAAATACAAAGAATGAAGCTTGAAAAACAAATGAATGCTACATTTTATTTTGAGATCTCTGAAATGAATAACACTAAAAACTCAAACAAACCAATTTGAAACAAAAAAGAAATATGATTACATCAGAATGGAAAAAATAGAGCAAAATTAAATGACTTCTCCAATAAATGGCTAAATGAAAATGGCTTAAACCAAATTCATTCACCTATTTATGTGAATAAAATGAAAGAATTGACTAATTCTTGAGAAAAAGGCAAAATAAAATGACTTCTCCAATGTATGGCAAAATGAAAGAGGCTTAAGCCGAATCTATTCACCTATTTATGTAAGAAAAATGACTAATTCTTGTGTCAGCCATAGTTTAGCTTGGCTACTCCAAATTGGCTTAAGCCAATAAAATTGCTGATCATTTATGAAGTAATGGCTTGAGCCAAATCTACCCACTTATTTATGTGAAGATAATGGGAGAAAAGACTAATTCTTGGGATCAAGGCAAAATGAAATGACTTTATCAAGAAAATGGCTAGAGCCAAATTTAAGTCAAATCTCTTCACCTATTTATGTGAAGAAATTGACTAATTCTTGAGATTTGTATAATATGAACAACTAGTAATGATGAGCCCACCATCGTGATGAATCGGCTTAGCAACCATAGAATGGCTTAAGCCAAACCGGTGATGCCAGTATATGGATAACATTATGGGATGTATTGGATAGAAGTATGTTTTATATGTAGTGAATGGGATATAGGTATGGCTTATGAAACCCACACTTCACTCTAATACCTGACTTAGCTTGAATTCTCTTTTCTTTTGCAACAACAAAAGATCCTGAGAAACCATTTGTACATGATTTTGCCGTTTTAGAAATGGCATAGCTAATATTAGTAATATGAGAAAATTCCAGCTTGGTATGTAGTTAGAATAATGCTATAATTTGACTAGCTTATAAAAATATTTAATTGCTAAGTCTAATAAGAAGAAAATATCAAATTTCTAACTGAAAAAGAATAAATTTGATTTTTGAAAAACTTGAGTAGCAGAATGGGTTGGGAAGTCAAATTTAGAGTAGGAGTCACTGCCTAACTATAAACTAACTAAACTAAAATTTCCTTTAGCTCCATACTCACCAACTTCAGCTAGTTTCTCTATGGTGTCACCAAGTTTTGATTTGAATTGTGGAAGCAGGTTCGGACTTTGATAAAAATTGACGATTGATCGCATCAGTTTTACATAAGTTGTTTGCCGTGCCTGTAAATTGAGTAGAAAGAAAGAGTGATAAGACCCTTGTGGTCTTCTGTAATAAAAGTTAAAATATTTATCCTGCATAGACGTGAATGTGCAGGCAACACTGGGATAGAATTTTCAATCTCACCCTGTGATTAAAAGCAAAATTAAAAGACAGACATGATGTACTGAGGTTTCTAGCACAGGAATCCGTTACAATGTATAAATCCATTTCGAGTACAAAAATTGACAGCACATCATGTTTACCTGAATCAATGTAGTAGCATCAGAGAAAGGTGAATTGAAAAACATAGTAATGATGTCCATGACAGTATTGGCGATGTAAGGTTGAAGAGGATTGCTGTGGGCTTCTTCTTCCGTTTGTGATAGGATCTGTAACAGAGAGTAGGCAAGGTTACAACCTGAGACAAGGCAAGTTTTAGAGACCATGTTGATAGACAGGAATTTTGAAAGAGGGGGGGTTCTGAAAATTCTAATTGCCAAGTTAGAGAGCATCAGTTAGCAAGTCGGAAAAATGTGGGTTTCTATGAAAAATTGCTATGCAAGCTACAGAATTTTTTTTTACTTTTCAAATAGGGGGGGTTCCGACCCTTAACCACAATACTGACCTCGCCCCAGCCCGAGACATTGGTAAAAACAGAGTAAAAGTACTCCTAGAAGTGCCTAGAACAGCTGTAAGCAATAATCAACTAAAAAATAACTGAGACCGACTGTGCGTGCTAGCATTTGAAAAGGGTGTGAACAAAACAAATCTTTTACCAGCACTTTTACGATCGAGGGTTTGAGAAAACTATAGCAAAACCGTTCTACATACCAAGTCAATATCTTTCATGAAATCATCAAACAAAGTCCAAATATGATTTGAAGAGTAAATTTCTTTCATTTCTACCTCTGTATCAACATAGCAATGGTTTAGGAAGTTGATGTAAGCATTCTTCACTGAAGCAATGCAGTCTTTATGTGTCACCACCTGGCAATAAGAAGTTGCGTCAGAAATAAAGTTAAAATACCCTAGAGCAGTGGTTCCAGTGTTCCCTCTAAGGTGTGCGCGTGTGCGCGCGCACACAGCTTCCAGAGGCTGCGCACACGCATAGATTTACTGCGCACAGACGTATTTCGATGTAATGTAACAATGTGCTCGGTTGGCAGGTTGAGAAAGTTTGTTGTTGGCCCACTTATTACCCGGTTAGAACGCCAAAATTTCTTCATTGGTTTTTGCACAAATATTAGTCATTTCCAAAAAAGTGCGCACACACCAAAATTTCTGCGCACACATACTGCAAAAAATTAGAGGGAACATTAGGTGGTTCCCAAAGTTGATTGACCGCGGGCCAAAATTAGAAGCTGAAAGATATTTGCGGGCCAGGAGAGGGGAGAGTCCGCGAGGGACTGATACATATAATCAGAATACCAAATTGTTGAGATATCGAACTTAATTGTCACAAATATACACATGCCCTAAACTGTGATAATGACGTAGAAACAGGTGGTATCTAAAACCTAAAGAGAAACTTATGGTGCACTTATCAAAATGAAGTTTGTGTTGGGGTTGTACAACAGTTTTCACTTCGAACAGAGCATGAATGCAGCTACAAAATTTCCAGTGAGAATTTCGAGCGAGCATCAATGGAGACAATTCTCAGATCATGATAGGATAAGATTCACATATCCAGGGGATAGGAAGCCTATAGGACGGCTCAATCATATGACGAACCATGCTTTTCGCCTTCAATTACCAGTCCATGTCGGGTATCGGATTAGTTAGTCAGTTATGTTTTCAGCTGCATGGGCTTGATGGTGCAGGAAGCCGTAACTAGCCAGCAGCCAAAACTCTCTGGCGGCGAGAAGTCCAGCAATCCTATCACACATAATTAAACTCCCATGGGATTCGAACCTGCAAAATCAGGCAAGAACAAGTGTGATTTCGAGCGTATTCCAAACGCTTAGCACAATGTGCCACATCGTCGAAATCGAACACATTAAGGACATAACTATTGTCTGTACAACACTCTTGGTGCGACTAGCTTTGTTCAATTATGCTTCTTTCACTGCATCTAAGATAACCAAATAAGGATAATAATACCTGTTTAATGTCATCTAACGGTAGCAAACTGTGGCATTTGATTTCAGTGTACACATTCTTCCCTTCAGTGCAGTAAGCTAGAGAAGAGAATTAAATTAGACTAAAGTAAAGTTAGCTAATAAGTAAAGTTAGCCATTGTTCATTCTGTCAAAATTAGAGATCATGGTTGGACAAAAATTTGGAGTATGTGTGCCAATATGGAGGTAACTAATTTTGTTCGCCTATTTTACGTCAAGTTGTATAAAGGGACTGAAACCTATGGGCAGGGGTATATTCTCTTGGCTAAAACAGACAGTCCCTGAACTCGTAATAAAACTAAAAAAAAAGAAGCCGGAATAAAATTATGCCCTAACCCTAACCTGGTACAAACACAACGGAAGTACCTTAATTTTTTCCTAAACCTCTCAGAGTTTAACCTCGTGTACATCACCTCACTCATGGTTTATTAAATTTAAGGCGATGGCAAACTGAAAAGATTCTGATTTTTGTAACAAATGGTAGCTTCTAAGACTGACATCGACGAACTATGGCTTGTAGGCCAAATCCGACCGACCCTTTGGGTAATTAAATATAGCCTGATGCTGCCAAAACCAAATTTCAGCTAATGGAATTTGTTGAAGTTGCGATTGAATTTAGTTTCGAAGTAAGCTTTGTTTTCCACTTTTGCTTTTGAAACACTGTAAATATTGTTCATGAAATGTAACTTTTTACGCCACACTTACTCGTCCGCTAATCTAGTTGGGCAAAAATTTTGGCCCTTGATACAAACACCTTGGTCATCCCTGTTCTAACATATCGTAAGTGGCTGCTTGTAAAAGGTCTCGTTCAGAACAGACTATGTAAAAAATCGCCATATAAAAAGAAACCTTGGATAAAACAACCCTTGAAATACATTGTTAACTGTATTTCTGGCAACTAGCATTTTCCCAGATGGTTGAGCATGACCTGTGATGTCATTAGTTGCAGGTGACTGATCATGACCAACCACCTTTGAAGGTGATGTGGCCATGTGCTCTAAGTGGTCTGGTGCACAGCTCAGTTGGTGTTGCTTATGTCTGAATGTGTTACTTTGGTTATTGCAGTTTGATTAAGACATTTATTACATATACTTTAGTACTTTACATAGTCGCTTTAACATACCGGTACATAACCTAAAGAGGCGAACAACCACAATCTTACCCAATAATTGCACCAGTTCAATATGATAAAGCAAAGGACTGCAATCATCTTTGACAAGGTGTCTGTTGTAGGTTTTATAATGATTCATCAAATTCACAAGATCCTTGAAAGATGCATCGTCATTGTAAAAAAGAAGAACCTAAAAAATAACAATGATTCAAATTTTTACATGTTTAATATTATTTACACATCGGCTCAGTAACTCGCATCGTGCTAAGCATCAGGAGCACCTCACCACCCTGTGTGGGTTCGCAGGTTCGAATACCATTTTATTATAGTCTAGCTTTGTCAGTTTGGTGACTATGCTACAAGGTATAACCACCTGTCAAAGCCAGACTATACTCTAGCATAGTGGGTTACACCCGGGATATTTATGTAAATCTGATTACACATAACGTAGTTTCCTGAGATTCTTATATCAGTGATCTTTCGCTATGAGATGCTAATGAAAATTTTCCAAAAAGAATCTTTTTTTTGATTATGGCCAGTTCTGGGTTTGAATATTAAAACTAAATTATTAGCAAATAGCAATTTTTCCTGAAACTTGAAATGTGACACTAGTAAACTTGATTTAACTGCGGTGATATCCAAAGTATACAAATCTTACCTCTTCTCCAGCCTGTGTATTGACCAGTTCAGCCATGACCATATCTTGGCATCTTCTAATATGACCTTTGCCCTCTGCTTTTATGATAGCTTGAAGAAATTTCAGGTATTCTGTTCTGCGACCGTGGCTCTCTGAAGAAATATAGAAACAAAGACAAATGTACTGATAAAAACCACCTCCACAAAAAGTTTTGATGTGGTTGAACACACAAACACATACAAAAGATATACAATCATGGTCGAGTAATGAAAAACATAAAGAGCGAAATCTCTTCAAAATTCAAAACGATCAAATCGAACCAAAAGAGCATTGAGAATAATGACCTTTGAGAGGCATTCCTGACTCATATTCCTTATTTGGGTGCAGTTGGCTTAATAATTGAACAGAAAAGCCATTTTTATCCCAACCTTCTTAACAGTAATTTGATAAAAGTAAACCACAGATAAATCTCGGTGATCAAAAATTCATGAATCTATTTATCTATAAGAATACTCACCAATGCAATGTACAAAATGTTGTATCACAGCATGGGTGACTTCATTACATAAAGCAACATTGTCTTGGAATATTGCTTGCATTGTCTGTGCTTCCAGTAGCTGAACAGAAAATAAATGAAGAAATAAATATGGATCTCCACCAATGCAGGAGAATCCGCCAAAAATATTGTGCAGAGAAAATTGTACCAGAAGTGCGTGTCCATTTTGAGCACTGTGAATCAGTTATGGCTGGCTGGCTAATATTTGAAACATGTTTACTAAAATTTCTAAATGGGTACCAACCCTTCACCCCATATATGGCTTCCCCCAAGAATTGTTGGGTAAAAAGATTCCAGGCAAGTAAATCATAATGTAATAAATGAATAGTCAATGTCGAACTGGGAATACTCTTGTCTTTCCAAAAATAGTAGCCCTTGTTTGCAGTGAAAGAGCATTGTATACAGAGAAAATCTCACCCCTGGAGTCATAAACAGACTCAGATGTTTATGCAGTAATGCTTGATTTTGTGGATTTCCTTTACAGAAAGCTTGTAGAAAACTATGAGCCAATCCCATCACTTCTTGCATGTGGACGTCAGCAGTACGTTCATATGATATCTGAAAAAGGCAGGAGGTTGTGAGTAAAAATGTTAGGTTTAATTATAAACTCTGCGCACCAGAGATGGTGGTTCTTAATTGTTTCAACCCACTCGAGACTCATCTAAAAAGAGGCTTAAAAAATTTCGAGTACAGCTGCCTTATAGTAGGATTGAATATATAAAACCTGTGAATGTGTGTTCATTTGATATCTAGATTCTGGAAAAGAGTTCGCGAGTATCAGTGTCATAATGATTTTTATCAGAAGTAGGAAATGCACAAAGTCAATGCCAAGACAGTATTTAGATGGCTACACCCATGATTAATAGTGGAACGTAACTATATACCACCATCGGCTTTGGCACTGCCAATAAGAAGCCAGCAGACGTTTGAATTGGCCAATGGCACACCATCTAATTTAGCAGTGGTACAAACACTTTAACCAATTATCAGCTTTTACTAAAAATCATATTATTTGAAAAAAAAAATTACTCAAAATTAATAATTACAATAATGTTTATCTGATGTATAAAACAATTTAATACCGTTACGATATACTGTTCTTCGTTTCTTACCAAAAAGGCTGTCGTCAGCTGGTAAAAAATTGCAACCTAACAGACAGTGTAAGAGATAGCACAAATATGCTTAATTAGGTACTTTTACAAAATACACAAAAGGTTACCTGTAATAAATCTAACACAGCTGTATGAGCCCCCATGTTTCTCAACAGTCTTTGTTGTTCTTTGCGAGGACTTTTAGACGGACCAGATACACATAGGTTTCCAAGCTTTGTTAATATCTGAATATCCAGTAATAATTTCATAAGTTAAATAACATGGAATGAGCACTGATGCCAGAATTTCAGCAGCTACAGATACACATAGACCAATACATCTACCATTGTAAATGTAATACATTTTTTTTTTATTCAAGATGGCTCAAAGCAACGAGTCTCAATCAATCAAATTGAATAGGGAAAAGTATTAAAAGAAGAGTTGAATCTAGACAATGATTTGCTTAGACCTATAAATTGATTTATCTTTATGATAGAAATGCTTTGAAGTACAAGATTGCAAAAAGCAAAGTCCTGTTGTCTCAAATAAAATTGGGAGCGTCCTGATACAAGAAATGCAAACAACCGACAACATCCTGTATATAAATTTGTTATGAAAAATTATGCTGTATAAAGTCCTCAATATAAAGATAAATAGGATATAATTCAAAATAAAAACACATCACGAAAAAGAGAAAGCAGCAAGATGAACAATGAAAATATGACATCACAAAGATGTTAACAATGGAAGTATGACTTCATACAAGAAGTTAACACCCAGATGAGGACACCAAGAAAAGAATGAATAAAAGCAAACAATATAGAGTCTTTAATTGCGAGCTTGAAGGGATTTAATTTCTAACAAAACGAACTAGATAGACATGAGAGCCTAATTTTAGAATTGAGCTTCTCAAGTGCTAGTGCTTTGAGTAACTCTCAATAAAAAGTCAAACCAATCTCTTGGTAACAAAGCCAGAATATGGAATTTCAACTTATTGTAATGTTCATCCGAAAATGAGTACACTGTTAGAAAAAGGTAAAAATTTCACTAATAAGCTCATTCAAAAAATAGGGACAAACTCTCATCCGCATAGTTATATATATTACAAAGATATTTTTTTCACAAAATTGCAATTCGATGCATCATGGTCTCAGTTTGCACATTTGGACCATACTATTGGAATATATGGAACCCAATGCAGTACTAAAGCGAATTTACTGTTGATCCATACAGATCTCGAAAAATTACAATTCTTATAGTTATGTTCAATACACACACAGGTTAGCAGGTACTCCCGTAGTATGTGTACCAGGTTAGGGTTAGACCATAATTTTATTCAGATTTTTCTTATTTTAGTTCAATTACAAGTTTGGCACTGGTTCTGTTAGTCAAGTGAATTTACCACCGGTCCATAGGTTTTAGTCACTTTACACAACTTGATGTGAAGGAGGCTAACAAAATTAGTTGCCTCCATATTGGTACACACACTTCTGGAGAGACAGTTAGTATACTGACAGCAACATCACCCACAAAACATTATTCTCACGTCACAAACACATTTACAAACCTCCTTTATGGCGTTATAATTCTTGAATGAAGACGTACTAACAAATGGACGATCACCATCCGAATTTGGCGGGCTCGGATAATCCACGCTTGCGTCTCGTGAGTCCCGACTGCTCGTTGTAAACTGCCAATGATGAGAGAAAGAGAGAACTTGATGAATTCATGCAAAAGCAAGGTGCAATGTATGTATACAGAAAGAACAAATGAGGAAATATAAAATAAAAACACAATATTGGGAAGAAATGGCGAACAACTGGCATATTTGATTGGGTGCTCCCGTAGTATGTGCACCAAGATGGCGCACACCCTTAGCATAGTATGTGTACCAGGTTGAGATTATCAGGTTGGGCACCATCTTGGTGCAAATAATACGGGAGCGCCGATGATTGTCCATGTGTAACTGCTACAGAAAATAAAAAACCTCTATTTCTAAGATGCTTTTTACTTTGGCAGACAAATAGCGTTCTACATAGAAGCCCATACAAATAGCAATTACCAAATAGCCTATTCAGAACCTGTCGTCTATAATCAGGAGTTCGCAATCTGGGGGTCGCGACCTGCGGTGGGGCGCGGAGCAAATTAAAGGGTTACAAAGAATACATCAATTTCACATAATATCCCATAATTGTGCTTTTTTTGGCTTTCGAGTCAAAACTTTTGATACTTGTAGAAAACATAAATCTCTCGTTTGCGAGAGGATACATTGAATCAGAGAAGCGCCGCACTTGCATCACAATGCCGTCTTTGATCGTAAGACCAGAGAAGCAGTGCGCCTGCATAACAATGTCAATATCAGTGGCTGCTCGTACAGGAACTCGTTCAAAGCAAACGGTGTAGATAATAGCCATAAACTAAGTATGTTAATTGCTGGCAACCTATGCTGAACTTCAAATTTTAAGAAATTGTTAAAACAAGCAATTACAAGCTTTCAGTAACTTACATATTCAGCGAGATTCGCTCGGCTTTTTCTTCGTGTCCGTGGCGGAACATGCATGTCATTCTGTCCGTGCAAAGATGAAAAATAATAAGGCATGCATCATGAAGGCAAACATGCAAAAAAGATGAAAAATTAACAACAATTTGACGGTAAATCAAATTGTTGTGCAGAGCAAAATAATGCAAAACGCAAACGTCTAGATAAGGGATATCCGACAATACCAGTATTTAAAAAAGCTACTTTCATTTAAATCATTTTTATTCTCTATTCTTCAAATTCGTCATATTTGCGGTAAAAGTATGATATATACATAATTATACGAAAAAAATTAATAAATCTAATTGAAAAGAAACTAGACATTGAAGTTTTTTATTCAGATTATCAACTCTTAATTTTTTCACAGTATTTGATATCTTTACTTGAGAACTATGAGGTATATCAAATTTTATAAAAATTTATTTATTTTATTCCAATTCAAGTTTAAATAGATCTTGAAATGATGTTTTTGGTTTAGATATTCGAAATTTACAATTTTTCTTCTTTTTCATGATAAATCATGAAATATGAAAGAATTTTGGCGTTTGCATCTTTTGGTATTCACATTCGGATATCCCTAATCCAGAAGTGGAGCTAATTTTTGCTTATTAACTGTGTGCTGTTATTTTGTGCAAAATGCCACCGGTAATTGTCACAATAAAACCAAGAAAACCAAATATTATGTTTATAGTATAAATCTATAAAATGCAAATCCGAATTCAAAATAAAATCATTCTGGCAGCCATCCCCAATCCATATTTGAAGATAATTATTTGACTCATAATGAACAGTGAGTCATTATTTTGTTCAAAACGTAACCAGTAATTGCAATACAAATTCTTAAAAAACCTTTTAACTAAAAAATTCAATATACTTCCTTGTTCATGACAATGATATAAATTGATAGATAAAACTAAAGTTAATATTTGCTCCATTTGTTTTGAAACACAAAAATCAACATACTATTCAAATTAAGACATCCCTGATTAAGAGTTGAAGATAATTTTTGCTTATTGATTATGGGTTGATAATTTGTTCAAAACTTTACCACTAATTGTAACACGAAACCCCAAGAGGACTGCAGATATTTGCTAAATTTTAGTTTCAGGAATGCACTTTTTGAAATTACAATATTTAAGATATGGTCTTTATAACAATTTTGAGTTCAAATTCCATCCTGACCAACACTTTATAGATTGTATAGGCCAGGGATGGCGAACCACTGACCCACGGGTCACAAAGTGACCCACCGCGTTTTATTCGTGACCCGCCAAGGCACGAATAAAATAAAAATAAAATGCTAACATATTAGTGATAAAAATTGATGAAACCGGCCATAAATTAATCTAACAATAACTAAACTATTATAATGTACCGTCAGGGCTGCGATCGCTTATATTCAAATTGTTAATTTCTGGGCCGGTATGGATATTTTCAAAACCCCTAATCTTGGACGCAAGTCTGCACCGCCGTGTACCGTTATTCAGCTATTTAAGCTATTGATAGCTATCGTCAATGACATAACAATGCAATTGATCTGTTTATTCTCGCAACGTCGAGATAATACGAGAACTAGATGCCACTTTGCATTTTATTAGTTTCTTGCCTACAATGCCGTTGAGAAAAAAAAATATTTCAGACTTGAAATAAAAACCTAGAAATAAGAAAAAACAACGGGGCAGTGTAACGCTTTGGAACAGTGAAATAGTTTGCCGAATCGTCCTAAACGTTTTTGGTAATTCATATATACGTGTTTTCGTACTCTTATTTCATAAAATCAAATGCCATAAAAAGTCCCTGATAGAAGTACTGCATAAGTAAAGCCCAAAACTACACCAACACCAACAGAAACTCATAAGATTTGTTTCAGAAGTTTTTTTATAGTTACAAACATTGATTAAATATCTGTGACCCACTCTCTTCTTTTACGCGATAAAAATATAATTTTCGACACATTCATCGAAAAAGGTTCGCCATCCCTGGTATAGGCATAATAATCAAAAAAATAACAGTTCTATTAAAAACTATACATCATATTGTATCAGTACTTCTTGTCTTGAGCACTATTCAGAGCTAAAATATAAATTCATTCAAGTTCAAAATTGAATGAGAAATCATTCAGTGCTTCCTCATAACATTCAGAAAATTTAGTGATTCAAAATGTACTTGTAGTTGATTATATAAAGTTATGAAATAGGTATACAACATCTTGATCATTGCATCTGTGTGCAGTGTAATATTAGCTTTCATTTTTTCATTCAAAGTGTGTTATTAATTGCTTCAGTAACAAATCTGTATTAAAAAGTGATTGCAATCTTTTGAAAAGTATGCTTGGACTTTTTTCTTTTGAAATTAGCAAATTCTTTTGGTAAAAAGTTAGCTTAGTCATTGTGTGCATCGCCTTGTCAGGAATATTTTTGCTTGTATTAGTTTCGAGCGATATATATATTGTGAGAAGATGTTCGTGATAAATAAAAATCTGTTGCGTTCACTTCAAGCCTTATCAATCATTGTTGGTATGGAGGTAGTTTCAGCGCAAAATCAAAAACGGATTATTTTGAAAAGCAAAGCATTTATAGCAGTGGTTCTTAAAAGGGCGAGTCGCTCCCCACAAGGGGCGGTAGAAAATTTTTTGAGAGGGCATGAAGCTAATTAAAAAATAAAAATATGTTAGATTGGATCTTATTTTAGATATTTACATTTTTAATTGTGGATATCCACATTCCATCCACGTATTTTTAAATAAAACATATTTTCGTCTTACTATCTGTTATTTGTAGCTTATTGTTAGCTAGTTATTCTTGAGGTGGGGGGGGGACTTGACAAATTCTAAAAGAAGGGCATGGCCTAATAAGTTTGAGACCAGTGATTTATAGGAGCTATCAAATGCTTTACAAAGCATTACAAAGCCAGGTTTACAAAGCCAATAATTGCATTCTATATTAGCTAGTCTTTAAAGCACTATTAATTTATTTTACTAGAAAGGTAATCAATGCAAAATCAATAAAGAATCTTGAAGGAGGCGAAGCGTTTGTAAGATTAATAATCAAAGTTTACAGAGCCAATAGATCTCACATTGCATTTGCTTCAAGCAAAAATCCTTTCCTTTATTACAAAGGATATCAGCATTGCAAAATCAAAAAGAATCATCTATTGAAGCAATTTGGTAGAGCGCTCACAAGAATAAACTAAGATTTACGAAGCTAATAAAAAAAATTTGCATTTGCTTCAAACATTGCCATCACAAAAGCCAAATCAAGATCTTGAAATAGCAAACGACTTATAGGAATATGCTGAGATTATTGGAGCAATAAAAACTCGCATCACATTTGATAGAAATTTTTTACTTCAATCTATATACCAATTTTTGCTAGAAAGGCTAGCAGAATCATTAAAGAATACTTGAGAAGGCAAATTTTTACAAAACATGTCAAAGATTTTCAGAAGTCAACAAAACTTGGCTTTGCCAACCTTATAACTAGATTTTTTCATTGCTTGCCATACATAGCCATACTAGGTAGCAGTCTAATAAATATAATGGAGTAGCAAACTCAGAGCTAGCTTCACACAAGAATTCTTAATTTCAAAAAATTAGTAAAAATTGCCAAAAAAGATTTTCAAGACTGCTTGAACAATTTTTGAAGTAGTTCAAAGATGTTGCAATACACTTTCAAAAATTTTATCTAGTAACTTTCATGAATCAAAGTCATTGTTCTGGACTGCTCGCCTAAGAAAGTCAGACTTTCGTCAGACTAAATGTTACAAAATGAAATTCGTGAAATGTTACGCAACAGTGTTAACTCTAAGCAAATTATGAGTGCGAAAGTGCTTCGCAGTCCAAAAAAAAAGTGCGAAAGTGCTTTTGCCGATTTTAACAAGTTAGGTGCCCTAGCCTTTCATAAAACCCATTTAAAACGGCATAGATACTCGAAAAAGCGCTCCTCCGGTTAATATTATAAATTAAAGAGAAGCCTTTTCGTTAACCGAGTTCCCTTTAAGCGAATTCATGTTTATTTGAAACGAGCGATTTCATCGGCAACGAAATGACATCTGCTAACACCTGCCGCGGACAAAACTTTCATGCAATGTATCACAGTGTCAGTTGCTTACTCGCGTAAACAGCAAAGACTTTCACATTTGTTACTCCTTCCATCTAACAGACACGAGGCCGGCTGGAAACCATATTAGTTACAGGGTGGATCGTTTGTACAAATGCGGTGCAAAATAATCCCCCCCCCAAATATAAATAGCAATCAACTAATTAGGGTTAGGTGCGCTGGAAATTCAACTTTTCGATTCATCCCTAAACCTAATCTGATAATTATTAATTTGTGATTTTGAACCACTTTGAAAGTCGCCACCCGCTGTTTTAAAAGATAGGTTAACCTACGTTCCCTCCGAAATATTATGCAGGATACTCCCCTGTTTTAGGAGATAGGTTGACCTACTTTCCTTCCAAACTTTTTTCTCCGAAATATTACACAAGATTACTTTGAAAATCCTCCCGTTTCGTGAGCTAGCGTGACCTAATTTCTCATTTACATTTATATTATACTATTTCAGAGCTTACCCAAAGACAAGTAATTTTTAAATGTCCACATGCCTTGGTTTGCGTGCGAGTTAGTTTAAATCGGGCAGAAAACATCATATATTGGCAAAATGTTTAGTAATGTCATGTACTTTCAGCATTCATAAATAGCACTCTTTGTAATGCTGCTGACCTAGTATCAAATATTCGCATCACAACGCCACTTGCGAGGTTTTCATATATTTCAATTACACTAATAGGAACGATGACATCAAAGAATTTTCTTTGCGAAGGTACACTAAATATAACAAGGGTGATCCTTGAGAAAAACATGAATATAAAAAATGAACGAATGATATGATAATGGATCCCAAATAATTTTGAGAGTGTCTCGAAATACCAATCCATTTGATAAATAATTTTTATTCGACCACATGAACGCTGATATCCTGAAAATTAATGTTGAAAGAGAATTACGCATTCTCAGATATCGGACATCCAGTCGCGATATTCAATCGTTCATATGCACAAATCTCACATTAATAGTAATTGCTACCCAAGTTTGTAAAGTTTAGAAACCAACAAACGGAAAATAACTAACCTAAAACACAATTAAAATTCAGTCGGCAATAAATTCGTCGCCAAGACGATGCCATACAAAACAAAAAAGATTTGGTCGCGAGAGTTACGTGAGATGACTGCCGTTGTTTTTTAAGCAGAATGTAAAAAAATTTATAATTAATAAACGGGAGTTACGACGCCCTTTACACATCGTGTGTATTAAACTTCCCTGGTAGGTACTTTGGTAAGTACTATTATTATTGTACTTATACACCTGTTGGAGTATTTCGGACAATTTCGAATTTAAAATAAATTAAAACAAGACATATAATGAAGACGCAAAAGTAAAATGAACATTTATTGAAAAAGTTATTATTTAAGAAAGACAACATGATCGTACAATTCCGCCAAAACCTCGATGTTCGCAAGTGAGATGATAAATAAATACTTCCCTGTATTCGATCAATTAACTTTAGCGTATCGTTGTTCTGCCAACAAACAGCCGGGTGCAAAATATTTCCGTCCTGTGATATGCTCACAAATATTCTCGATATTAATATCATACCCTCGCGTATGTACTTTCTATTAGCTCTTTAGTGATCCCTTCCATCCTTGGCCAAGTCATGTTTCGAATATGTGAACATTTTATTCGACCATACATGGCCGGCGGGATGTTAAAATTGTAAACAAGAGAGAGGTAAAATCAATCGCGAATTTCGTTATAACGGCTCGTTTACGAATTGTTGCGCCTGTTTTCGTCGAAAATGATTACATTTGTTGTATTTTGAGGCATTTAAGCAGTAATAATTAGGGCATGACATCATCAAAATCGTCAAGTGAGACATGAAATTGCAAATTCCGTAAATAAAATTGCGAATTATTCGGTAACGAATTCAGCTGTAAAGACCGTTATTGTTTTGTTGAAAATTATTAATTTGAGAGCGCCAAAAACATACAGTCCATACCGATGCGACTGCAATTTATATGGTCGCAATTGGTGTGGCGCGTTTATTAATAGTGTAAAATAAATTAAACGAATATCAATTATAACCAAGCCTGTCAGCGTGTTTATTTTCTGTGGGCAGGAATCGTAAAATACCATCTTGAGACAAATTCACTTTTATTATAAAATCTTAATTTCCAGTTATTATCGTTATACAAATAACGTGTGGAAACTTTTTAATTTATCGTCGATCAAAAAACCACCCCACACTCGTCCAAACGTGTGTTGAGCTTGAACGACAGGAACAGATTCATCGAGGACCTTAATCAGGGAAAATATGTATTTTATTGGGAATGCAAAATAAATGTAACAAAACGCATTTTTGTGATATAACTTTGTATTTTGGAAACGGGTTGCCGTGAAAGGTAAAATTTGATCTAAATTAATTGCAAAAATGTTTTATTAAATGAAACAAAACACATTTTGCGATATAACCTTGTATTTTCGAAAACTGGTGTCCTGAAAAGTAAAATATGATCTAAATTAATCGCAAAAATGTTTTATTTTAAATGTAACAAAACACATTTTCGCGATATAACCTTGTATTTTCGGAAACGGGTGTCGTGAAAAGCAAAATATGATCTAAATTAATCGCAAAAATGTTTTATTTTAAATGTAACAAAACACATTTTTCGAGATACAACTGTATTTTCGGATACCGGGTGTCATGGAGAGTAAAATGTGATCTGAATTCACCGTAAATAATGTTTCATTCCAAATGTATCATAATGCATTTTTTTGCGATATAACTTTGTATTTTCGAAAACGGGGCGTCACGAAAATTATTAATTTAATGTTTTATCTATCGTCTAACCAACATCATTGGTCTAACTAACGTCTGGAACACATCATTTTCGGGGAGAACTCTAGCCCGCGAAACGTCATTTAATTTAAAATAGAGAATGTTTCACGCATTTCAAAACGGAAAATCACCAGTAAGTGGACAGGGATTCAACCCTCCGGATTCAGTATTCTATATCCCCCGTGTCAGAACTTTCTGAAGAATGGAACAAAGAACCCGTCAAACTGCCGCGGAAGGGGAGTATTTTTTGCACTAATAATTAGGGCGTGACAATATCAAAATCGTCAAGAAACTGGTGAATTTGCAAATTCCATAAATAAAATTGTGAATTGCTCAGTAACATTTTAGCTATAATTATCGCCGGGGTATTGTTTTGTTGAAAACACGTTGAAACTTGAGGGAATTAGTTACAATTAGCGCCTGACCTCTATTAAGCACTCGAAAAAAAAAGCACTCGAGCCCAATCTTTTTAGCATTAAGTCGCATACTTAAAATATCCTGTAAAAGAAGTGCTGTTCATTAACGTCATCTCATCTTATGACCACGCAGAAATGCTTTTATAGCCGAATTATTCAATCACTATTTCAAATCAACATTCAGTATTGGCACAATTTCAGATTTGCGAAGTTTATCACCATAGAAATACATGAGAAAGTTAATTATCGTCTTAATAAATATCTGCATCACGGTATGGACAATAATATTACCATTCGCATAAAATTGGGACGGTAAATTAACAAAAACTTGATAGGTAATATTAAAGCCAGCGCAAATGTTAATTTGAGTCCTCAATGTCTTCAACAGCTGTTGCCGATGTGAACGAACGGGTAAACCCGAAATATAAAACTTCGATGTCCGCCGACCCACAAGAATTCATATTTGTAAAAAAGAGAGGGCGGGAATATAGATTACCCAAAACCTGGATATCGCGGCCAAAACGATCGGTGTCAAGAACAATTAGCGATTACAACGGAATTAACCAGTAAAAAGGCTTTGTTGCCGATTTTTTAATGTTTCCACCACGTTCGGTACTCCTTAAAAATATTCGATTTAAAAAAATATTGAATTTTGCCCACCCCTCCTCGCATATCAATGAGAAATAGTTGTGTAAATATCGCAAAATTCCGGAAAATGCCACGTCCTTTCAACATTGTGATTACAATAAAATGGCACTTAATGGTATTTTGTGAATTTGTTGATTTTGCAAATCTGTGACATGCTGCTAAAAGTTTCGTCTGATTTGAAAATCGTGCAGTTTGGTCACAATTCATCCAAAGTGACTAAAACACGTTACTAACACTTTTATAGTCATTTTGAATTCATCGATATCATTGATAGTCACATGACCACTCTCGTTCAAAGAAACGCCCGGGGAGCGTTTTTTGCGGGAGAAGCGGAATCCGTGTGCTTGTATAATAATCATATTATAAACAAGAATTTTGCCGTTAATGCAAAAGCTTTATCTCCTATTTCTGCATCTCATAGGTTAGAATTCCGGTAAATATCGTTATGATATGCAGAATTGAGTTACAAAAGTACCAGTATGTTACTTATTTGTCAACTTAATACTCGAAAATATTTGTTAACTTTGAATTTTTATTCCATTCAAAATCGGAAAAAAGTGCTATTTCTCTTCAAAATCGGAAAAAAGTGCTATTTCGCAGTCCCTAAAAAAAGTTGCGAAAGTGCTTCGCAATTTTCGCAAAAAAGTGCGCTAATAGTGAACACTGTTACGCAATATCTTTAAACTTCTCAATCTGTCACAAATGCAGATAGAAAGAGCAGCTGTTTGCCACATGCTACTTAAATCAAACTGAGAACCAATTTTAGCAAAAATACTAAAAAATTACTCATCATAATTTAATAAAATCCAAAGTTCTGCATCTATGTTCACACACAGCTCACAGAAAGTTGGTAAATAAATGCATATGAACATGCCAAAGTGCTAAAATCAAAATTAATCGAAACTTACAATTTTTGTGTTTGCTTCAGCACTAGACATCTCTCTTCTGCTATTGTTTGAAGAGAGAGAAACGTTCTTGCCTTTCCAGACCCATAGCTCACTTTTTTCAACCAATAAACGTAATTGGTCGAGATTTTTCTTTATCTCTTTATAGTTTTTATGCTCGTCTTTTGTCACTAAGAGCTGGACCTGTAGATAAGGAACTAGATTTATTACATGATCTGTGGCCAAAGATTCTCGGCACTCCACAACCCTTGCATTTTGCTATTAAATGCTTTTAATAAGTTAATTTATGCTGCACATTTAGTAATTAGTAATCCAGCAAACAGAAGCAAAGGTGATAAAAATATTACAGTCGTTTTTATTCACTAATAACTGGGCCTATAAGGTAGGAATGTACTTTTTATATCTATATTTTAGGGGAGTAAAAGCCTATAAGATGGATTTATAGTGTTATGACAGTTTATTCAATATGTTAAACATTACCTGGACCTCTAGACAGGGTGGGAGATGAATTTTTTACATGGTCTGTGGCATCTCTCCAAAGACTCTTACAATTTCTTTATATTTATATTTCAGTGAATTGGGAAAGCTATATTTTAATATTAATTAAATCACGGTCCTCATAATTGTTTATAGAATTTCTGGTCAGTTGTGGCATCTTCCACTATCAAGTCCACGAATCTGATGCAAATAACTGGTTAACTATTCCTGCACCTGACATGGACTGGTTAATGAATTTGAGGCTATGATCTACCATGTGACTAGGACTTCGATCAGCATTCCTCTCCCAAAATAAAAAATAGGAAAATCTCAACTTATAGATTTGTTCTTACTTTCTTGGATTTGAAAAATGAGGAGAAAAACATCACCCATGTCTTTGAAAAAATATAATTGGGGTGGCAGAAAAAGTTAAAAACATTGGTCTAGAAATGAGGTTTCTCCACCTCTAAAAGTCATCAATTGACATATTTAAACTCACATTCTTAAAAGCTTGTAGAACCTCTTGTCTTTGGCTGAAGTGTCTGAATAGAAGTTGAAGCGCTCCTGATACAAGAGGAGGATAGTCATGCATCACTAGGTGGAGCAAGACTCGTAGAAACGTCCGTCCTCCCTCCCCATCAAGGTCAAGTCCAGAACTTTCTACAGATCCGTCAAATATTCCTTCTGCTTTTGCCGATATCACATTCAAATTGATAGGTGGTGCTAAAGAGGAATTTAAAAAAATTAATGCTTAGCAGCCAATCATTGCAGATTTAAAACAAAAAATCTGGGTTTTCTTGTTATGTAATTTTCCTGACCATATGAAACCTGAATTGCTTCAAATATTTACTTAGGGGCATTTACTGTAACCTATGGTTCTCCAATAATCAATATAATGGCTAAATGGCTTCCAGTCAGTAGGTTGCTAGTTTCTATGCCTGGAGAATAGTCATAATTAGAGCTGGAGTGCATCTTGTGAAAAGCAATATGTTTAGAAAAAGTACATTAAGAAATTGTACATTGATAAATTGATTATGAGTGAAAAAACCTATGACCTAAGAATGTACAACCTTAAAATGAAATGCTGGACTCTTCAAATTATTTCTATGAAATTTACAATTTGGTTCGAAAAAATCCAAAGCTTCAAGTGTGCAACCTTCAATACAGGAGGGCCAGATACAAATAACTGTGTGAAACCGCATGCTGCACCTTTATTTAACATGAGCTTGCATGCACTAACATTTTGGGTTGGCTTATGACTTGCGTTTTTTGCCTCGCACAAATTAGCTGTCAGGGCATTGTAACATATTGGGCATGAATAAAAAAAATCAGACTCAGGTAATGGCTTGGAATTACTCACACGGACCAGAACTCGTTTCACATTTGCACACCCCTGTATTAAGGAATTCAAACAACTAAATTCTAATTTATTTCCATATTTCAAATGTTCGCTACACAATTTTTATTTTACATTAGATTTTTATGCTTTGAGTCAATTTCCAGAAGATTAAAAATCAAACTCACCGGAATCATCCATATTTGAAACTGATGGAGCTGATGCTGTCGGAGTCTGTTTCTGCGCCTCTTGATTATCACCAGCAGATTCACTATCAGTACTTTTCGGCGGCTGTTCTTGATCGTTTTGTTGAGCCAGGTCCAAAGTTGAAAGGTCATTTTGTTGGTTCGCCTGATTGCTCTCGTCAAACTCTTGTTTGAAGATTGAAAGTAAACTCGAGATTCGATAATCGAGTCGTACATCAAGAATGAACTGAAATGTAAAAAAAATATTATGTATTAGATATCTTTACCCTTGTCCAAGAACTCTTAAGCTCATCGGAAGAAAAAAATTGACAAACATAAATTCTACAGTGCCCATAAAGTCCCTTTACAATTTAAATTTTGTTATGAAGTCAGTTCTCAATATATCTTAACCAGGTTTGTTGTTTCTTGATCAGGAATTGTTCAAGTATTTTTATTTCATTTAATACATCTGTGAGGGCCAAAACAATATATGGTATCGATAAATTCCTTTTGCATTTTAAAATTTTTCAAGCCTTTATGGACACCCCATATATTCCAAAAACTACAGAATTCAGTGTTGTTATCTGCTTTGGTTAGGTTTCGAAAACACTAAATGAAATAAAATTTGAGTTTTAGCACCCGCATATAGATTGAACCTGCGGATATACACATGGGTTCAAATGTACGGTCACCGTATGTAGACATATAAAAAAGAAAATTTGGAGAAAAATAATAGAAAAGTCCTTATTTTATTGCTGTATCTATTTTGTCTTACATGTAATATTTCAATTATCTTCAGCTTCGTCTCCAACACAAATTCATCTTGGTTATGGATACTCATTGATGGTACAGAATGAGATGCTTCATGTTGTCCGTTAGAAGAACCTAGAAACAGCAAATTAAATCATAAAAAAGAATGACTGATCATGACCAACCAGCTGTGAAGGTGAAGTGACCTCCATGTATTGTAGAGCTAAGAACCCGGTCGGGCCTGGAATGTCAATTATTATGTTTAGGGTCTGGTCGGGCCAGAATATATGTTAATTAATTAAATGAATATATGTTTATAAAAAAAATATATTTAAACTGTGTGTGGATGCTCATCAACACGACACATACTGTACTAAACTCTTGCAAAAACAAATCAAAGAACTCCTAAATAAAATATAAAATTTCGGATTTGCTTCGGGCTCGGGCCTGCAAATCCAGTTAATTAGCCGGGCTTGGGCTTTGTCGGGTTTAATATCTACAGGCCTGAGCTGCAATTTTTTGGCCCGATCTTACCTCGACCTCTATGTCAGGGGTGCACAACCTTTTTGCTATTGGCGGCCACATTGCATTTATTTTTATACAATACGGCCGCCAGGAGGTGAATAGCGCGCCGAAGGCGCGCGAATTTTCTGGCTTTGTGATGTCATGACCGTGTTTTTGACCCGTGCGAGGTGCACTCTGCCCAATTATGAAGTATGTAGGACTACTTGGAAGTATAATATTTGCATTTTAGAAGGATTTTTTTTTTCGGGGACCTATTCTAGAGCAGATATATTCTGCAAGTTGCATAATGGTTGCACAATTTTGAAAAAAAAAATGGAAAGTCTGGGAGGGGCGGTCGCCCCCATTTTCTTGTCCCCAAAAGTATAATAAAATGTCAAATATTTTTATGAATTTATTCTATAAAAGTTTGCAAAGAATTGTAGCAATTTAATGACTCCTTTGGTCTTGCATGTGGGCAGATAAACTTGCAAAGTCAGGTAACTCGCAGCAAATACACCATCTAGATTGTGACGCATCGTGTCGTCTGACTCTTTTGCAGTGCTTCTGTTTTGCTTCAATATACGCCAGCATAGCCGCCAAATTCTATATTTTGAACTTTTTTTTCATAGGATTTTGTATGTTGACGGCCGCATTTTTTTCGCGACTGCCGCAGGTTGTGCACCGTTGCTCTATGTACTCGAAGGCTCATTCCTGTTTTGAGGGTTACTTCAGGGTATACAGTTTTGAATATTTCAAATTTTATTTCATTTAGTTTTTTCGAAACCTAACCAAACCAAGTACTTCCAGGAAAGTCTTATATTTCCCGTATCTAGAGTTTGTCTTTGAACAAAAATAGTTCATAATTATATAACCATAATGAGTCTTACCCTCCTCTTGTCTGTTTCTTCCAATCATGCTTCCCAAAGCCATATTGCTGACCATCATACCAATGTTGCCAACACCACGTGAGACATCATGAGAACCTAAGAAGAAGAATATGATACCATATTCAAGCACCAGAAATGTTCAAAACCAGGGCTTCCCATACTCTTGAGATCGCTACCCCTTTTCAATAGATTATTAAAATTCCCTGATACCCCTGTTAAGCCGGCATTATTACGCGCCTCCCTCAGGGGTGCGAACTCTGGCCTAAACTGTATATTTAACTATTTATAATATATTCTATTTCGATAATTATAACTCGAGTTTGAAATAATGAATCCAAATTAGATCATATTCATAATAAAACAGATAGAATCTGAGGCTTATTTGACAAGACAACAAAGAAATGTCGTGATTTGATATGTTAGAACAGCTATTCATAATGTAGCAAAGTTACTAATGTTTTGGACCCTTTTTCAGTTATCCCCCCATTAATATCAATAATTCTTCTTTTTTCCTTTTGATAATGCTGAAAATTGTAGTCAAATAATAGTGAATGCATTGATGAATGGGAATAGGCCCCATAAACAAAATACTTTACATAGTAAGTATGAGTATCCATATATTAGTGGAGGTTTATTAGTCTGGGGAGAGAACTGGAAAAAGTCCAAGATTTCAATACTAACCATCTTCATTCATTCTTCCTCCGTTGACAAGGTTAGGTGAGACACCGTGCACACAATCCAATATTCTAAGTAAAGTTCGAGTCAGATTCAACAACTCACGGAAACTATAGAAGCCGAAATAGATCAAATGGCGAGCAAGATTCACCACCTGTGGAAAAAAAGTTTGTGGGTTTATTCATTTCTCACACCTGAACAAGGCCCCAGACAAGCAGCCACTCACACATTGTGGGGCATTTCAGAAGAGTATGTACCAATATGGACGTAACTAATTTTGTTCGCCTACTTAACATCAAGTTGTGTAACGGGACTGCAACCTATGGGCAGAGGGGATATATTCACTTGGCTAACACAGACAGTCACTGAACTCGAAACAGAACTAAAATCAGGAAATCGTAATAAAATGGCCTAACCCTAACCTGGTACACACACTACGGGGAGTACCCTTTGTGGTTGGGGACGAACCAGACAACTTTAACCTGCATTTAGAGGCCACAAGTGCCTAGCTGTGAAGATCTAAGGTTTGATGCTTGGTGAAAAACATTCCACAAAAATAGGTACATGCTGCACTAAATTGCAGATTGTAACGAATTAATGAGCAACCCTGAAAAAAAAATCAAGAATCTATTCCATGTCTGCCTCATTCATCAACGCCAAGTTTGGAATGAACCAAGGCCCAATGAAATTTACAACACCGAGCTTTACAAGCCATATTTATTGAATGCATTACAACAAAGTTACAATAGAAATTCCCACAGGGAGTGATTAGCTACTTATTTATAGTGAGTACAAGCACAAATTGCGATAAGCAAACAAAACAGCCAATGTTTTGAATGTCTATTTATACTGCTGGGCCATGTAAGTGTGACGTAAAAAGTTACATTTCATAAACAATATTTACAGTGTTTACAAAGCAAAAATGGAAAACAATATGCCTCGTGCGAAAACTAAATTTAACCGCACTTTCAACAGATTTCTTGAGCTATTTTTAACTAAAACAGTAAAATTTGGTTTCAGTTTGGTTGTGGCAGCATCAGGCGGGCCTAATTGAATTACTCAACGGGCCGGATTTGGCTAATGACTAATATATACATTATACTAGCATGACTAATATATACATTGCCCTGATGAAGTTTTCTGTATTTCACCTATGTAAAGATCTGTAACTCTCGTGAAGTTAAAAATATTGGCCCTAGCTTCGAGTACAAAACTAACAAAAATGGAGAAGATCCAAGACTTTTCAGTGACATTACAAAAAGCTTTGCACTTTTACTCACCGAAAACATAAATTCTGTGTTTTCATATTCCTTTGTAAAAATAACGTAAAAAAAGCAAGAATTGTAAAAGGGATTCAGCAATTTCATGATAATTGGAGACACCATTTTTGTTTTTTTGTTTTAGTTATTAAGATGTTTCCAGCAGGTAATATGCACTGCAGCTAACAATAGCTTTATATTTGTCGTTCCAAAACTTATGTATTATATTTATTTGAAATGTGTCAGCTTAATATAGCCAAGTGGTTTTCCATCTCTCATGACTAGTGCCCCCTTCCGGAGTATCTTAGCACTCATGGCCCCCTTTTTATTATTTCAGTGGTATTTATAGTGTTATTTCCTATTAGTAGATTCCAAATGCATTATGTTCAAACAATTCACGCATAAGAAAAAAACCTGTAAAATAACCTTAATAATCGAGCAGTAAACTAAAAAGAACAGTGTTATTAAGCAATTAAACTAGGAAAAAAGGGAAAAGTAAAATCAGTTTTGAGCCCTGCATTGTGGCCATTCTCCAACTGGTCTGTGGCACCCAGTTGGGAACTGCCGATATAGCTTATGTAATGACATATATACATTTTCTGAGCTGAGGAAAGAAGTTGTCAATACAAAAGGGAATCCGTTCCTAAAATTTTGAATCTGGGAGAAACCCAAGCAAATCTAAAACAATTGTACTGTTTTCCTAAAAAAACTAGCAAGAGAAATAAATTACCTCAAAAGTCAGTTTGTTTTCCTTTGAATTTGTGAAGATTCTTGCATTGCTGACAAGGTTGTTCAAATACTGGTCAACAAATTGCATTGTGGGTACAAACTTCTCACAATTTCTCATTCCTTCAGCATTGTCATAGCTAGAATTATGGGAGTTACAAATTTTTTAAATACAGAAAAAAAAATAGTAATGCTCAAACATCGTGACACAGACACCAAACGACCAAATTAAAGCAAAATTAAAGAGAAAAATTGAGGCGAAATGAAGAACCCTGTAAGACTCAAAAAAACAAATTGAAAAATGTATAATAGCAGTTCCAGTCCTCTAAGAGGCATATCTATCTTCAAATTTTAGAGATTTAGAAAAGATTGGTCTGTAAATATGAGGCAATGAAATTTTGGCAACAGCAATATAAAAATATAATTACTAGCACTCTCTTGCATGACAGCAGCAATTAAGAAAAACAATGGGGGTCACTTTTCTGGAGCCTTGTTTATAGAAAAGTGTGAAATCCCTTATTCCGAAGTTACTTGTACAGTTATTGCTACTCCCGAAGTTGTTGAACCAAAATGGCAGACACCGGAACGTAGCATGTGTACCAGGTTAAGGTTAGGCCATAATTTCAAGTACAAATACTACGGGAGTCACTTGGCTTGGCTATAATTGGAATAAAATTATGAATCAACCCTAACGTGGTATACATACTACGTTCGGGTGTCCGCCATTTTGGTTCACAAACTTCGGGAGTACACAATAATTGAGTTTGGCACTTGTCTGAAAGCCTGTTACAGCATATATGTGAAACCCCTCTCTTTGAAGATAATAAAATAAACAAGAGAGCTATGCTCAAATATATGGACACGTAGCGCCACCCAGTGGCAATAATTTTGATGACGTCATAGCGAAAAAAAAGTAATAGCCTTCTGGAGAAAAATTTTATCTTTAACCACTGAAAATATCAAAGCAGTTGGTCCAGTATTCGAAGAGAAAAGCGATTATTTAAAAATGGAGACGGAGACAAATAACAATAACAACAAAATTTTGATACGATTGTTATGGCCACTAAACGTGTCCAATAAACCAACTTACTCGTGTATAGTAATTAGAGTTGGTATCTCAGACCAGAGTCTCGCATAACGAACGGGAATGACTTGCTCCTGGGGATCCCGGTCAACGTGCATGTGAAGCATAAGCTGGGATATAAAGAGGTTAAAAGTTGGAAAATGTTGTTTACGCAAAAACTAAAAATGTCTCATGGATTTTCAATCTAAAAATTAAAACTTGACCATTATTTTCTACTTAATTAGTGGGATTTTATGCCAGGAAGAATTTTCCTAATTACCGTAACTTCATTCTTGTGGAATTAACTACAACTAAGCTGTTTGTATGATTGGATTGAGTAGATTGTCATCTTCATATCAGTCAGCGCTGTCTATTATTTTCAGTGGCGCCCATAACTTTGTTGAGATATTAATCTTCAACACTCCTGAGTGGCCAAGACTTTGCTTTGAGCAAATTATTCTAGAAAAATTTGGTTTCAGTTTCTCCTGGCATTTTGTGGGCCTGCTCAACTATTTAGAGAAGAGTCTTCTATACTTTAAGTGTAACACCTTTTCTTGAACAAAATCGAGTCATATGAACTCAATCATAAGAAAATGTATGGTATCAGTAACAATAACAAAAAAGAAACCCTAAAAAAAATACCCGTTATAAAAATGACAAAAATATGCGCATTCACAGTAACATTTAGTTTGATCTTTCACTTTGAGGCTCTGCAGATAACTTTCATTTGAGCAAATTCTACAAAAGTGAATCGAAATTTCTACCTGAACAAATGATGCTCTTAGATCGCAAGGTAGTTGATTATCAGCCATGCAGTCTAGGATTATAGGAATCTTCAATTCTTCTGATATTGGGTTGATCGCAAGATATTGTCGGTCAAGACACATTTTGCTGAAGAGGTCAAGTTGATGTCTGAAAATATTCAGAATATATTATTTAATGTAATGTAATTTAATGTATTTTTGAATGACTAGATGAGTGGTTCACACACGGTGGGGTAGGCGCAACCACTGGACTAGAACCTTGGCAGTTCGGCATTCAAAATTGCCCAGCCCTACTTACGAGGTAATACATGAATAAGCTTCGGTAAAAGCTTGATGCAAACAACCAGGAAATATGCAGATAAGATTTAAATGCCAAACTACTAATGAGTTCTTTTTGTACAATCAGTCACTGATATGCAAAGGAGTAACAAACACCCTGGCTGGATGGCGGAATGCAGGATTTAAATTCGATATTAATAATCTATGATGTTGGGATAGTTAAGTTAGTGTTTTAACCACTAGGCCAGGAGTGGGTACGGTTTTTAAACTAGGGGCCAATAATTTTGCCCACTCAGACTGGCGTGCCATGGAAGTGCGACGTAACAAGTGACGTAACAAGTTATGAACAATAAAAACTAAAATAACCACAATCTCAACAAATTCCTTGAGCTATTTTTAGCTAAAACATCAAACTTTGATTTCAGTTTGGTTGCGGCAGCATCAGGCGGGCCAAATTGAATAATCTAACGAGCTGGATTTGGCCCGAGGGCCTTAGTTTGCCCATTTCTGCACTGGGCCCAAGTCTTAACCTCCATAACGAAAGCCCCAGAAATTCAATCGAACAAAATTTCACCTGTAATAATTCAGTGTAGACAAATCGTTCCTATTTGTCTGTGATGTCTGAGCCAAATGTCGAATACTTTTTTCACTATTTCTTCCCTCCCCCCATCTCAAAACGACGGCTTTCAAGTCCTCCTCATAAAAATTCTCACCCTCGATCTCTTCCTCTTCATACTCAATCGTCACCATGGCTTGCCTGAGTGAGAATTTTTGAAATAAAGTTAGATAAAACATAACTGAAAATCAGTAATGAGTAATGTTGTCCCCAATGTGGAGCTTAAGCTCAAAAATAGATAAAATATATGTAATTGTGGTTAAAATATTCTCTGCAAAGCAGTGCTTAATATGAGTCACACTACAGAGATAAGCTTTCTATATTAGTAGGTCTAAGAAAATTTTTCCACAATGTTACAAAAGCAGAGCAGAGCTCAAATGAATCATCTGGTCTAGTTAAGCGATCTGTTAGTATACAGCAGGGGTCGGGAACCTTTTTGGTCAAGAGAGCCATAAAATATACATATTTTCAATTGCATTTCCGTGCGAGCCATATAACATTTCTTCAATTAATCAGACCTGAAATGTTTACTCGAAAGTCAACACACACAATGTCAATATACATTAAATGTGATTTCTGATGCTGCATGTAGGCGCTGCGGGCCTTGAACGGTTGCTCACCTGCAGCCCAATGTGGAAATCTACGATACTCATCACCCTTTTTCGTTTAGACATCTCCGTAGTGTTTTTAAAACTATATCGCTTTGTGATGTCACAATATATGTTCCAGAATCCCCTTGTTTGTCACAATGCCTCTCTAGTAAATATCTTACATAACATAGACATGTGCTGGACGCGTGTTTTGAAACGTATTGGGAATTTCCTGCCAAATTTGGCTATAAAAGAGTTTGGGATCTCGTAACAATAGTAAGCTTAGTCTTAGAATATTAGATTTTTCTGGGAGCCATATGCCGTCACCAAAAGAGCCATATATGGCTCGCGAGCCATGGGTTCCCGACCCCTGGTATACAGTCTCATTGCAGACCCCAGAGCAGAGCTCAAAATGAGTGACTGGAGTCCCAATGCAGAACTAGAAATTAAAAGTCGATCAGTCAATATTTAATTGGCAAGATAGCTTGCCTATTTTGAATTGACAAAACTTGAATGAATTATTGTCAATATGGATAAAATTGCAATTAGAGAGAATATCTGAATTGAGTTAGTTGGATCTTGGGGCCTCAAAAAAACACTCAAAGAATGTATTAGTGTGTAAATCTAAACAAGAGACTTCACAGAGAACATTGAGATATCTGGATGAGCTTCAAGTCCCGATCAAGAATTGAACTATAATTCTAAACAAGCCAAATTCTACAAAATATGCTTAGGTGCAGCTAAGATATAGATTGTTTCTTACCAGGGCTGTTGTAAATATATATTAATGCTAAAAGCAAGTTTAGAAATTTTTTCGTTTCTATGCTCTCACTCTAAACAAGGCATTGTACAAGGTTATTTTACAAATTTGAAAAGAAAATACTAAAGAGTAATTCAAAGTTGAAAAACCTACCTAGTTTCAATGAGAATATCCTTGTTTTCCTCAGATAGAATATTTCTGCAAATTAATTCTTGTGTTTTGGGAATCGCTTGTTTGTTGGTAACACAAAGATCAGCAAGATAGTCCAAGAATCTGTAAAAGAATTATTAGTAAATTATTTTTTTATGAGAGAAGTTGGAAGAAAATGGTAACGGACTAAAGCAACTAAACTGAAAAACATTAGCGGACACAATTTTAATAAACATTACATACAATCACCTACATCAATCAATTTTTTTAAGGAGATTTGCTGAATGCATGGTGAGCAAACTCGCTTAAAAGTTAAGACATTCATCGAAATTACAGGCGGCTACTGGAAAGCAAAAATATACAGAAACTGAACAGAAATTGGGTCAGTTTATGTAAAATCATAGGCAATCTCTACAAACTATTTTACCTTGGTTCCCTATTATTCTTCCTGACAAGCGCAACAAATGTTTCAATTTCTTTCCCTGTAATGTGCTGCTCCAGTAACTTTCTATTGTTGTGTAACAATGCTGTAATTGTGTCTTCTGCTAGTATGTCATACCCAATTTGACGTTGCATCAGACCGAACTGCTTTGCAATGTGTTCCTAAATACAAACGATATTAGAATTATGTAAAAATACGGATGGGGTTGTCTCAACAGGAAGTAAACAGAAGTATTATATGACCTGCTGTTTGTAAACTATATTGAACTATTATAAGAAACTATTATAAGAAAACTGGGGTGATGTGCTTTTCATACAATTTTAATACAAGGTTTTAATGCTTTCCACCCCCAAGTAACAAATTCGCTCGCACTGATATTTACGAGACTTCTATATTTCTATATAAAGGCAAATTTTTTTTTCAAATTTGCATTGCCTACATCAGCGTTTTTTAGCAAATGCTTTCAGCACTCGTGAACCCCGTTTATCAGTGGTAAATTCATGCTCAACAAAGTGAAAACCTTGTTGAAATAACCCTTGTGACCTCATAGCTCCCTTGAGAGGCCAAGGGTCCCGGTTGGGAAGCGCTGGCCCATTGGGCAAGCGCTGGGCATTGCTTACATTAGTGATTTTTAGCTAAAGCTTTCAGCACTCGCGGCCCCGTTTATCATTTCAGTGGTGAAATCATGCTGAACAAAGTGAAAACACTGTGAAATAACCTTGCAACCTCGTGGCACCCTTGAAAGCCGAGGGTCCAGTTGGGAACCGGTGGCATATGTAATTTAAAACACAATGGGTAGGGGTTGAAATCCCACAAATGAACATAAACAATATAAAAACTAACCCAACAATGATGGAAAACAATCTTTAGAATGAGGTTGTGACAGCATGAAAAATAGATCACCCAATCCCTCAAAAGTAACAAACCTGATTCTTCCTGTAATCCTGTGTTGAATGTCTAAGAATTCTATAACAAAGTTTCAGAATGTGTTGGTAATGAATATTCTTCTTATTCTGTAATTCATCAAGCTGAAGCAATGCACCTTTGCCATACTTGTCTACGAAGGGAGCCTGAAGATAAAGTAAATAATTTTTTTTTTGAAATTCTCATTCTTTAAAAACGATCATTACTAAGTATGGAACTACTATAGTTAGTAAGGAGCAGGGGCGAAGCCAGGGAGGGGGGTGGCCTTTGTATCGTAACTAGCAATTTTTCTTAGCCTGAAACGCTTTCTTTCTTTCCCTCAAGAGTCAAGACTCTTGAAAACCAGGCCAGACCCATTGGCTGTTACGGTATATCAGGGTCGGCAATCTACGGCACGCGGAGCGGATCCGGCGCGCGGAGTTATAAAATCTGGCCCGCGACGCTTCACTGAATTATAGTAACAAAACAGCTGTTTTGACGTTTATATTCTTTACATAACAGAATTTATTGCGAGTCTACACGTGTAGACTAAATTATATTCTAACCTAACAAGTCTATAATTCACAATTACTCGTTTAATGAGCCTATAATTTATTTATAATTTGACAAATGGCAACAAAACGCAGAAAAGTTGATGCTAAGGGTTCGATGGCGCTGAAAATATTCAAATAAAATTTTTTGAGATGTAATGAGGTAATAAATCTATATTCTATTCGAGAGATGTATCACTGATCGGTTTTTATTATAAAAAGTATCATTTGTTCGGTTTTCAACTTTCTAAAATATGTGAGGCCCGCCAATGACTTGCAACCCCTAATTTTGGCCCCCGAGCTACAAAAGGTTGCCGACCCCCGCGGTATATAACCTTCCCCCTCCCTGTTGAAAATTTCTGGCTAAGTCCCTGGTAAGGACTGCATGTGATATATTCTCCACATATGTGTACTTTCATTAATAAGTTTTAATTTATAAAAACAGGATGTCTGTTACAATATCAATCAGTATTTTAGTCTTAAGTCAATTTATTTCATGTGACTTTAAAATAGAACTGGCAACAGATACAGCAGAGTATTTCCATTTGCTTTCATACAACAAGTATTTAAATTATTGGTAAATAATAAACCGTTACAGATTCAGGTATTAAAATTTGGTAAATTTGGGCAAGAGAAATCCAGAAATTACTGAATTACTAATTATCCGGCTCCATTATGCCAGATATTGGGTTCTACCACAGCTCAATTCAACATTCATGAAAAGTTGAGAAAAATTTGGCAAGTTATGTTGATCCAAATGATCTCGACCCTCCAAGATTGTTAAGGTTTTGCTAACATATAAGTGCTGCTAATAGAAAAAGAAGAAGTGCCTAACAAAAACATCTATTACTAGTACATCTAGTTTCAGAATTCTAAAATTCCAAACTTTTTGAATGAGACATTAAAACCTCGGGTGTCGCTGCTAAAAAACCAGCGTTGGTTCCATGTGACTTCCCTTCTTCAGTAAAACTGTGTAATTATTTTTTTCCCCTAATTTGTGCTTGTGTTATATTTTTCACTGGTTGCAAAAAATAAACTTGACTTGACTGTATTTTCACCTGTAATATCTTGAACAATTGATGAACGATATTTTGTTCTCTTAGTAATTTTTGCCTTTCTCGATCAGGATTTGTTCCAACGACTGTCAGGGCATCAGCTGCACCACGTTGTTGACGGCAGAGAAAGAATATGATGTCTTCTAGCAGTTTGATCACAAATCTAAAGAAAATTATAAATTGTAACTTGCAAATGATGGTGACTTTTCAAGGGTCTTGCTAACACAAATTCTAATAATGAGCTAAAAATTCTCAATGTGAAAGTGAAGTCAATGTTCAGTGATAATCATATCATTAACTTTACATACATAATGTAATAGGTGTAAATAATTCCACACCCCAAGAAAATGAAAGCTAACTACTGACCCATGGGTGACAAAGTGACAATCCACAATATTTTTTCTGTATCCCATCAATTCAAGTATTATTGCAACATAATAACAGAACATACTAACTTCTAAGAAATGAAAAAATTTGTTATAAACAATCTAACGGAGTGTGTGGACCAGGTTAGGGTTATGCCATAATTTTTTATTCCAATTTTCGTTTTGGTTCTATTACAAGTTCGGGGGCCGTCTGTGTTAGCCAAGTGAATATAGTCCCTGCTCATAGGTTTCAGTCCCTTTACACAACTTGATACACTTCTGGAGCTCAACGTGAGCCTAACCATCAAGCTCATATTTTTTTCTACCTTCTCTCATTCACAGTAATTTCCTTAGTTTCCATATGATGAGCGCAATCAGCCAGTACTTTGCTTGCATCGTTGGCAAAATCAAGGTCTCGGACTTCTTCTACGCAGACATGAACTATTGCAAATGCTTCTTTGTCTTCTTTATGTTTACAGGTTCCAATCTGAAAATATAATTGAGGAATAAATAAAATTTCCATATAAAAGATTGCCCCCAAAGAAAACATGCAGTACAAAAATGGTTTATTGGATTTTAGTTTCATTATTTATGGATGTTACCTGATCATCTTTAAAGACCTATGCCTTAGGGCTGGGAATCCCCATTTTTTTTTTGAGCGACCCAATTTTAAATAACATTGATGAGCGTAAGAACACTAACATTATTGTATGCAACACAACAGCCACTCAAATAATACCTAGCCTGATAAATGTAAGTAAAAATCAATCCAACATTAAAATGCATTTATAGGTGAAAAGAGTGAAGACAAAATGACAACTTAATCATATGGCAGACCTCTGTCCAAGCCAAGTTCACTGCAACAGACCTGAGTTTACCCAAACTACCCTACAATGGCTCTACGATGTGGCATTTCGTGCTAAGCGTTAGGAATGTGCTCGACCAGCACCTATGATTACCCTGTGTGGAAAAGCAGGTTCACCACATGCAGGGTTTTTTATGTGTGAGAGGATTGCTGGGCTCCCCGCCGCCGTAGGGTGGTTCACGAGATAAATATGAAAATCTTATCTTATCCTAATGCAATGCAATAATTTGTCTCAATATGGGGCAAACGCATAAAACTTCGTTCACAGGAACGCAATATTAACACACATTACACAGTACCCACCTTTAACATTACAGGCCTATCTTCTTCCTTATCTATAGGAATCGCAGTTGAATGAACCCAAGTATCAGTGCATAGATGTTTCAGTCGTACGTAAGAATTTGCTGGAACAAGGGCATCACTTTTCGCAAAAGATGTTTGATCAAGTTCAAAGATTGAGCTGAAATATAAATTAGTTCAGTTAAATAGTTGCAGCAGTCCATTGGTAGGAGTGTTACTTCAAAATGAGTGTCAACAGTCATATTACAGTATATCCTCGCACATACACAGACACCGCATGGTACGCTATAGCAGCGATATCAGTCTGTGATTGGTTGTTGTACACATGATCGCTTAGTGTTTACGCTTATATGCGAGGATATACGTATATCTCAGCTTAATATACTCTGTCCACCTTGCCACAAGCAAAATGAATAAGGTTAAACAAAGTACTGGAAAGATTCTGGAGTTTCCAGAGACATATTATATATGCAAGACCACAGCCAGTCCAAAATAATTTGTAGGGGCAAATTTGATTTTTGTCTAAAGACGTGAAACGAAACTCACTCAAGACAATTCAAACCAGCACTGTCAGGGAAACATAGGTAAATTAATATTGAATGATAATATTGGAATAATCTCCCACATTCAAAATAATTACTACAGAACAACAATAAGCAACCACAAACAAATGAAACCTATCTTGTTACCTGACACTGGTGGGGTCAGAGGTCGAGACAAGACAATACTGCATTCCACCAGGTGGCCCACGGCCTCGCGAACCTCTCGAATTCTCACGATCAGAACTTCCGCCATTATCACTGTCTGCCATCTGTAGATTTGGGTAAAATTGCTCATGAATTTCAAATTTTAATCATAAAATGATAAGTCTGGTTATATTCAAGGACGAAGTTTCTCAAACTAGGCTCCCAGTCCCCCAAAGGGGCCACAGAGTCAGGCTCCATGGGTGAAGACCCTAGGCTTTCGCTAGGCATTAGCGATGACTATATTAATTTTAAGTAATTTAACTGTATTATGTTTTCGCACAATAATGAACTATAATACCGATATATAATGAACGATAATTTTTTTGTTTCATTTGTTGGATTTTTATTATTGAATAAAATAACCAATGGAAGCTTGTTAAAAGCAGTATTTTCATACAAGAGTATACTGCTAAGTGGCATTGACATCTGTAAATTTGAGCAAAATTGCATATGACGAATTTAAATTTTAGTCATGAAATGAGGAGTCTTATTTTATTCAAAACAGTGGTTCTCAAACTTTAACAATCAGTGACTTCAAACAATAATGGCTGGCCCCTTGATCTTTTATAAAAAGACATTTTGCCTTCTAGCGCATTACCATTAGTTACATCATGCACCACATTTTAGTAAAAAGCTAACAAATAAAAGCATAAGAACAAATGCATTACAGGCAGGAATTATATAATTTGCAGTCAATTCATTTAAATTTCTTTGGTCATCGCAAATGGTAGCGAAGCCCTTTGCTTGTGGTCCCAAGAAATGCTCTCTATGGACCCCTAGTGGTGCACAGAGCCAAGTTTGTAAAACTGTTCTGATACAACTGTAAATGCATTTTTCAGCAAGTTTATGTATTTTATCACCCACAAATTATTTTGCGAAATAAAAAAATTAATAAAAAAAACATTGCAGATGATAAATTATTTCACGTTAGGAAATAAATGTTTGATTATTCCGCAAGATATGTCATGCATGATTAACCACACAAAATGAATTACCAACACGGCAACACCTATTACAACTCATTTCCAGACAGATCACGAAATCAAAGTGGTTTTATGTCAGCTTATCAACAAGTTAAACAAGTTAAACAGTACAACACGGCACCCATGCGACTTTTAATAGGGATATTGAAATGAAAGTCATCAAGTTGGCTAACTCATATAGCAAGCCATCTTGTCCAAGTACAAATACAGGTTAAGTATGAAAATTGTTAACAACTTATTAATTGTTGCTTCCTCAAATAATAAGATCTATTCAAACACGAAAAATGGAAGAATATTTGTCATTGTGACGGAAGACACATTCGGATCCAAAGTCAACATGAAGAAAGGGCCTACAGTACACAATACCCAAGTTATAACCAATTATAATGAGTCGACCAACATTATCTAAATCTGAAAATTAAATATTTCAAACCTGACTCGACCCAGAAACAGAACGACTGATAGAATGTCTTTGCTGTGAATTACCACACGAGGATTGATAGTTTTCGTAATCGACATTGCTTGTTGGAGTCGCGTCCCAGTCTGTATCGTCCTGGTTTTTAAGTTTTTCAATAAATAATCTGTACTCCCGTAGTATGTGTACCAGGTTATGGTTAGGACATAATTTCATTCCGATTTTCCATATTTTAGTTCTATTATGTTATGAGCTCAGTAATGTCTGTGTTAGCCAAGTGAATATACCCCTGCCCATAGGTTTCAGTCCCTTTACACAACTTGATGTAAAGTAGGCAAGCAAAATTAGTTACCTCCATAATGGTACACATACTTCTGGAGCGGATAAAAATTATCTGTGTTAGGCTTGGAAGGGGTGTGAGTTGGACAGGCCTTTTTGCTTGTTCTCCAGATAACATAAACTGACACACAGAACATAATGATTATAAATAATGTTATTTCTTAAATTTAAACCAAGATGTAACTTGAAAAAATAAGCATATACCAGTATACACAATATTGTCTCAACTATTTTTAAACTTAAGTAAGTTAGTATTATTTGGGGTTAGTGAAGTTCTAATAGTAGTCAAAAACTTGAGGTTGCGGTTTATTAAAACAAAGATATATAGGGTGTCCATAAAGTCCTAAATATTTCAGGAATTGCAAAGAGAATTTATTGATACCATATATTGTTTTGGCCCTCAGATGTATTAAATGAATTGAAAATACTTGAACATTTGCTGATTAAAAAACAACAAACTTGGTTGAGTAAGATATATTGAGAACTGACTTCATACCAAAATTGAAATTGTAAAAGGACTTTATAGACACCTTGTATATTCCATATCACATTAATGTAATTTGTATTTCTCAACTTAAATTTGGAAGAAATAGCATATATATGTAATCCCAAAGTATTTTTAGAACTGTATTAAAGCACGGCGGCTATCGTCTCCTATTATCTTGGTAAAGATATTTATAAATAAACAGCATCAGACGTTTGCGTAAGATATTGATCAATTTTTGCGTAAATACACATTTTACGCACTGTGATAAACAATATAAAAATGAATAATCAGATATGACATCACAATCACTAATTATGATCCATGAATAGACATTCATAATCACTTTTACCAGGTCATAATTGATCAAAACAAATTACAAAATTCATGCCAAATTTACTTTTCACAAATTAAAATTAAATAGTAATTATTATTTTATAAATATAAATAAAACATTCAAAATTTGACATTAAAATTTGCAAAATATCAAATAAAAACTACATGCATTAACTGAAACTAATTTTCAAATAAGAGAAAACATTCGTAACTTTCTATAAATAAAATAATAGTATTTGAACAGGAGAAAGGAGACTGCTAAAATTATATTCAGGATGTAATATATTGGTTGGGTATACCATATATGAATACTTAATAGTTACAGCCAGGGGTGTATCTATGAAGGTGATTGTGCGTGTCAGAACCTTTCACCCCTCCCGCTTTTACAATATTAAAAAAATCATTTTCCACTATCATATATAGCATTTTTTCGTAGCTTGAAACACTTTTTGGCATTTCAAGACTCGGGGAAAACCAGCGTTTTCCAGCCTAGCTGTTACCGTCTAACTTGGCAATTAGAAATTTCATCATATCCCCCCCCCCCCATTGAAAAATCAGGGCTTCGCCCCTAAATACAGACCATCAAAAACATTTTTAAAAATGTCTATATTCATCTGTAGCAGCTTATGTAGAGCCATTTAAAGCAGGGGGGAAGCCAGGTGGTGATTTTGAAGGTTGGATCCCCCATTTCGAAATGTAAAAAATTAAAGCATCTTTCTGTATCATAAATAGCAATTTATCGAAGCTTAAACGTTTTTCAAACCATCAAGACTCATGAAAACACACGTTTTCCGGCGTTCGACCGGACTCGCTAGCTGTTTCGATCTAACTTGGCAAATAGCAATTTCAGAACCCCTCGTTTGGAAATTCTTGGCTACTCCCCAATAACAACCCATCGAAGACATCAGTAAAAATATCTATATTCATCAGTGGCTGCTGGTTCAGAGCCTTGCTCAGGGTGAAGGCGTTAAAAGGTTTCTTACGAATATATAAGATGGAAATGTTACATAATTTCTAAAATTAGAAACATATTACAGCAACATAGTGGCGTGGGAAAAATGTTTGCCAAATCATTGAAAGACAAAAACCAAATAGAAAATGAATACTTGCGAATGGCTGCTTCCAGCCTTATAGTGAATAAATGCATGAATCGTGCTGCATGGCTTATTCATAGAAAATTGTCTGCTAACTGGTCTTTAGACTATTTTAACACATATTTATGCACACATTATGATCTACACGAAGGCCATAGTAATATTTGCATGAGTTACTAATAATCCATTCAATATTAAATGAAAACCGAACTTTTTATCTTGGAGGAGAAAGAATGGAGAGGTTTAAAATTGTCAAAAGGAAGACAATGTATTAAAAAACATTTCAAACCGGCCTAGTTAATTGTCACGTTTCCATTTTAAATCTATCATGTAAAGCATTCAGCATAATCATTGTTTGTTGTAGGTAGTTGACATTTTCCCATTAACCAAAAAGGAATCATTAAATCTGATTTAGGAAATATGGCATTACTACGACCTATTCAACACACTCAAAAAGATGTCTATTCATGCATGATTTAATTCCCAGCAGAATAACATCACCTAATGTGACATAGCTATCTGTCAATGACATTTAAATGTGGAAACTGTAATCCCAATTGAGTAGTCATCAGGTAATCATAAATAATGATCGAACAACCCACCAAGGATGGCCAAATTTAAGTTCCAAAAACTATTTAAATAGTTATACTAGTCCAAACATGGCACAGATGAAATTGTGAATTTGTAGACAATACTTGTTCGAAATGAATGGTCAAAAATAAACTTGACGCCTTGTTTGTGGTTGCTTGTGGTTGCATATTATATCACCAGTATTAAAGTCTCAATGTTGTGCTAATGTGAAATCAATGTATCATATAAATGTCAGAAGACATGAGAAACATCTGTATATTGATGAGTTGCGCAAATATTAAAATTTTAATTTGACTAGCATTACTATAACGCAGTGATTCTAAAACGATGGGGCACGCCTCAAAAGTAGACAATTTTTTGAAGGGGCGTGAAGCTAATTACAAAAAAAAATATTTGTTAGATTTGATCTTGCCTTCTTTTGGATATTTACATTTCTTTATTTTGGATATTTAAAGTTGAATCCACATATTTTCAACGTCTACTTTGAATAAAACATACTTTTGCCTTACTATCTGTTATTTCTAGCTTATTGTTAGCTAGGTATTTTTGAGGTGAGAACGAGAATTGACAAGTTCAAAAAAGGGGTGAAACTTAAAAAGTTTGAAAACCACTGTTATAAAGGGACATGTGCTTTGAATTGAATTTCTGGGGAAACAACTATTTAATTTATGCCTTCTGCCGGTAGTGGTTTGCATGTGTATAATACAAGGAGACAACATGTAAAAAAGTAGCATCAGTTAAGATGACTATTCTAATCTGAATGATAACACTAATGCATTTCTGAAATGTTTCATCTGACTAAAGCCAGGAAGCCTCATAGCTAAATTTGCTTTGTCCTTTATCTTTATGCTAATCACATGGAAATATATTCAAAATCGACATTAGCATAAATCACAGTTTCCTTAACTTATGCCAAATCGGTGACCGTACATTTAAACCCATACATTTGCACCGGTATATCCGCAGGTTCAATCTATATGTGGGTGCTAAAATCCATGGGTTAGGGTTAGTATGGGTTCAAATATCCGTAAAAAAAATTCCATATGCGCAATAGTATGCAGGTGCAATTGTCGTGGGTTCAAATTACGGGTGCAAATGTACGTGCATGTAATGGAACCGCCAAATCAGTATTTAGGTCACAATTTTGTGCTGACATGAATCTCTATCCACATCAATTATATTTTTATGGGACGTCTCCACCAGGGGACATAGCCGGGAATATTCAAAAGGGGGGTTCTAAATTTCTATTTGCCAACTTAGACCGTAACAGCTAGCGAGTCGGGAAAGGGTAGATTTTCAGAAATCTTGAGGTAATCAGTAATTTATTTTCCACCAATACTGAAAATACGCAACATACATACAAGCAGAATAAGAAAAGGATAGTATTTACAGAGTGGATGGAGACGCTGAAAACCAGTACTGGTTATCGAGCAGCGACACCCTAGATGGGGTCTAACACAGCATAAAAAAAACGAAATAAAAATACCAAGCTTAAATTGAGGGAAATTGAGGGAGCTACGAAAAATGCTATGTATGATACAGAAAAATGTTTTTTTTACATTTCAAAAGGGGGGTTCGGACTCGTAACCCCCTGGGATACACCCCTGGTTCTCACACTTTTACTCTGAACAAACCCTTGTAAAATCAACCACACACCCTGGAAGAGATTGTGGGCATAGGTTTTGAAAATGATACAATTTTACTTACATTTTAAACCTAAATTCAAACAGTTATCCAACTAAATATCTTTACTTGCAAATTGTAAACTTTTCTATTGACCCTACATGAGACTTACCTTTGCAGCCAAATAATTTCCAGTTGCCAGATGTTTAAAACGAAATAAATTATTCCAATGTCCGGCACCTCCTCTGCATGGATCCTTGTGGACAACCTGAAGAAAAAAAGGTTCAGTTTACACTCATATGCTACCTGGAATCAAAATAGTGTGAATGGCAGAATCAACTGCCTTCTAACCAGATAGCCCTGATTCTGCAACAATTTAATGGCCATCAGATTGCAAAGAGAACAAAATGGACTGTGTCACATTTTATAATTCTTAAAACATCTCTTTTAAGGCGAACCGGCGGAATTGGTCAAAAACCTAATAGTTATAAAAATCTGTACACTCAAAAGATATTGAAAAATAAGATGAAACACGATAAAAAGATGATCATCTATGAATTCTAACCAGACAATCTAATTGTTTTTACTCAATCTTTATTGATCTTAACAGATTAAAAATAAAGTTGACTTGGGAAAATTAACACCAGAATGAAAAGATAACGAGAAATAGGATGAGACAAAAAAAAAATGATTAGCCTCTATGAATTCTTACAAGACAATCTTAATTGTATTTACTCAATCTTCACTGAGTTTAACAGACTAAAATAAAGTTGACTCGGGAAAATTTAGAACTCAAAAGATAACAGGAAATAAGACACAAAAAAATGACAATCATTTATGAATTCTACACAGACAATATTAATTGTGCTTACTCAATCATTATTGATCATAACAGATTGAAATAAAGTTGACTTGAGACAATTAACTACTAGAAAGATAATGTAAAATAGGACGAAACACAAGAAATGATTATCATCTATAATTTCTAACCAGATTTAATCGTTCTGAACCTTCAGATTGAAATAAAATTGATTTAGGAGAATTTACCACTAGAAATCTTTAAAGTAACACCAACTCCAATATTATATAGGATAGGATTTACATATTTTTCCCGGAGGAGAGGAAAGCCGATAAGACGGCTTATACATATGGCAAACCACGACATCTCGTCCAGTTACCATTCCATGTCGGGTATGGGATTAGTTAGTTACTTGTTTCGGAAGCATGGACTTGATGGTGGAGGAAGACGTAACCGACCAGCGGTTAACCACCCTACCGTGGCGAGGAGTCCAGCAATCCTCTCGCACATAACCATCCGCATGGGATTCGAACCTGCAAACCCACGCAGAGTAATTAGAGGTGCGGTGGCAAGAGTATTTCTAACGCTTAGCACGATGAGCCACACCGCCGCGCCATCTCGTAGAAATGAGAAAATTCAATTTCAAGGAGGAAAGTACCGACCTCTACTTCCCATAAGGCTTTAGAGCTCGTAGCTGATGTCGCTGTCATTCTACCAGTAGTTCTGAGAAACACATGCAGACTCTTTCTGTATTCATCACTGGTGAGAAACTTCTCTTGCTCAGCGTGGAATAGTCGAACAACATCTCCACCTTTGAGAGCGTCATCCCTGGTGAAAAGAAACCAAATTTTTGAATGATTAAAGTAAGGTAACCAGGATATATATGGATATACAGGGTATACATATAAGTCCTTTACAATTTCAATTTGGTTATGGAGTCGGGTCTTAATATATCGTAAGTTAACCAGGTTTGTTGTTTTTGAAATCAGTAATTGTTCGAGTATTTTTACTTTATTTATTACATCTATGTCCCTGGGAATGGAAACGGATATTTTTTATATATGCTTGAGACAGGGTGGACCAGATTTCAAACGATATTGCTCAAATATATGGAAAATGCTTGTTAGATGACAATACGGCATTAAACTATAAACCCACAGAGAAATCTGACATTCAGTGACGAAGCGAATAAATATTTGAAACGATAAAAACATTTGTTTATACAGCATCTCTGTATAGTTTTATGGGACCAAGACAAGTCAAGATAAACTTTGACCTGCTTTAGTTCAAAGACCAATATTCTTTTGAGATTTAATTCTTAAGAGTTTTACAGATATAATTGGATAATGTATAACAATAGACCATTGCTCAAATATATGGACATGAAAGTCAGTCACACAGTGCAGCAAATAGCCTGTGTGCCCTACAGAAGAAATCTGACATATGGTCATACAAATACTTCAAATCAAAATTAAAAATCAATTCATAAGAATTTAGATGGCACGAAGTTTGACAAAAAGATTGACAGATTACCTAGAAAGGGTGCCACATTATGGCATGATGTGGGGTGCTTATACAGGGAACTTTAGGGGGAAATATCAAGCCCATTAGAACTTAAAGAGAAATTTGAAAGAATTTGGCATAATTATGGGGTGCTTATATGACTAACTTAAAGTGAAAAATGAACCCCATCAGGGCCAAAGAGAAAATTTGAAAAAAGTAACATCTTTCTAGTGACTTCTTCCAAGTACTAGAAAATTTGAAAATTCGAGTATTTGAAAGCTGATTTGAAGTTCAGAGTGATTTGAAGTTGATGGTAAGTTTTAGGTAAGGATTATTCTAGCTTAGGAAGTAGGATTCACTGTAAATTAGTGGCTCCCTAATACAACACCTTGCAAGTTGCAAAGTGTAAACCCAAACAATCTTTCCAATTAGATGGTTAAAGCTTTCTATTTACAAGCATGGAAGTAAAAGACACATTAAACCTTTAATAGAGATTAATTAGATATTTAATAGTCCATTAGTGTCTATATATCATCTTTATCGTATCAAATAACAGTAAAATTATGAACGATATGTCACGCAGTATCTTCAATATTTACACGAAGATAAAAATGATATTTACAGAGTGGGTGTGATTGGACGTTTACAAGGAAATACTGATTGACCCCCCCGAATCAAAACATAGTAATAATGATTAATAATAGAAAGGTTAATATAATAACCAGTCACGGTCATACCGCGGGAGTGATTTGAGTGAGTGATTCAATATTTGCCCGTCTTTCAGGGGTCAAGGGTCAAGGGCATAACAATCATGGACATCAAATGTAATTACTTATTATTCAATATTCTTAAACGTATAAAGCTAGTGTGGTGCACAAAATAGTAGTTCAAAATTGAATCAAAACAATCTATACAAAATAAAATAACATTTTGAAAAATCACTGTTGGAAATTTTATTACGTGGTTTTTCGTAAACAATGCTCTGGGAAAAATACTTTATACGTAGGCAGTTGTCTGGGCCCAACCTGACAAGATTATAGCTTGTTTGTCAAGGTCTAATCCTGACATGGACAAAGTACATCCCGTGGGCCGAGTACAGCCCGTTGGTTGATTCAATCCGGCTCGAAAATAAAAATTAATTGAAAATTCAAACCATTTTGTATCACAACGTTTATACCATAGACCAGGGCTACTCAACTATTTTTGCCGAAGATCCGCATAGAAAACTTCAAAATATTTCCGGTTGGATTGGATCCGGTCTTTCCAGAAATTATATTTCGCATCCTTAAACACGCACGTCCTCGGCCAACAAATGATTATTAGCTAATCAAGATTTTTTATTATGGCGTTATAGTTCTTTCTATATATATTTAAATCTATAAAATTGATTTAATAAAAGGAAACTTCAAAAGTGGGGCTAATGATTCAAAATAAAGAATTAGGCGCGGTCCGAATCGAATACCCGAAAGGTCCGGATTTGGACCGCGGTCCGCCAGTTGAGTAGCCCTGCCATAGACAATCACTCTGTTTTGGAAATTCCCTATTTCTCAACTCACAGTAAACAAAAATGTCCTAAATTGGTACCGGTGCGATAAGACCTCATAACACTGAGCTTGCAGAAAAATCAGCAGACAATACTGACAGAAGCAATGTGGAATAAAAAACCTTGAATTAAAGTAAGAATTAATTCAAAAAGCTGATTAGAAGCATTTTTTGGTCCTACTGTGACACCCAATCATTTAAATAGTAAACTTATAACCGGGAATATTTCAAATAGGATCACAAAATCAATAATCTATAAAATCAAATAAGGGTGTCCAATAAATTTCATCCAATTTAACCAACAATTGTTATTACTATAAAATCAGGCAGAATCTTTGAACACCCTGTAAAAGCTGCAATTCTAAACTAACCCAAATATTAGATAATCAGTGTTCATGGTATATATTGAGCAGAAAATGATTTGGTTTTGGCATTTTTTATTTCTTTATTGACAGTAAACATATGAAGAACGAATAGTAACGCATCATAAGCATTACAAGAGCCGAATGTAGGAGCATAACCAAATTCAGAGTATATGTTCGGAAATATTTTGTTCCAGAATAGGGAAAGAATAGGAAAAATTATGGTTGCATGCTGAAATAGTATTTTTGAATACAGAATTTAGAAAATATTAGAAATTGAAAACTTTTGAACAGATGAGGTCATATTAAACAGAGAACATGCAGAAGCTGATGTATATTCTATGAGTATAAATTTGGTAATGTTAGGATGTTAGTAATTTTTTACTTGGTACACTTTTTTCCACAGATTTCAGAAATTGAAAGAAAGCCTTTTTTGGTCCTACTGTAACACCCAATCATTTGAATACTGAACTTATAACTGGAAATACTTTAAAATGTTCCCAAAAGCAAGAACCTATAAAATCGAATATAAACTTCCAATTTCCAAAATCCATAATTCCAAATTACTCCAAATATTTAAAATCAGTGTTCATGATATATTTTAGGCAGAAAATGACTTGGTTTCGACAATTTCAATTTTTTTATTGACAGTAAACACATGAAGGACGAATAGTGACACACCATAAGCATGTCGAGAGTCGAAGGTAGGAGCATAGACAAATTCAGAGTATATGTTCGAAAATATTTTGTTCCGGAATAGGAAAGAAATAGAAAAGATTTTAATTGCATGCTGAAATAGTATCTTTGAATACATAAGTTAGAAAATATTAGAAATTGGAAACTTTTGAACAGATGAGGTCATATTAAACAAAGAACATGCAGAAGTCGATGTATATTCTATGAGTATAAATTTGGTAATGTTAGGATGTTAGTAATTTTTTACTTGGTACACTTTTTTCCAGAGATTTCAGAAATCGAAAGATAGCCTTTTCTGGTCCTACTGTAACACCCAATCATTTGAATACTGAACTTATAACTGGAAATACTTCAAAATGTTCCCAAAAGCAAGAACCTATAAAATCAAATTTAAACTTCCAATTTCCAAAATCCATAATTCCAAATTACTCCAAATATTCAAAATCAGTGTTCATGATATTGATATATATTAAGCAGTAAATGACTCGGTTTCGGCATTTTTTAGTTCCTTATTGACAGTAAACATGTGAAGGACGAATAGTGACGCACCATAAGCATGTCAAGAGGCGAGATAAGGATTCAATTACAATTGAACTAAGTAATGTCAATAGGGTGATTCACACAATACAAAGCGAAAGAAGATACAACAGACTGATGGAGAATTTTATTCAAGACAATATAGCATGTAATGATGCTGTCGAAGACAATTTATTAAAATATTCATAGTATGGTCAATATACTTTATGCAGAACAAGAAATACCATGTCTGGAATGTTTATTAAAGTCCCTTTATAATTTCAATTTTGTTATGAAGTCAGTTCTCAATATATCTTGACCAGGTTTTTTGTTTTTTTATAAGTAATTATTCAAGTATTCTGACTTCATTCAATACATCTGTGAGTGCCAAAACAATATCATAGCATCGATAAATTCCCTTCAGACATCACGGACAACATATCAGCAGATAGAAAATTTTATTCAAGACCTTAATATAGTAATATATATATTGAAAACAATTCATCAGATATTTTAGATATTTAGATATGGTCTTCATACAGAACAAGAAATACCATGTCTGAAATCTTAAAAACCCTATGAAAACTGAACCAAATTTTACTCATATTCTTGCGCAATCCTAATTTAGTATAGAAAGAAGATACATCAGCTCGATAGAGAATTTATTTGGAGAAAATATAGCATGTAATGATGGTGTTGAAAACAATTTGTTGAATTATTTAAAATATGGTGGCCAATGTATAGGGCAGGGATGGCGAACCACTGACCCGCAGGTCACAAAGTGACCCACCGCGTTTTATTCGTGACCCACCAAGGCACGAATAATATAATAAAATGCTAACATATCAGTGATAAGAATTGAGAAAAAACGGCTTTAAATTATTCTAACAATAACTAATGTAATATTATGTACCGTCAGTTGGGCAGTCAGGGCTGCGATAGCCCATATGCAAATTGTTAATTTCCGGTCCGGGAGGGCCATTTTCATTAGTTTCTCGCCTACAATGCCTTTGAGAAAACAAAATCTTTAAGACTTGAAATAAAAACCTAGAAATCTGAAATAACAATGGGGCAGTGTAAAAGTGCTTTAATGTGGTTGAAAGCTGATCGAAAAATATAACACTATCAGAATGGAATTCCCTTCAAAATCTTTGGAACTGTGAAATAATTTGCCGTATCATCCTAAACGTTTTTGGTAATTCATATGCGTGGTTTCAGAATCTAATTTCATAAAATCAAGTGCCATAAAAATTCTCTGATAGAAGTGATGCATAAGTGAAGCCCAAACTACATCAACAGAAGCTTATAAGATTTGTTTCAAAAGTTTCTCATAGATACAAACATGAATTAAATATCTGTGGCCACTCTCTTCTGTTCCTTGATAAAAATATAATTTTTTGACCCATTCATTAAAAAAGGTTCGCCATCCCCGGTGTCCATGAAGTCTTTAATTTTTTTTAAACTTGCAAAGGGAATTTATCGATAGCATATATTGTTTTGTCCCTCACAGAAGTATTAAATGAATTGAAAATACTTAAAAAATTAATGATTAAAAAACAACTGGTCGGGATATATCGAGAACTGGCTTCATAACAAAATTGAAATAGTAAAGAGACTTCTAGGACTTGATCTTAACTCTCTTTTTCCTAATGATATATATATTCGTACTACCATCCTTGGTCATAATATGACAATAATAGGTATTTTCGGACTATTTTACGTTTATGTTCATGTTTTGTGAAGTATTCCCACACTAACTAAAATCATTTTTGGCTTCCAACTATGATCCGTGCTTGATCCGTCAAAATTTATTTTTTTGTAAATTTTTTATTCTACTACTAGGTGAATTTTATTTGTGTAGGCATTTCAAAGCTTAGAGATACACGAAAGTATTTGTCATTACTTCAAAGATAAGTCATTTGATCGAGCGGGAAACAATTTCGCGCACATAATAAACAAACAAAGATTCCAGACAACTATCGTGAACATGCTCTTACATATCATTGAATATTTCGCGTTTCGCTTCGCTTGCGAAGCTGAGTCTGGTTTTTCTGCAAAGGTGACGTAATGCTCTTTGAGCAGAGCGCTTAAATCTTGTTTCTTTGTAACTCGTGTTCATCGGAGCGATCAGAGTGTGAAACGTTCTCTCAAAATTTTTTGAAATTTCTCTCTTCTTACCGGGTAAGGTCGAACAGTTTGCGGATACGTCATCTGGGCGCGTTTTAGTAGGAAGACGCGAAAATAGGCTTTTCAAAGAGATATTGGGGGTGTTCCTGGCACGTTTGGTTAACTAGTCATTACATATTATAAAATGGTACAAAAAGTCGATTGTAACCAGCGGAAAAAGAGGGTTAACATTCAAAATATTATTTTAGCAGCAGGTTATTCGGCTTTTTGAACACCAGCCCTGTGAACTAAATTTTTTGGAACATATTCAATACAGGACTGCAAATTTACCTAGAAGATTTCAATATGTTAATCTAATTTAAATGAATTGATTAGATTACCGCATATGATAAACCTATTTCCTCTTATAGAATATTATTTGCCCATATGTTTCAACCATTAAGAGAATTACTCATGTGTTTGTGTATTATCGTGTGAAGAAAAACTATGTTTGGTTTGATCAAAGGTACGGGGGTCCTGCTTGACGAAAAGCTGGGGTTCCAATGGTTGGAGCGTTAGACTAATTTTGTTAGCATACCAGGGTAAAAATATCAAATTTCAATCCTATGCCCTCCACCTCACACTAGCGGTAAAGTATCAAAACTTGCGCAAAATTTTGAGAAAATACATAGGATCAGAAAAGCCGCACGCTTGCATTACAATCCCAACGCGAAAATGTTCAATATATTGGAAGAGGTCGCAAACTTGGAAGTTTGGGAAGCTCTGGGGCACCATGCCGAATCAGGAAGATTCCAGTCTTTTCACACAAGTGCAGCGGTGCTTGTAGAGAGGCATTGAAAACCTCAGATCCAAATTCCTGCCACCTCACTCATGATGTGATAAATTGAAAAAGCAATGCTGAACCCAGAATAAACAGCACTCCAGAAGTGTGTGTACCAATATGGAGATAACTAATTTTGTTAGTCTATTTTACATCAAGTTGTGTAAAGGGACTGGAACCTATGGGCAGGGGGTATATTCACTTGGCTAACACAGACATTCCCCGAACTCGGAATAGAACTAAAATAAAGAAAATAGGAATAAAGTTGAAGTTGAATATAATTTATTTTTAATGTAATCCGATATTCCACCTTCATAGTTATGGTTTCAGATAATTTATTTTTACTGATGCCAGTAAGATAAGTTATTGCGATGCCAAGATATTGACAATTTACTATTGTTCATTGACAAGTATGACAAGTAAAAAAAATTATTAGCAAATATGATGAGTCATCCTATTCAAATATCAAGTAACCATTATGATATCATAGTTGGTAAATGAGCTGCATTTCCTCTTGTCATTCAAATTAGAGAGCTTCCTTGTATTGTGATCTAAGTGTGTAGCTGAAGAATGAACGACAAAATGAATGGAGGCGGCTTTGATATTAAAATACATAGTGCGTCCATAAAGTCTAAAAATTGCTAAGGAAATTACTCTATGTTATCATTACTATCGTTACTTTATATTGATTTAGCCCTCACAGATATATTAAATGAAGTAAAAATACTTTAACAATTACTGATTAAAAAACAACAAACCTGGTTAAGATAAATGTGAATAGTTACTCATATTACATTATTGAAAAATTGCTTTTTAGTTATATCTAATTTCTAAATTGGACTGTTTAATGACAAAGAAATTTGCAATGTGTTTAAGCAGGCATGCATTTCACCACTCAAAACACATAGAGGAAGCGTTGGTATTGAAATGCATCCAAACAGACAAAATGATACAATTTTAATTATTACACCTCAAACCTTTAATGCATTATGTTCAACAAAAATTTGCAAAAATCCTGTGATCTATCAATATCTAATAATTGTTGCAGTGCAGAATACGGTAATTAATATAAACAAGTCAAGCTAACTTGAATTGGCCAGAAATTCGGCTGTCAATTTACCAGGAATACATTTTTCAAATCTAAATATTCTAGATTATCGTATAGCCTTGCTAAACTAAGGGGTCAGATCATACGCACATAACTCTGACCACACCAAAAATTTGGCTTATACACGCATAACTCTGATGACAATAAAAATTCAGTTTTAATGTGCCTAGCTCTGATTGCCGCGTCACGATTTGTGGGGTCGCTTAATGTTATGCGAATTTTCATGATTCCACCATTTTAGGGCCGTTTTAGGAAGTTGACTTATATGCGAGATAGGCTTAAATGCATGGAGAGGCATTAATCTTCAATTTAGAATATACAATAGAGCGAGCAGGATGATCTCTAATATGCAGGATAGCTAGAATAAATATTGTTGTTCCATAGTTATCAGAAGTTGGCCAAAAATGCAAATGTCAATTGCGCGGAATTGCATTTATCCACATTAAATATTCCAAATTATATCTAGAATTTAGGATTTAATACAGCTATTAAAAAATCGAAGGTGTTCAGAGTAGTGGGCACGAATAGGAATCTTATAAAAACTCTTTACCAAAAAATTTCTTCATTATGGGTAGACCGTACAAAACCAACAAGAAATCAAGAAAAATATCACTAAGCTTACCTGTCTTCATCCCAGACCATGAATAGATTGATTTTCCAGCTTGTGTTACAGTTGACAGCGTTTACTTCCATACTTCCCGGATTATCAGCTTTCAACTCGCTGTTACTGGCATGGAGTGGTTGTCCCGCGTTAACTGGCATCAGAACTACTTTGTCTCCTACTACAACCTGTGGGGAGGAGTTCAAAACTTAAAAACCCAAGTTTATAGAAATTTAATTCACTGTACCGTGAGCTGATAGGTGAGATCTTGTGTTAAAGTCCTGTGCATAGCCAGAGTGGCAAAAATTGCAGTCCTTACAAAACTCCTAGTAAATGAGTGCCTGCTTTCATAGAGCCTCGTGCAGATTAAAGGCAGGAAATAGGTAAAAATGTTGAATAAAATAATTCAGATCATGATAAAACAGTGATAGGATAAACCTTTGATTCCAACCTTTTACAGTCACAAACTTGTTGATGATTTGCATGACGCTTGTTAAACCTATCTAAGTTGGCATCACACATGAAAAGATCTCAGACTCCAATCTCATGCCTAACACATCAACCAGGGTATACTGATTGAAATATCCAATGTTAAACGAAAAAGTCCCCTTTTCATAAACCAGACACCTTTCATAATTAAGGCCTAGAAATCCATAATAGTAATTAAAGAGAAATGGCAATCTTGATACCTTGAAACAATAAAACCATTATTTTTCCATACTAATCTGCTTCCTGGGCAAAACCCACTGTATACGATTTCGGACCTCCTAAAGTATGCGCACCTTAACTCAGGTTGTGTACCAGATTAGGGTTCAGGTTGTTCGACATCTTGGTGCGCATACTTCAGGAGTACCCAGGTTTCATTATAAATTTATACACATCAGAATTAAGCAGATCTATGATACAGCCCTACAAATAACACAGAATAGCTAACACTATATTATTTGTGAAGGGATAAGTGGAACTACGATACTAATCTACAATCATTTTGGGTTTGAACGAAGATGTATGTATTTTGAGTCACAACTGTCTTATGAATTCATGCCTGCTTCGGTTATTGAATATCGAATATTATGAATTCGTAATGTACAACTGGGAACATACTGGAAAGTCCAGATAGACAATGTTTTCTTTTTCTTAGTTGAAAGGCTTTCGACCTCAACTAATTAGAGACATTTCAACTCATTCTAGACAATTCCAAAAAATCTTAATTAATGTGTTGTGAGAGATGTGTTTGGATCCAGTAATGCTGGGAATCTAAGATAGACAATGATTTTCTTTTTTATAGTAAGATGAACGTTTCTAGTTTTAACTAATGTGAGACATTTGATTACTCAAATTGACAGCTTGTCAAATATAACTATTCTAAAACAGTTTTATAGCCTAATCAATACAATCTAATATAATCAATAATAATCTGATTCAAAATATTTTACTGTGTTGTCACTGTTGTGAGATCTGAGATTGTTTCGACGCATTAAAGAGCTTTCACCTTGAAATTAGGAGATTCAATGATATCCAGGGTATGTATCCGATTTCGAAGCGAGGGCTGAAAGTCTTGAAACCGTAGACTCAACCATAGCCAAAGTTGGTCCCTATCGTTGTTGCGATTCTCAGTTTATTAATGAAAAACGTTTAGTGAAAATTGTGTCATTGCTCATATTTCAAACTTACATTGTCCCCAATCGATCTAAGTTTGTAGAATAATTCAATGTAAAACCATGAGCCTTCGTTCCCATCTGGATCCAATGAAACTCTCATTGCATTCTTCTCTAGAAGGGCTGGAAGTCGTTTGTTCACTGTTAGAAATCTGAAAAATAGAATGATAATTATCAAAAGATATGCCAGCAGTATGCATAAGATCATTATACATAATAGACCTGATAGTCAGTCAGTAGTTTATTTTATCACATACCAAAAGTACACAATAGACAAACATAATTACGAAGTATATTATAAAACTAGTCGAGCTTTGGACTAATTGGATTATTAGACTAGCTTTGGATAAAAATATGTTGATGTAGTTCAGCGGTAACCAACTGGAGACATTGAGAGTTTAATAAGAGGGGCCACAATGCGAGCATGAATTATTTGAAATTAATGAAATTTGAGATCTATCAATCAAAATAACGGACCAGTTGAAATTAGCTGTTAAACTGACTATTATCATATAATACAACAACCTTATATTACACGATCAGAAGCTGCAATCATCAGGAGCAAGAACAAGCAGATACAAAATCAATGAAGCGTAAAACAATAACAATGAAAGAAGTTAACAGGCAGTGTTGTCAGAAATAGACAAAACGAAATAATACAATATCAACATTAGCGACGTAGTCAATGTTGAGTCAAAAAATTTCAGGTCTTCAAAAATAGCAGCACTTTGCATATCAGTGGCTATATGTATTATGTATACAACCTTGTTCAGAGCAAATATGCTGAAGGCTTAAAAATTACCTTCATCATGAAACTGTCAAAATCTGAAATATAAGATAATTAATTAATCATTTAATTAATGTCAAAAGACATTTAAGTGACTCAGACACACAATGGTGTTTGATGTTTATTAATTTTATGTGCGGATCGATTTAAAATTAGCCACACTTGTTAACATGATTCAAAATGTTTATCTGAATGGTTTAATTATCATATTGACCAATTGATGTTTTCCAGTGAGGCGAAAAACAAAAGAAACATAGCACCAATCAAATTATTGTTTGTCTTAAATATCATGTTGAGAAAATTCCTTCATGTTTCATGAAACTAAATCAATTTTAGTCGAATGTTGAATATACAAAACTTAGTATTCAAAAATCGAATTTTTTTAATATTATTTGGTAATATTATATCTCTATTATGCCACAAAACTAATTTCCGACCCAAAGTTCCAAAAATGGTTCAGTTCTAATTCCACTATTACTATTTGTAAAAGACAATACCTGCCATGTACACTATATAAATGGAAGTAAAATTTCTACAAAAGAACAAAGTGTATTCAATCTACAGACGTCTGGCGATCAAACACTTCAATACAAATAGTCTCTATTATTTTATATGTACGTTTATAAGTTCAACAATAAAGTTACAATACGACTAGTTATTGTAACCATTTTGGTGTAAAATTTCAAAGTTAGTTTTATCAGTTGCAGTTCCTGCTTTAAAGAAAAAAACTAAAATTTACAGATAAAAAAGAAGACCAAATGTGGATTTTTATCATGAAAAGATGACCACTGCATTTGCATAATTTAAATATTTCATTCAGAGTATTATACCCAGTTTAACGATATCCGATTAACTCATTACCAGGTTTAAGGAAGTCACTTAGCTCAGGTTGCTCGATTAATACATTTATTATCAGTCCTCGGATTTTTGACGTCACAATCACTAACGCTTAAAATTATAACCCTGTTTTCCATGTTGTGAGACATCACTGTCCGTTGGAAAAATGCTCGATTGAACGAAAATAAAGTAAGAAAATATTTGAATGTTTTAAACTAAGCTGCTATTGTGGAAAACCTGATGCGCCCTGGACCCATCCAGCCTTCAGTGGCCCCTAGGTAAATTGAGTTTGAGACCCCTGGTTTAAATGTTTCATTCAAAGTATTCAGACCCAGTATAACAGTGTTCAATTAACCCATTACGTGGTCTGTATACTTGAGATTAAAGGCACCATTTGTGGATGAATACCGGACACAAAATGGCATCACTACCACTGGAGTCGAGGGATTTTTATTAAAAGAACTGTTATTGAACCTTTATTTGAACCAGATCACAGACAAGACAAGTCATTTGTCAGACCAAAACGAGGAAAATGCTTTCATGTTATTTAACTAAGAATAAAAGTACTAACTTTGTCAACATATTAGATAGGCCTATTCAATAAAGTTTCTCAAAACCCAAACAACCATATCATTTATGGACATCAATATCAAAATAACCATCAAACTGAAGAAAAGTGTTTCATAGGGATAAAGTCAACCAATATTAAAACTCTTAAAGTTCCTAACTTCCCCATTGTTACCAATATCAAACGAACCATCAAATTTGAAAAATACCGCAATATACTTTTGTGAACCTTATTAAGAAAACATCTCTTTGTTGACAGTCCTTGAAATATGTTCACAAGCGAAAACAAATAATTGTGTTTGTAAGAAATGTTTGTTTTGCCAATGGTTATCCATAATATAGATCAGAGTAGGAGCAGATAAACTATGATTACAATGACAACATTTCTTGGTTGTGTGTTATATTACTTATATATACTTGACGAACCTTTTAGTTAAAATAAACTATAAAAGCAATGCTAACTTATAGGAAAATAGAAGTCTACGGCTGAAACCTTTGCCCATCAATTCAGAAAGGTAAACTGGATATTGTTCGGTTTTTTCGTAAATACAGTGGCTCCCAACTAAAACAGTCACAACCATAAAAAAGAACAATTAGGATATTTCTTTGTGTGTGATAAAATCACTATTATTGATGAAATGTTTGTTTTGCCTATTTTTATTAACCATGATATAGAATCACTGTCTCATAGCAGTTTACCGGTCAATAGGGGACTATAAAAGCACACTATGTATTTCGCCTTTTCAATTTTATGTGAATAATAATAATTCAGTAATTTTGAAAATATGGCCTCTTTACTTTGCATGTTCCAGAAGAGAGAAGGAATGGAATTAACACTTTTCTTCTCAATAGTTTGCCGATTTAAATGTTGATATGGAAAAAATTATTGAAATTACGAAAATTATAATAAAACTTTTATGATTTGTGGAAAAATTATAAAGAAAAAGAAGGAATTGCATCCATTTTAGAAAAAGTTCCAAAAGTTTGTGTCACACTGAGTGATTATAACAGAGATTGCATGGCTATAAAAGGTGAAGAAAAAGGGTAACGTTTAATTAAAACTGAATTAAAGATCTATATTTGTATCATGTAAAACTTACTTGTTTGATTTCAAATGAAGGAGTTGGACAACACTTCCATATTTAACTTCTTGGCCAAGTAATTTCTGATTTTCTTTTTCATTCTGTCTCTTCTCAACTTCTGCAGATTCCTGTCAAAGAAACAAAAATATAAGATATTTAAAACTAAATATTGGATCAATGTCTAGTGTCAGAAGTTAGATATTGACATCGCAGGTTATCATGTGCCCATCTCTTAGGTTAGGATTTACATATTTATCTCAGGGGAAAGAAAAAATCGTGTTAAGTCTGCTTAATAATATGGGGAACCACAGTTACCTCTCATTCGGTTACCAATCCATGAGGGGTATGGGATTAGTTATCCATTTATTTGTTTCCAAAGCTTGGACTAATTGGTGGAGGAAGTCGTTACCGACTAGCGGTCATGTGAACCACCCTACAGCGACGAGGTGTCATAGCAATCCTCTCGCACATAACTATCCGCGTATGGGATTCGAACTAGATGTGATATCGAGCGTTTTCCTAACGCTTAGCACGATGCACCACACCGCTGACCCGAAGAAACAAAATTGTAAGATAATAATGAATAAATAAATATAGGTGATATATGAGAAATTGAAGGTTAAATATTGGTGTGATGATTGGTGGTCATAATGGAATTACAGCTTCTCAGGTTCCCACATCCTCATCCCGCACATAATAAACAATTGGGGTGAAATAAATGCTGTACCAGGATGGTTTCGGATTTTCCCAAATCTTCCCTTACGTATCAGAGACTGCTTGAAAATAATTTCATGGAGAAATATATGTATTATTCAAAATTGATTACAAAGCAGAATAATATAAAAATGGAACAAATTAATAATAGCATGCCCTACTTTTAAACTCCCTGATACCTTTGGATTACAGCCTATTCAAGTAACATAAGGGCATAATTCTAGTGTAATGATAGTGCAGGAAAATATATCCACTTAGGATTATTCAAGTTGAAATTAAAAACCGAAGCAAAATTAGAGAACATCCTGATAAGAGCATCCAAGTAGATAGTATCCTTTAGAAGTAGTTCAAGTGCATAACTATACTACTGGTACTGACAGAGAGTTTCCGTGCAACCACTGACACACAATATCATTATATGTACTCCCGCTACTTTAAATTCAATTTGTACTGTAGCTGTTCCCAAACTTTCAAGAAAAAAGCTCACGGCACACCTACACAAAAGAAAAGTTTCTACTTTAAAATAAAACTCAATTTTGTGATCAGTAAAGTGTATTTTATGCTTTTAAAAGTTGTGAACATGTAGGCCTAATAAATAATAGCAATGTCAAAAAAACATCATAACATTTACATTTATTTATCTAATGAAAAGTGTGCAGCTGCTGAACGCACATTTTCAAATATTCAATCATATATTAGTTATGTTTAACACAATTTTGTTGATTTCCCGGGCTCGCTTGGCCTAACACTGCTGTGCCCTCTTCAGGAAGATCTGCCGCAGTGTACAATATCCTTTATAAGTAGCTCAAGGGCATAATCCCCAGCGCAGCCAAGAGAGTAAATACTCAGATCCACTTCAATATTTAAATCCTTGTCATTATATTTCAATACCAACAACTTGAGACATGTAATTATGTAGAGATTAAATTTGAAGAGTAAATATCCCGTATTTCTAATTTGAATTTTAAACCTTTTGATGATCTATTCTGGCAATAAAGATATAATGTTTGGGGTTCGGCATGGATTTGGAAATATTAGATGGTATTCCTATAAAAATATGCAAAGTACTGTATACCTTCGCATATAAGCTGAGTGTAAAAATCAAAATAAAAGTTGCCAAATTAAGGCGTCATATTAATACGCAAAAAACTCTCTTTGCACTAAAAATTCAGCTTATACACGCATAACTCTGATCGCACTCAAACGAAATAACTCTGTGCTAACTTAATCCCAACAGCTACAATTCGCACGGCGTGTTGCGATTTGTATGGTCGGCTTATATGCGAATTTTTATAAATACATCGTTTTAGGGGGTCGACTTATATGTGACGATATGCAGTAGTAAATCCGGAATTTCCCTAATTAAAATTATTTGTAATTTTTCTTATTAGAAGAAGTCTCCTGGTATCCCGAAAAGAACCTCAAATTTCCGAAAATTTGAAAAATAGAAAATTAATCAAATAACTTGTTTATTTTAAATATCCTGTTAATGAAAAAACATGGTTTTGTATTGAAAGGTCACGGGAAGTGATCCAGGAAATAAAAGTAAACAATATTACAAGATTATCATGTGGTTTCATTCATCTTAATTAACCATGCAATTCTATTGGGAATGTGGTTAGAGCAGACTAAATAAAATTTCCAATAAGATGGTATGATGTGACTGATGTGTATATTACACAGATCACTTGTTTAGGTGACCGTACATTTGAACCCATGTACATTTGAACCCATGCGTATATCCACGGGTTCAATCTATATGCGGGTGCTAAAACCCATGGGTTAGGGTTAGTATGCGTTTAACTATCCGTGAAACAAAAAAAATTCCATAGGTGCAATAGCATACAGGTGCAATTGTCATGGGTTCAAATTTACGTGGGTTCAAATGTAATGGAACCCTTGTTTACTATTCAAATGCAGGGGTACTATTGTGTATTAATAATATTACAGTCAGGAATGTCCAAATCGAATAGTGGAATTCATTAGAATATCAAGACCTCCAATGCCATTTTTATTTATCTCTGCTTCACTATAATAATATTATTAAAACTTAATTCCTATGTCTTCAGATTTTAAAAAGTATATAAAACTTTTTTGTTGGATTTTTAGAATGTATTCAGAATTCCAGAGTCAAAAATATGTTTTAGAATGTATTCGGAACCGTCCAGTATTTGGTGATGGTCATCCTGTTAACACTATCGTGCAGTTCCACTCCATTAAAAGAAAAGGAATAAGCCTAGATACTATACAATTCCCTAGATGCTCAATTAGAGTGAATACTAAACAAGATAATTATAACCTGGCACTATGCAACATAAAAATCAATACCGAGAGCAGGTGGTGTACATTTGTTAATAAAGAATCAATAAATCATTTCTCCGAACTCAAAATTTCGGTTTCTTGGAACGAGCAATAAAAATAAACATGAAGCCAAGTGTTGGTTGCAAGAATGGCCAGGGATGTCCTATTCTAGTCTGATATTCGAATGTATTCGAATCTCGCGAAATTTGTATATCATATTTAGTGTTTATAAAAATATCGAATATCGCCACAAATTTTCTTGCCACCGTCAACGTTTTAATTGAAAATATTCTACATTTATCTTATAATATTATTGCAATTGCCGCAGCAATAAATCACAGTCTACATGAAAGGATTCAAATCACCGCTGCTGCTGACTTGAAGTACTTATTACACGTCAAGGTAGGAGGCAGGAAGGGCTATGATAATGGCTATTTTAGTACCATAAATACATACATTGCACACAAATTCTGTGATCCATAACCTAACTCAAGGTAATACTATATACTAGAGCAAGGTGGTCCAAACCCAGGCCCGCGGACCATATGTGGCCCGCCGCTTCATTATCTGTGGCCCGCGTCACATTTGAAGAGTAATCGAAAATCGCATTTCGTGTAGTTTTGTAATAAAATTGATCAGAAAAATCTTTTGACATATTGTTACATTACTAATGTCACTGGATTGACTAGTGTTATGGCTAGCTGAGGCAATTAGCGAAGAGGAATGATGTGCTTGGCCAGCTAAATTATTATCTGGCTTTCTATCTTTGGTCGGGAATATATGCTTACAATATAGGCATCGTGGAAAATCGTTCATTGCTACTACAATTATATTTGACTAATTCATCAACAACTCCAGCAATGTTTATTAATAGATTCGTGGTACACCTGAAAATGTTTCTGGACCCAGCAGTGGGCCATGGCTATGGGCCAAACTATGATTACTTGTTTCTAAAATGGAATTAAGAAATATAATAATATATATGACTAAATTTGATTCGATTCATTTTAGACATCCCCGGTAGAAGGCAAAGTTGCTTTATTGAGATAAAAAAGCAGATACATTTTATGTTATTGTCTCATAATTGGGATTCCTTACTACAATTTTGGCTCCTAAATTATTAGATAAATAATAGGAGATCTGGCTATTTTCGTATATTAATTTGGCAATCCTGTATCATAAAATGACTAGTATTTTTTAGTGGGTGTTTATACCAACCATGAATGAGCTCATAACTAAAAATGAACTAAATTTGATGCCACAATAGGATTAAATTTTATATTAAAAGGTGTGCTGAACTAAATTAGGAAAAATTGATATCAAAACAACTGTCCAAAATGAAAGTGTTTGGTCCGTATCTAGGTGATTTCACGGTCTACCGAGCAAAGCGATGTTAATAATGATGCATAAGTCATTGGAGAATTGTTAGTTTTATTTGAAAAATTAACAATCTGAATACTGACGGTAGTATTTCAGGTTAAAATTGTGAATATTATGATTTGAATAAATGAATCATATATAGAGTATATATTATTAAACAGATTTCAATCTTTTTAAAATAATATTTTCTGTATTAATCAAATTGTAGCAAGTGGCATTTCTGTTTTATCTCAACTTAATTAGAAGATTTGCCAATGTTACTCAGGTCTCTGCATATTAGAGGTTGCTTAAACTTTGTTTTTTATCACATCATGAGTGAATTACCTTGATTTATGAGTCATAATCATTGCTATCAATTGGATCTCTGTGTGACTAACTGCACAAATTTCTACAATACTTTTGCGCTAGTAGATCTGTATGCGTATAATGGACATATGCTAAGCCAGTGCTTTCCCAACCTTTTTCAGTTTGCGACCAACTTTCATTGCCATTTCTCAGTTTGCGTCCGACTTTTATTGCCATTTTTTCTGTGCGACCCACCACAATAAGATGTTAAAATACAAAAAAAAACAATGTATCTCCATGCAATTTACTATTATTAATGAGAAACTTTATTTCATAATCGTTACATAATGATGATGCCACAATCTGATACAAAATTGTATGTAATATTTGGAAAAGCTTCAAGACCCACCGGTTGGGATGCACTGTTCTACGTGATTCTATATGGCAAAGCTGAGTGAGAAAGTCTGACTCAGGTCATAGTAAAAATTACAAAATCTTTCTTGTATTGATTTAAAACAAGACTTTTGTTGGATCTGCACGATATGTTTGAATTTTGTGTGTCTGAAGTAACCCAACTTTAGGTCCGGCTCTAGAAGCACACACAAAAACGAGATCCAGTTTCCACCGAAATACGCGAATGGTATGACCAAACCAACCTGTAATCTTTTCATCAATGCTACATCAGCTATCCTGGTAGGTCCAGACTTGACTGTTTTCCAGAACTGTTTCTGTGCATTGTATCGATTCATAGGACAAATCTTGAATAAGCAATCTAGGGAGAATTTGGATAAAAAGCAGTTAATTACCGCACTATCTACAGAACATTTAACTGAGCAACCTCATATGCAAGGAGTCTATATTCAAATAGTTTGAATAAAATCAAGACCAGCAATGAGCAATTTTAACATCAGACATTTTAAAATAATCCATTTTCAGATTTGTGAACAGAAAAGTAATTTTCTGAGACTACCTGCTGAGAATGTCAAGATAATGTAATTTAATAAAAAGAATAAAAATGACTGGAAAATGGGAAAGATATAACCTAATTATAGAAAATGATAAGCGTAATCACTTCTTTTTCATTCCATATTAGATTATTATATAATTATACTTTTTTGCAAATTTATGAATCCAGCAAATGTAGCAATGTCTAACTCATATGACTAGGTCATATCATCAGCCATCTGCTCTATGATAAATATGAAAATATAAGTAACTTATTCAGCTTCAACACAAATGCAAATTTTTGATAAAAATAAAATTTGAAATATTCATTAATAATGAACTTGCATCGATATAAAATGGAGTGATTCCAATCATTATTTACCTAAGTAAATAATTGCATTGATTTTAGTATGACATCGACTTTGTATGAGTAAAAAATGAACAAATCTAATTTTGACTCTTTTACAAAGTAGGCGCATACAATTATGCCAAAACAATAAATATAACTTGTTCTCACCCCTGAACTTCTTTGGTGGATTCTGTAGGTTTCCTGCATCAGGTTTGACAACACATCTATCATCCACCAACCTAAACACAAGAGTTTATAAATGAGGATGAAACACCAGTTATTTTCTTGAATCGGAATGAATGAAACTCAGGAGGTTCTAAACAGTTTGAATATTCAAATCGATTCAAAATCATTTTTATTCAATTATTAAAATTCTTGATTTTAGGTAACATTTAAAATAGTTTAATTTGAAATAACTCATTTCAAGTTTCATGGTGTCACCAATAAGGTTCATATAAAACTTTCAAAAATTAGAAAAAAAAAGAATCCATTAGATAACTGCTCATTTTAACATTACTGTATTGTCAAATTCGAATATATTTGATTATACATTTGGTGGTACTCCCGAAGTACTTTATTCCAATTTTTCTTATTTTAGTTCTATTACGTGTTCGGGGACTATACAAGTGACTCCTGTAGTATTTATACCTAAAATTATGGCCTAACCCCAACCTGGTACACATACTATGTTCCGGTGTCCACCATCTTGATACGCATACGCTAGCGCCGAAATTTCAGCCACCCACTATGTGTGAGTAACATGATATGAAAATATAAATATCACTACTAAAAAATACAGAGTAATAAAGCATTTACCCAAGAGTCGATATGAATCCACATACTGAGTCCGCTTGTGGTCCTTCAGCGTACAATGACACAATATCTCCAATGTGTAATGAACTTGACGCCATTTTTAGTCCAATCCCGTAGCAACTTTGTTGCTCAGAGAACCACAGATTGCCGACAAATTACATGTACGTTATTTTAAACAACAAAAAATTACGAAAACTACAAAAAATTATACAAATTTTTGGCAAATTATAAAGCAATGTCAGAAATTGGCAAACATTTTAGCATTGGAGATCATTGGAAATAGAATTTATTAAATTACAGTGCAAAAGATACAGTAACAGGGAAATCGAGAAAAAGCGTAAATCGCTACAGTTTTACAATTCATCATTATTTGTTTATTATCGGATCAGTGCAGACAAGGATATTCAAAATGATAAAATATTAAAACAAAATTTCAGAGCCACTTTATTAAGTGATCCAAAAGTCTAATATCACACTTTCACTAATTCAGAAAAAACTTTATTTTATAACAAAATCATAATATTATTGTTCAGTTCAGGATTGGTGTGAACTCAGAACAGAAATTTTCGGGACAAATCAAACTTCAATATTATCTTATATTGCCTTAACTCACTTCCTGGATACATTTCAATCACAGCATTTGGTATAAACAAAACACAGCTTTGGCAAATGCAAAAAGTATTCAAAGGTAGTATAAAAATCACTAAACACAAAAAATATACAATTCCTGAAGACATAAACAGTGCCGAATATAATTCAACAAAACTAATGTTGGCCACTCATATTAGGTTATAAAAAATGTTTAAAACGTAAAAACTTAAAATGTTCAAATCTTGGTCAGATGTTGAAATTATATTTTAACCATGAGGACAATACTTAAAAAAAGCATAAATAAGAAATTTCTTTTCTAATTGAATTTAAGCTTGGATTAGTCCAAGATATAATTTCAAATTGTTTCGAAATAGTCTATTTCAGTTTTGTACAATCTGACAAATAACAGAACAGAATACAAATAACTTGACAGAATATTTAATTAAAGGACTGCCACGAATTGGACACTTAGAATTGTTGGGAATTTTAATTGAATTTATGCTTGGATTAGTCCAAATGTATGGCCAAAAAGTATAATTTCAGAGCGATTCAAAATAGTCTACTTCAGTTCTATACCACCCTGTTGACAAATATCGCTTGACAATGAATTTTTAGGAGACATGCGACAAAATGGACAGTTTTACAAAAAAGATTCAAAAAAAGAATTTGGCACATATTACAGTGGCACAAACAAATAGGTAAACTTAACTTTAGACTATAATACAAACGCCCACTCGGAAATTTAACAAAACAGTGAACTTAACATAAAAGAGTCAAAATCTAGTAAACTAAACAAAACAGTAGCATATGAAACTCTCGTAATATACAGAATGCACTGAGGTTAGGCAAAAGCTGAATTAAGATGCTAAATATCAAACAAATGTCTCAACAGTATCATTAAGGGGTATGCAAGCGTTGGAATTTGGAATGCATAAAATACGTGGTGTCCATAATGCCCCTTCACAATTCAGTCAGTTGTCAATATATCTTAACCAGGTTTGTTGTTTTTTAATCAGTAATTGTTCAAGTATTTAACTGCATTCATACATCTGAGGCCAAAACAATATATGTTATCGATAAATTCCTGTTTGTAATTTTTAAATTTTTTAGACTTTATGGATACACTATGCACTGAAAATAAACAGTATAAATAGGTAATCAGAATTTAGGATTCAGAATTGAAGATTGTGCAGAGAAAATAAATAGTTAAGTCGGCTTACTATAACTGGGGGTTGGTATATAATTGAAGTAGCAATACCAGAAATATTCCAGCAAAAAGAGAATTATGCTTTTGGTAAAATAATTCCAAATGTAACAATAACAATTTGTTTTGATTTAAATTGATTAAGTACGGTGTTTTCCATTACGTCCCACTTCGAATTTTATTTACACTAATTTCTTCTGCATTTCTACTATACAGACAATACTTCTCTTTTTGGAGCAGACACAACAACTCCATTAGCTTTTGACAAAACAAGCGGAACTTCAGTGTTTGAAAAGTACTTTAGATTAATTTCTTTATCCAGAGATTTAGAATCTGGTGAGGCATTTGTGGATCTATAAGTGCTTGGAACTGCTGGGGAAATAATACTATTGCTGCCACTATGGAGTCTTTCTTCTTTATTTATATCTTGACTGCTGTTACTTCCACTAGAGGAAGCATACACGGCAACGTCAGGGTACTTATCTATTAAAGCCTGCTGTGCTGCAATGTAACGCTTTCTGCGATTCATTTTGTAAATTTCAATTCTTTCTTGTTCTTCTTCGTCTGTTGTTCCAGGGACTGGAAATTTCCCTACAATTTCAGAACGAAATGCGTTGTCTTGATATAAGCTATGTGCGGGCCAACGTAGACATTCGTTTACTTTGATACAGTTTTCGTGTTTGTCAGAATAAGTATTTGATTGTTCTAATATTGAAGGACTGGAATATGATGCTTGCGTTTTCAGCATTCCGCTAGAATCTGGACTTCCACTCGCAGATGCGCTTGAGGCTGAAGATCTTTTTCCTTCTTTAGTTTTCTTTTTTTTCTTCCGTTTTTTCTTCAATTTGTCCATTGCGCTGTGATTGGAGAGTTTTCTTGAATTACTGTTCGGTGTGTTCAATGAATCCATGAAGAATTCGGAAACTAATTACAATTGAAATGATTTACAATTCCAGTACATTTTTAAAAATTTTAGGATGGAACTTGAAATTTTCTAGAAAAAATTCAATACGATTATTCATAGAAAAGCGAACTTTCTGTCTATCTTTCTGGCTAAAAGTTGAAGCTAGAGCTGTAGGAGCATGAAATACTCTGCTCTACAATGAAAGAACATACCGTACTTTCATGCTCTCCTACAAGAGATAATTACAAATAATAATAATAACTAGGCATGGGCAAAATACAATGTATAAAATATTTTACAACCTGTTATAGCCTAGTAGGTACCGGTACCCTAGCAAGGACCTTGCTGCAAGGTTTAATGCTGATTCTGTTTAGAGTAACCCTCACAGCATCCATACTGCCTTACAGGTAAACCGGTAACTGTACGGTACTGGTACCGTACAACAATCCACATTCGACAGCGAGAAAGCAGACACCGGAATTGACCATAGTCACTTTGGTCAACACCAAGACACGATAGGTACCTGTGTCACTGTGTGGTTCACGTGCGCCTTCAGTGGTGAGCAGGTATTACAATGGCCGCATAATATATTGCTATGTCGAAGCACGAAGCCCCCAACAGTCTGTTTTTATTTTTTCACCAAACTTAAATTACAATTTATGCGAACAAAACCTGGGAAACACATAAAAATGGCATTTTGTGGCAAAGAGTGACAAGAAGGACCATTTTATTTTATGGAGTAAATATGCCATGCTAATAGCTCTTTTCCTTCAACTTTTGACCTGTCAAATATCAACTATATCTCAATATTTCTTTATTGAAATCCTTGACCAATCTATGATAAATTAATCCATTCACTACTAATTATTGTAAAAACTTGGATAATTGGCCTGGACTAATGAATTGTACTAGTTCTATGTACAAACACTTCCTATAATGCCGGGATGACACTATTTTTATTAATATAAATATGGCTATAATATGATTGGTCAGTAAGAGTTAACATTCTTTATGCACCGGTATATGTCTTAACGTGGACGTAACTTAAAACAAACGCAATAGGACATTTTCGCGCCGTTTCAAGCATGATATTGGTTGTCCGAGTGTTTGTGTTCTCTGGTTGCGCATCACTCCTTTTTGGCATATTTTTAATTTTACGAGTTTTATATATGTAAGTATTTGAAAGACAAGAAATATACAGAGGAATATGTTGGTAATTGAAAGAATTCAATTTGAGCGGGCGAGAAATAGTTTTGGGGTCGTAAACAACCTACCTACATTACACGCACAATAATAAACAAACAATGATTGCGCGCCTCGAAACTGCTAGCGAGAACTTTTTTTTTTTTTGCCAAATAGAATTCCAGTGCCACTATGAAATTCAATTATTTATAAAATTTTTGTCCAAATGAAAGTGAATTAATATTATTTATGTGTATTTCCAATTTTGGTTACAGTAATTGATATCGGAGTACAATCGCATGGTTTGAATTCCGTTTAAATGAAGAAAAGTCATTTTACAATTTAAATATACAATACCCATACATTTACATATTCAATATCAGCAATTCATTGTTTGTAGTTCCAATTGATTTAGTTGATTGTTGTCCCAATTGTCATCATCGTGAATGCTATTAAATTTATTTTATATTAGCATGGAAAAGCAAAATTTATAAATATTAGACAGCAAATTTGAACACCTATCACGGTAATAGAATTTTCCTATTTCCTGTCCAAGTAAATGTTATTATTCAACTCTAACATAAAAAATTATCCATCAGACACCCAAATAAACATATCATATAGAAAATACAACAATTCATGCTTATGTTTACCACCTATGTAAACCAAAATATTCTCGGATCATTATAGATTTTATGAGTAGGTTATCCACTATTCCTTCATTGAGAAGATCTTGTCTATCAACATCAGACATTAATTTAATAACGCCCAAAATCTTACATTTTAAAATAGCACGTATATCCCATTGCATCTGATATATATTGTCATATTTTACTTTATTCCTATATTCCCATATGGCTGACTTTCCACAATGGGTTATTAACAGTTTAGCAGTGCTAGCGAGAACATGCTTTCGTTGTTTCTTGAATATTTTACGTTGCGTTTCGCTCAAGATAGCCACTCTTATCTCTTTTGAAAGATGACGCAATTCTCTATGACTGGAATATCAGATGTCGAGTCCTTCTGGCTTGCGCATAACACTACAATTTGAAATACACACCATTTTTTTAAATTTTTGTTACATCTCTCGTTTCAACGCAAATGGGTCAGTAGGGTTAATGTTTATATTTAAAGTGTACAAAATCATTTCACATAGTGTTATAAAATATTGCATCTTATTTATTCCTAAATTAAGCCAACTGTTGTGTTTGATATTTCAATATCGACTGTATTGATTATATTGAATCTTTAATTATACATTTATACAAAGTCTACAATGTAATGCATGTTCAAAATCTTGCTTGATATGTTTCAACTCGGAGTTTCCAAAACTTTTTGAGTCGCGGACCCTCGTTTGTCAATCTAATTTTTCACAGACCCGCATCCTATGGCGTATCAATTTCTGTGCCTAAACAACGAGAACGGATAATGTTTCCTTTGACAAAATAAAACTCGTGAAAATCTGAATTAATTTCATTTCATGCCCTTTCTTGCAGCAACGGTAACGGGCTCAAATACCCTTGGCAAAGTCGCACAAGTTATCGACTGGTGATGACTCAGTAACCAATACAATCAATACGACGGTGTAGCTCTGTGACGAAGGTCCACCTCACAGATGCTAAAAGCAAGAATCGTTCTACAACAGCTTTTTCACTCCCACTGCTGAGGTTTCGTAACATAACGATTTGCGATTGCGTGAACTTATGACTTTATCTCATTTACGAATTATAATGTGACAATGTATCTACGTTGAAATGTATACGTTTCAGACTCTTTTTCTATCGGTGCGGACCCCATGTGCAGTCGTCACGAACCCCCAGGGGTCCGCGGACTCCAGTTTGAAAAACGCTGTCCATTCAAAGTATACAAGTTACCCAATTAATCTGTATCTTGTCCGCCCAGTGCTTCCACTTTTTTCGTTTCGATCATTTTATATTTTGCAATACAATTTCAATATGTGGAAATCCCATTATTTAAAAGAATGCTTTCCTAATCGAGAATAATAAATTAATGTAAATTCTGTACATAGTAAAAATTGTGAGAGACATTGATATATTGACAGGAACTTGTTATTTTTATGTTTATTTAATTAAATTGGGTGGCAACTGACTCTGATGACCCCCAAATGTCGTATCATTGTCTCCCAGTCATGTACCGAAAACATCTGTTTATTTGTTGTGTATGTATGCATATATTGTTTTCTTGGTTTGACAAAACTCTCTATCTCTCTCTGATTATCGAGCAGCGACACCCATGATCAGAGTTTACTTTGATGCAGGTAGAATAGGAAGAAATAGAATGTCAAAGAACCTAATCCGTAGTAGCATGTCACTGCAACTTTAATACTGTTAAAAGCGTCTGTCGTTAACCGTTGGAATAGCATTTTACCGTTACTTCAATACTGTTAAAAATCGTCAGTCGTTGAACGTTTAAATAGCATTTCACCGTAAGTTGATACTTTTAAAAAACGTCAGCCGTTGAGCGTTCGAACAGCATTTTACCGTAACTTGATACCGTTAAAAAGCGCCGGTCGTTGAATGATTAAATAGCATTTCCCCGCAATTTCAATACTGTTAATTCTATAGCAAGCGTTCTCAACCCGCGGCCCGTCGATGCATATTTTGTTGCTGTTAGGTATATATATATTTTTTCTTATGTTGTAAAATTCTGCCATAGTTCTCGCTAGGGGTGAAGTTGCAACCGCAAACCTACGAATGCTATCCAATAAATATGTTTTAAAATGCATAGAAATGAAGACAAACCAGTATCGTATCGGACTAATAAATGAATTAAATAGTACAAATACACGGTAATAATATTCTGTGGTCCGTCGCATCTCTTGTGGTCAAAATGCGGCCCTTTTAGCTGGCAAGTTGTACCTCTGTTCTATAGTCTTGCTTTATTATGCTGACGAATTCGTAGTCATATTATAATGCGAAGATGTTGCAGCCAGGGCTGAATTAGGAAAAAAACATGTGCCCAAGGTACCAGGAAAAAGGCTCACCACAGAAAGAGTTTTCAATAGTGCTTCAGTGTTTATTGAAAAGATTGGATGGATGATTAAGATCTCAATATTGGCCAAGTTGAAATAAATTTCGCCTATGTTCTTTTTCAAGCATCATTTCATCAAACATCAACCTCTCTAAAATTGGTTGCAGGTGTAAGAACTATTTCAAAAAATATCATTCAGTTAATCACAATTTGGCATTCGATCAGTAATAAATACTGAAACTTATTCATTCAATTCAAGATAACATGGAATACTAGTTACATCCCCGGTATTCTTTTATATATATTAGGCACCGAAGTCTTAATAACTTAGGGCAGGGGTCAGCAAAGCGTTGTCCGCGGGCACCAAGTCGCCCGTAAGGGTCACGTGAGTCGCCCTCAGGTCTGTTCTAAAATTAGCTGAGACAACGGCACTTATCAATTTAGGGATGGGCAACATAGAATAATTTACTATTCCAGAATACTTAATCGAATCCAGAATACCGAGTCCTATTCTGTTTTTATTGTTATTCAAATGTGGGAATTCTCCCACCATATTGATAGATTACAATTTAAAAAAAGCTAAATTGATTGGATTTTATTTGTTACCAAACAGGACAATGGAATATAAGAATTTTACCAAATAACTTTTTGCCTTGTTCAAAATTTGTGTGTCTCTAAATACTTATATGGTAAATTAAATAGTGCATTATACAATTTAATACTGAATTGTGAAACACAAATAATGAGTATGAAAAAACATTAAATTATTATTAATGTGAGAGCACCGTAAACACACAGGTCAGACCGAGGCTACTGCAAGTATGCGGGCGCAACGGTTGCCGCACTTGGTGGGGTATTTCAAGTACGTCAGCGTGTTTATTTTCTGCGAGCAAGACTCATAAAATAACATTCAAATTCATTTCAATTGCAAAATCTT